AAATATTTATTAAAGGATAAAAAGATTGCGTTAAAAAATAAAAGCAACCACTCAAGACATAATATTATTTAAGTAACAAATACCTACATTAAAATGTATATTATATAACGATGAATTTTCTCGAGCAGTGTTTTCTACGTCATTATTTTATTAACTTTAATGTTCTTCTTCCGTCCTGATAAGTTGTTATTTAAATTTGTAAAAATTTTCTTTTATTTGATTTTTTTTTTTTTTTTTTATATAAATGTAAAAACAAAATCCGTTTACCTGCCACTAACGGAGTTGTTTTATCTGTTAATTATATTTCCGAAAATACATTTATGAAATATAATGGTTTGCTTTCTCATTCATTTAGAAACATTGCTCGTCATCTCACATCACGCACATCGACACGTAATGTACCGATCAATAATGATTTTTAAATAATTTATATATATATACGGCCATCATTGGATTTTAAAAACGATTTTGAATGTTTATTTTTGCCTTTTGTTTTGATTTTCCTACGTGAGTTCAAGCCATTGAACTGGGTAATCATAAAAAATAACCACTTTGAAGTACCATCTGTGGTCTAGGGACGATTACTGTACTGTATTCTACAAAGTTATTGCGCGAAACTTTTTGGGACACGAACACTACCGCGAAAAAGAATCGCAAACTATTAACAAAATAAAACTGTAAATAAACAAAATAGATTTTCTGTGTAACGAGAAAGCTATTAGTTTTACAACGAATTGTGATTTTTTTTTTTTTTTTTTTTTGTTTTATCTGAAGTATAGAAACGTGACAAAAAGTTTTAACCAGTAACTGTATATGTACGGGTGAAAAATTGAACACAGGTGGTGTTTCGAAGGATCGTTTTTCGATTTTCTCAATAGTTTTCATATATACGAGTTTAATAAGAAAAAAAAACGACCAAACATTTTCGAAAACAGGGTAGTTTACGAAACGTCCATTAATTTTAATTTCCAATTCAAAGTTAAACTATCTAATTCTAAACCACACTGAATACTATATTATATCAAAAACTATAGAAAATATTAGACAAATTTTCAACATTTCCGTTTATATTCTGTCCTGGATAGTAAAAATGCCTATTTTTTTTTCTGGTCTTTACAAATTATAAATTATTATTATCTGAGTAAAACGAGCATTTTATATCAGAATAAACGTTTGCGTATGGTTCTTCTAAGATACAAGGAGAAATAGCTACTTAAATCATTTAATGTTCGTCTTACATTCCATTAAAATGACTTTCTTGTCACTTTTAAATCAAGACTTAAACGAAAGATTGTAAATTTTTAAAAAAACCCATACGTTATCTGTTCGGTGAATTCTCAATACGGTATAACAACTTTAATGTGCAGAAATAATAAAATGAATAAATAACTTTTATAAGTAATAATGTACGGTTTGTTTTTATCGGTTTTTATTGTCCTGTGTCAAATTACATTTGAAAATTCAGAACGGTTTATCTATGGTATGGTTTTTTATCCTGCACATGGAGATACTTTCTGATAGTAGGTAACAGTAATAAATATACCGGTACTATGGATGCAGTACATTGGAAGAACGTAACGAATTATTATACTTTAGGGGGTCAAAAGTTTTAGAATTCAATCCGGCTGTCATCCATCGCATAAAATCGAAAACCAATTTAAACTGGCAATTAAACTTTTACGGCCATAATTTTATTTTTTAACTATATTGGCTTAAAATTTTTTCCATATCTCTATAGGTAAGTATTATAATTATAATATTTAACGTTTAATACCACGACAATGAAAACCACTCGATAAAAAATATTTGTTGGGCTTTTGAAATTTCGTACTTGCTCAAATCAGTCAAATCAAAATTTCTTGTAGGCAGATACACAAGAATGTGAATATTTTTATATGCGTATATAAACAACGTAAAAAGGGTACCTATATTTCTTGTGCTCGAAATCGCGATTCAGAAGTAATGGGATTTCATTTTGAATTTAATTCGTACCGATAAAAAAAAAATGTCCATCCTTATTCCACAACAAAAGCACGTAGACGTGCGATTCCCCGTGGGCTACTTAATTTTTTATTGCAGGTACTTGAACGTTTTTGGTCATAATTTTTGTTACAAAATATAAATAACAAAGTTGTTGCATAGTTTCGAACTCCTTAGATGCACGCATTGTTTAAATTAAAAACATTTACTCTATAACAGTTTGGTATCATTTAATAAATCACCATTTATCAAACTCGTAAGTATGAATACAGTTTTTTTCGCGTCTATCGTTAACGGCGTGGTAAGAAACTTACGTTTATAGAGTAACAGCTGAATGTAATAGTACCTATCGGCTGTGGGTATCAATCTGGGCGTCATAGTTAAATAAAGTGCGGAAATAACAAATGTCCGTATCGCATCACTCCTTGATCGGATAGGTAGGTAGGCACTCTATTATGGCATGACGATTCATAAATCACGTAACCGCATGTGGAAACAAACGATATTAATATTAATTTGCCGCTGCACTTAATGTATATTGTGCACAATTGTAACTAAATACACTTGGTGCCTAATTTAGATTAGAACAGGTTTAACACTTTTGTAAGTATACCTGATGCTTGTATGAAAAATGTAAATATCAGATAATGGTGTTTATACTGCTTACGGGTGTGCCACTGTTGTAAGTNAGGTTTAACACTTTTGTAAGTATACCTGATGCTTGTATGAAAAATGTAAGTATCAGATAATGGTGTTTATACTGCTTACGGGTGTGCCACTGTTGTAAGTGGGAAGTTAGAATGGCAGGATTCGTAATGTTATTTGATTTTTACCTGTACGATAGACGATTATGCACGAAGTTCGATGATACGCGTTTTGAAATGTCGTCATTTTTACGATTTTCGTCAACATTTGAACTTAAACCGATTATATAATTTTAAAAAACCTACTAGTGTATATTTACTTATTATTATTATTATTTTTTTTTTTTAGTAATTTCAGAGATGCTAATGTGAACTATAAATTTGGGTTAAGGAAATCACAAAGTTACATATTACAAATATATATATATGTTGCATATTTTTGCACACTACAAAGTTTAAGTGGTTTTTTATGTGCTAACCACTATTTAAGTACCATTCGAATGTTATTTTGCTTATTTTGTACACTTACCATTATTTCAATACCGTATGCTTCAGATAAACATTATGATAAGTATAATTTTAACAGTCTTGAATATTTACATGTTCATTTGTTTCTATTGGCATCTGTTGCAACTCAGTAAAACGATAGGTAATCATGTCGAAAAGGAAACCCTCGTTATAATTATGTCACGTGCATTAGTATTTTATTTTTAGAGTTTCTAGATATTCCAGTATCATTATTTTTACTATTATTTGCATATTTCATTTTTTTTAGTGCATATTTACACACTTATGTACATGTTTTTAAAGAGCATATTATTAAGCTTATAACGAACTTCAGCCTTTTTTTTTATCAACTTATAACGAACCTCTTGTTAAATTATCAGGCATTTCTGTTTAGTCAAACAATTTTATCCACATAATACCTATCAAATTAACCGAAATTAATGAAACTTTCTCATTTCTCCTAATTATAAATACTACTCGTGAAGCATTTAAATTCACCAGGTCGTATCACTCCGTTCATCCGTCGCTTTTTTTACCGTCCACCCAGTTAGTTCCACTCCACTACCATCTTTAGATTCACTGATTCCTGTTTCCTCGTCACACTCATAAACTGTTTTGTGATATCTTCGCAAATAGTTTGTTGTCTCCTGATGTACTCCTGTCATCTCTCGGCATCGGGGATAATACGCTGGCTGAATTGAGAACAACTTTTGGGGTTACTATATTTACCGTAGTGTTCCAGGGTACTAACTATCTCAAACTAAACTAAGTCATTAATCAGTAAAAATAATGTAGAACAGAGACTGGAGATTAACAATGTTAAATCTTGCTAATTTTAAATTAAATATCTAAATCTAATTACAATTTCATTACAGAAACCTTAATAACAATAACCGAATTACCTCTTTTTGGAATTCAAAGGCTTAAAATAAAGTGGTCGGATAATTGTATCTTAAAAAAATAAATAAATAAAATAAATCCCGTTCCTCTCCGTCTTTCAAAATTTAACCATTGGGTTATAGTAATTACATGCTTATTGGAATTTACAGTAATATTCCGAGTATAATATTACGGCTAAAATTCAAGATACGACTGTAATGTACACATCCGAAATAACGATACTAATCTGTTTGGAGAATAAAAGTTAAAAGTCATATATAAGTCATAGTTTGTAGTGAAAAAAACAAATTAAAAATTGAGTGCAATGTAAACATGTTTTTGTAGTAATTTTAATATCAAATTTTGACGAAAATCGTGAATATTACGGGTTTTTAAAACGTTTATATAACTCGTCTCTACTCAGAACCATTTTTTAATGATGAGGATAATTGTTACGTACAGACATACATTAAATTTGCACCAATATTCTACCTTCCCAATTTCTCACCCGCAATAGTGGCCCATCCATCGCCCGAAGTATTACCGTCATTTTTTATGTTATAATTACTAAAGCTCTGCGCTATAATTTTATGTTCTATATTCTATTTCATTACTTATTTTATAATTAAACATAATAATTTGACTTACGATTAAAAAATAAATGCTCATCAAAATCACAGCTTAAATTAATACCAGAAGATATGTAATTATGGAATTGTTCAATATGTTATGGAAAAATCGAATCGGCCATTTAACGATTTATGCAAGGTTAAAAATATCAACTCGCACAAAACTTTAGAATTTTTTCAAAAATAAATGACCCAACCATAGTAAAAGTTTTTGGTGCCAACATTTTTCTAGAATCAGATTTATAAAATGGATATCTCAATTATTATTACTATATTTTTGTTTTATTTAAAAGAATTTTACATTTTATTTTTCAAATTCCTAAACATTAAAATTTCTCTAAAACAATATTTAAATTATAGTGACAAAATATAATAAAAAATTAAAAAAAAAAAAAACAAAACAAAACCTTAAAAATGCTCAACAGAAAGGAACGTAATACATTTGCTACACAGTCCTGGAACGCACTATGCATATTATAAAAGACGCGATACAGCGTGTAACAGTCTCTATTTTCGGGGGTGGGGGTGAAATTCGACACAAATGTATACAAATGAACAAACTAATACAATGTTATGTATTTTAAATCATATATATTTCCTATAAAACGAACGTTTTATTCCATAACATAATGGTTTTTTTTTTTGTTTTGTCTGTTCTCATAATATTATTATTATAATTTTTTTTTTTTTTTTTTTTTATTTAATTCTTATAATAAATACGACCGAACGTAACAAATGTTTTACAAAACTAATAATTAACCAACAGCTTTTATAATATTTTATATTTTTTATAATACTTATTAATTAATTAGAATTATTTTTACAATTGACTACATGTTTTTTGTATATAATAATTAAATAATAATAATGTAGGTGTTTTCGGTGTGTGTGTGTGTGTGTGTAAGTGTGTGTGTGTAAGTGTGTATGTGTGTATGTATGTGTGTATGTGTGTGTGTATGTGTGTGTGTGTGTGTGAAATAACATTATTAAATATAGCTATGGGTAAATATATGAACTTAACGTTTGTAAACAAATAGTCTAAATATTTTAAATTGATCAATATAATAATAATATGTTACCTATTTTTTTTTTTGGTTTTTATAGTTTTTTTTTTTTTTTTTTTCATTTTTCATTGTACAATAATCATACACGATTAGTGAATAATAATTACGAATTAATAACATTTTATAGGGTAGAAAATTAGTTAGGTAGGTATATTATATTATATTATAATTTATCAATAATTTTAAGTTCCGTGGCTATGTACATTGTACACAATAATAATAATAAATATTGTTATTGTTACTTCAAAGTAAAATTTATCGCCGTAATATTACATTATATTATAAGGACGGTCATCTCAAAATTAACAATTTTTTTCGTTTTTTTTTTTTTTTTTTTTGTCCATGCTTAAAATGTATAAGACACATGCTATAGAGCTATTATATTATAGCTACGTAATAATAATATATATATATCGGTCACAGTCCTCGCTGGTAATCTCTATACTCGAGTGGTGTAAAAATACCTTAAACCAAAAAAAAAAAAAAAAAACAAAACAAAACAATAATTATAATAATAATACAATGAACGTGTTCGTCTACACAGAGCACAATAATTTTTTGTATACAATAATAATAAACAAAAATAATTATTACGATTACACTATTTCACGTACGTAATAATACGAGTACATAATAATATAATAATGTACACCTAACGAAGCTACGGCTTAATTTCGAATTGTGTGTGTGTTTTTTTTTTTTTTTTTTTTTTTTTTTTCACCACTTTTGTGATGTATGACGACGACGGTTTGTACCGTAAAAACTGTGTTATAATCGACTCGCATCACTTTTATCATCGCAATAATATAATATAATTTCCCGTCGGGCGTGCTGCGGTTTGTTTATAATGTAGGTAAACAACCGCGGTTTTTTTTTTCTTTCTTTTACACGGTTTTTGTTTTTTGTTTTTTTTTTTTTTTTTTTTTTTTTACATAACGATGACAAACACGCAGACACACACTGACTATAGTTTGCAATTCTTTCACCTGCTGACCGGCGTTAATCTACAAAGATTTTAGTTACACAATCGGTGTCGACTATTGATTTTCAAACAATCGCCCTCGTTTTTCGAAAAGAGTTTATAACTTGATTTGTAACTTTCGAAGGCGTGGAAATTAAAAAAAAAAAAATCGATACGGGCGTAGACGTCCAACAGCGGTGCATACGAGTAAACATTTAAAAACAAATTGTAAACACGAGATCATAATGTTGTATAAAGGGGTCGTGATACATGGAAAAGCTGATCAGCGATAGAATAATCGCCCTGTGACCTGTACGGGCAAACACGTAGCAAAATTATGTTACTCGGAACACTGTAATTTATAGATCGAAATCGGAATAAAACAGATTATTGGAGTGAGTATAATATAAGAGCAAAGCTGGGTAAGTTAATGACTTTTTATCTCAACTCGGTTGAGTCAAATTTATATTTAAATAAAATCAATAATGTCAATTAATCGAAAGTTAATTCAAAATAATCTGTCGATTCAACTAAGTCAGAAGTTAACCAAAAGTTGAGACTAACCGTTTAACTCGGGTTGAGTGAATTTGCAATAAGAGAAAAATGCACATATTTTCTATTACCTACGTCCCTCCCGACCGGCAATAACAGTAAAAAATAACAATTCGGATTTTAAAATGATCATTATATATTGATAACTATAATAATAATAGTATATTGATTTACATGAGCGTACAGACAAAAATTAAAATCAACTCTGGTTAATTGAAAATCGATTATTTCGTATTCGTCATGTGAAAAATATTAATTAAATTGTTTAAAAAAAACAAAAAAAAAAACAACTAATTTATCCGGTTAAAAAGCGAATTTGAGTTTAATTTATTAACCCGTCAATGTTCGGCGCCGCAAGTGAGTGTTCGGAAAATAACATTTATAAGGGCCCGCTGAACGGTTAAGTTTTTTTCTAAAGAAATCTACGTACACTGTCCCCGGAAACATTGCTCTGCCGGTCCCGTTAGTCGCGCGTTTAAACTCCGATTTCGACACGAACGCCGCCGCAATATCAATCGCGTCGCCCGTCAGCCACGTGGCACAGACCGCAGCGGACGACGTTTCTCGGAATCGTCCACGGAGGACGCGATACCCTGCGCGCGTCGCGACATTGCAAAAAGACGAACGGATGTATCCACACTTTGGTAACGCTTGTATCCCGTCCGTANCGCGTCGCCGCCGTTCTACAGACGTTCTATCGCAACGCCGGTCTTGACGTTCGGGGCGAATCGACCCCGGAGTCGTACTTAATTAATGACCGGGACATTGGCCGCACAACGTCGGCCCGATTGTTTCGACATTGCAAAAAGACGAACGGATGTATCCACACTTTGGTAACGCTTGTATCCCGTCCGTAAGCCTCGAGAAACGCGTACGATGCACGGGTGTTTGATTCTGACGACGCGTCGGGTATCGAAACGAACAGCGGCACAAATTTGTTCCCGGCCGAACGCGAATTGCCCACGCCGTCCTGCGCGTTCGTATGACGGACACGGCGAACACGGGGGTATCGCGTCCACTCGAAAGAAACAGAACCGACGGGATTATATTATATTATTTTTTGGTTTTTTTTTTTTCGACAAGCCGTCCGATAGAGTTTTTTTTTTACCGTGGTCGCCACGTACAATATTTATTATTATATACACGGGGTGATTTTTTCATCGCGGACCAGCAATTATCTCGAAGTTTTTTAAATGAAACTGAACCTTCCCCACACTTCCGGTCTAAACTTTAAACCGTTATAATTCATTAAAGATAAATCCGATACGCGTAGTGTTACGCATATTAAAATGTCCGGAAAAACATCCTCTATTCGGACCCGTGTTCAAAATAGAACGAGGGTTCCTATTTGAAAATCGAATGTACGTACACGGAGTAGGGGTGAACAATTTAAAAACAGTTTTTTTTTTTTTTTTTTAAATGAAACTTAGACGATTCCGTCTAATGATTAGAAAAACAAACGCAAATCAGATTCACTTAAAAAAAAAAAAAAACTCCGGGCTAAATAATTGCTGGTTCGCGATAGAAAAATTCACCCCGCGCATGTCATACTATTTATATCTTTGAGAAATCCGTAAAAATAATACCGTTCGATTAACAATATTCCGTCGTTTTTTCTCCAGAAACATCAGATCTACAGTATAATAATAATAATAATAATAATAATAATAATAATAGTATTAATAATAATAATATATTAATAGAATATCTTCGACATTTTATTTTTCTTAACTATAGATATCTATTTACTTTAATACAATTAATAAATTGAGCACTTTTCTAATATAATAATAATAATAATAATAATAATAATTATTGACTTAAGTTAGATTTCATTAATGTATTTTTTGATTTACCGATTGGCACGAAAAAAAAAAAAAAATCACATTGGAGAGCACGACAGTGTTTTTTAGTTTTTTTTTTTTCAATAATAATAATAATAATATTTGTTAACGTAAGATTATTTTTTTTATTTATTTATTTATTTATTTTTTATTTTTTTTTTTTTTTTTTTGAAAATATAAAATTTCTTAATGCTCAATTATTACAAATACCGTTTTTTCGTTTACATTCCGCGTAATAACACAATACAGGCCGTCGTCCGTACAATGTACTCGTTATTATTTATTATGTATTATTAACGTCGTAAACCCTACAAATATCGTAATCTTTTTTTTTTTGGACGGAACTACCTACAGATATAATAATACAATAACGCTGTTTAATCTAACCCGTAAATATCTACAATTATTATTACAATATGCGTTCGGTACGCACACGGTACATAAATAATAATTTTATACACACGCATATAATTTGTTTTTCAACCGTGTTTACCTAAACCAGTCGAATTACAAAAATTTATCAACCCTATTGTCGTCGTTATTCAATAATTTTAATTACAATAATTTTCGTCGCAAATTACGGTACGCTATATATTAGGTATAATAATAATAATAATATATTCGAACACGTTACAACCCACAACAAAATTTATAAAGCTGCGGTTTTTTTTTTGTTTTTTTTTTCATTTAATATTTTTAATTTTTTTTAAAATTGTACATAAATTATTTAAATTCTAACAGGAACAAATATAATTATAATTTATTTTTTATTGTGAGTTTTCAAAAAAAATTCCGGTTTCCGATTACAACGCCTACGATAATAATACATAATAATATACAATTAGGAATGCAAATCCAATGCACTAAGGAAACAACTTCCGGAAAAAAAAAAAAAGAAAAAAGCATTCAATTTCCAGACAAATCGGTTTCGATCCCGGGGCCGTTTTCATTTCGAATGTCTCCGCTTTGCCGTTTCGTTGCGTGATGCCCGTAGGTATTGTAGGTACAGTATCGTAGTAAAATAGTATTCGAATAGATTCTTATTTTTTAAGTAGAAAATTGACGGGTGCAATCGACGAGCTCCGCGGAGGGCCGTGCTACTCGCGGGTAGTTTTTGAAAAAAACATTTTTTTTTTTTTTTTTTTTTTTAAGTCACTCTATTACGACATTTGAATGCTTTTTCCGGGGTTTTTAGCGCGTTAAATTAACAATCCTAATTATAAACGCTTTCGAACGCCTTTACGGTCCGTGATAGGTAATAAATACGAGTCTCTTCTAAAACCTAACGTTGTTTTTATTTGCTCTTCTCTAAACCGTATACAGTTTTTTTTTTTTTTTTTTTTTTTTTTNAAAACAAAATGGAAAACATAAAAAAAAAAAAAAAAAAAAAAAAAAAAAAACAATCAAACAAAAACCATGTACAATATTGTTTAAAAGCTAAATATCACACACTGTCCGCTCACAAAGATCATACGGATCTCGGTGGCGTTCTAATACATAACAATAAATAATATATTATAATATCTATATAATTTTTTTTTTTAAAAAACCTTTTTTTTTTAATATATATATATATATATCTGTGTGTGTGCGTGTGTGTATAGTATACTCGTTCGGTTATTAAGTATATTACAATATATAATAATAATTGTTTAGAAGTCAAAAGTCTACGTACGAACGATATATAATATATTAAATTAACACCTAGTACACGGTATACCCAGTTTAAAGACTGTACTTTTTTTTTTTTTTTTTTTTTGTCTGCGGACTCGAAAATCGACGATTTCGAGTTGTAGTCCAACGAGTTTTGACAATTGGAGAAAAACGACTGTCGCCGCGAAAACATGTGCGAGATTTCAACGCAAAACGATACGCGACACCGTTTCAGCTTTTTTAATCGCCTTTTGATGATCGGTAGCATAACTTTAGCAACCAGCACACCAGCAGGCACATGAAGTAAGAAATAACGGTTGTCTATTTCGTGTAATTTAAAATATTAATTTCCCATTATTTAAAATCTCAATTCGGATATCGTCGAACGATCGGTCGTAAAATTCTACTCTAAATGAATAACGTGGCACACGATTTGTTGTAAATTTGTCACTATCAACCGCCATTATAAGACGATGACAAAAAAAAAAAAAAACAAAAAAATGCTAAAACGACAACACATATCGGTTTAAGTTAAAAATGTACACGCGTTTTTACGGCTGTAGTAGGATTTATTTATCATCGTACGGAATGTGTTAACAGTTATCACTTAAAAACGTCAATTTTTGACCATGTTTAAAAAAAAAAAAGTACCGTTTTTAAACTTGATATGCATATTGTACGGATTACGAATAAATCATATCAAATACAATTGTTATTTTATTTTTTTTTCCACTCTGTATGTTCGTATTGTGTTTTTTTTTTTTTTTTTTTTTTTTTTTTTTTTTTTTCAAGAAACGGCGTTTAACTACCGCGTTTCTAAAATACAATAACAACAATAATCATATACGAGAATAAAGAGAATATTAATACATATTTTTAATTTGAAAAATGAAAAAAAAAAAAAAATTAATTAGAATTGAACACATTAAGATAATTGTTTGTTTCGTTTTCGAATAATTTAATATATTATATATGTATATAAAGGTGTGGGTGACAGTGTGGTATTAACGTATCGACGGTGATATTGTACCGTTTGACAGGATAACATCATAAACTATAATTATACGTTTCGCGTTTAATGCGTGTGTTTTGGAAAATTTCAACGAAAACCGTGTTAAAACGTGGTAACAATCGGTTTTACTCGGGGCCGTTGCCGGTGCGGGATTGCGGGACGAGAGCGGGGGGGACGGTGTCGGACCCGCAAACGGGCGTCTCCGTTTTTTTTTTACCGAATTCGACCTCTCGAATTCCCACCGGCAACCGTCTCCGGCAAAACTCGCCTTTCGCTTTTTTAGTTTCTCCGCGCTCGTATCCGCCGAAAGAGTGGACATCTGTCGACCGAAAACTCATACCGCCGTCGAGTGAACACGTTTCATTGTGTTATTCACGACCGAGACGATTGCGCTTTTCCCCGATTTGGCGAAAACGGGTCGATATCACTTTTCCGGCGGAGACGGCGCGGGTCCGTTTCGGCGGAAAGGGGAAAAGTCCGTTTCGGTGAAAACCGGTCCCGCCGCCCCCAAACGGCCACGGTCGAAACTATGGATCGCGGGAAAACGGCACGAGAGTCGTCGTAACACGACGGCAAACGAAGACATTTTTTTTTTTTTTACAACAGTTTTGAAATCGCGTACAGCGACGCACAGAAAATCGAACGGTTCGGAATGAACGTTTGGACGCGCGTCCGGGGAGATGCGACAAAGCCCGGCGGTTCCGGCCGCGACGCGAAAAAGAAAAAAAAAAGGAAAAACGGAAAAAAATTCCCGACAAATCGAACGTGTAACTATTACGTCGTTCCGGCGTAGAAGAGTCCGGACGGCGTGACGTGCGCGCGTATGAAGTTCGAATAACGAAAAAAAAGCTTTCTGATATAGCGACGGGGGCGGGGGCAAAGGGGAGAGGGCGAATAGTAGAAGAATAGAAACGCACTCGGGTCGGGTCTCCGGACGGCTATGGGTCGGGACAACGAGTTCTGCGAGTGTACCTCGATAACAAATAGATTTCCGCGGAACGACCGATCGGCGGTGCGCTCGGAGTAGGGGGTGGGGGGAGGGTCGGCAGAGTAGGAGTTTCGGGGTCGCGTTCTCGCCGCCCTCCCGCCGCGCTGCTCGTTCGGCCCGAAAATACAACGGTCGGTCTGTCGGTGCGCCGGGCCGAACGTCGGAGTTTCCGGCGGTGCGGGTTTTAAACTGGTCGCGTTTGGCGGGCCCGGGGAGCTATTGCCGGATCGTAACCGTTAGTAACTGAATCCACCTCTCCGGTCGAACGACCGCGGGGCGTAAACGGACGAAAAGCCGTCGAACGGGTGGGAAACCGAAAATAACGGCGGCGACGGACGACGGCCGGTGTAACGGTGTCGATCCGGGGGAAAAAAAAAAAACCGAAACAAAACCGAATTCCGGAGGGCGTAAGAACGATTTCCGATAGGACGGGCGCCTAGCGTTACCGCCGCCGTTACACGGTCCGATGCGATACGATGTTCGCGGTTCACGACGGCAACGTAATGTTTGACGCGTACAATTACGACAGGTTAACGGTGGTTTTTTAACGACAAAAAAAAAAAAATAATAATAATAATAATTACAATAACGTACAGTAAAATTATCGTTAATAAATATTATCGTCCGCCGGGTCGGTGTGTTTCGCCGTCGTTTTCGTCTCCGTTACTCCTCTCTCTCTCTCTCTCTCTCTCTCGCACTCTCGGTGCCGGTTCCGCGTGATCCCCGTGTCGTCGCGTGTCTCGTCCGACCGATGACGACGACGACGACGACGATGATGACGATAACGATATTATCGTCGTGTGTATAACGTTTTTTTTTTATTTTTTTTTTTTTTTTTTGCGTGTAATCTCATTCCGTGATGGGCGGGTGAGGTGGGGTCGGCGGAGAGCGGAAGGAATCCTCCGAACGGCCGCCGAGAGTGGAAGACGCGCCCGTTTCCGCCGCCCGCCCGCGGCGGCCCGTTCCGCGGGGACGGTTTCCGGCGTCGGCGATAATTCCGCGCGTCCCTGTCCGTCCGCAATCGCGACGACGACTCGACACTGGGCGTCGCGTCGGACGCGCGCGGTAAAAGAATATTATGACATTATCGTTTGCGTCGTTGCGCGCGCGCGCGATTTTCGAATTCGCAATTCGGGGGGTTTTTTTTTTCTGGTTGTTTTTTTTTCGTTTATAATTTTTTTATTTCGTCGTTTGTTCCGTCTCCGGTCGCCCGCGTTCGGCATTTTCGTCGGTTTCGTCCGCGCGTCCTGTAGTCGTCCCTGCGCCCGTCCCCTACGTGACCGCGGCCGCCGACAGCGCCGTCCGCGCGAGACACCAAGACACCGCCGCGACCGCCAACAGCCCGACGGCGGTCCGGGCCGTCGTCCTCGTGCCGCCGCTGTCCGCGTCGTCGAAGTCGAAACATTCAAAATCGTCGTCGGACAACGGCACGTCCTCCAGGCACACCGGCCTCTGGTCGCCGTACACCGCGCCGCCGCCACCGCGGTCCGACGGTCCGACGTCCGCGTCGCCGCCCGCGACGCACATCGACGCGTTCCGCACGCACAGCCGGTCGTCGCAGTGTTCGTAGCAACAGTCTCTCCGGGCGTCCGTCGACGACATCTGGTACCCGATGTCCGGATCTGCGAACACGAAAACGCATATCAATAAACACGCGGCGTTCCGCGCGCCGCGCAGCCGCCGGCCACCGAACCCGCGCGTCCGTCTCGCGCGCGCTGTACAATTTGCCGCGGTCCCACCAGCCCCGTATCGCCCGTCTGTCGGTATCGTCCCCGTGCGTTTATCGCCTCCGACGGAAGAAACGCCCCGTGCCCCGTGTCCTTACCGGGCCGCTTTTACGCCGTCCGACTTACGAAACCGCCGCGGGCGTAAACCGAGAAATCCCACGCGGAGTACGGGCTCGATCGAACCGCGCACGTCAAACACCGCGCCCGGGGCGGCCGTACGGTCGTCGTTCAACCGTCGGCCGGTGCTGCGGTAGCCACGGGGAACGCGGTCCCCGGTCACGCGAACGTTCCTCGCGAACAGCGGTCGGCGTCCGTACCGGATCCGAACCGGCCGCGGCAGATGCGGTGACTTTCGTGTACGTTTTCCCGACGGCCGACGGCGACTGCGGCCACCCTGACCGAACAATGACCGCGCGTTGTTTTAGCCAATGTCCGAACGGAAAGTACAATGGAAATTCGGAGCGCTCGTCCAGTAGCGTGCCCGTTAGTGTTGTTGAGTTTACGGCAAATCTCGGTATCAAACCGTAAATATGGCGACATTTACACGCGGTTACCATACGGTTATCATTGTCCGAATTCCGCCGGTTCCGTAATTTCACGTTGTTCCGTTATTTTTGTTTTTTTATCACTATTATATTTTATTATTGAATATTAGCGCTCGGAACTCATTGCACTCGAAATCCACAAAAAAGCTTTGAAAAAAAAAAATATTATTAGACCAAACGGTAGAAGGGTCTGTATGTTCCCCGTCTAACGGTTCTAAATTATTAAATATAATTTTCCAACACGACACAAATTATCAACAAAAATGTATTTTGTTCGAATACAATTTCACGTATTTAAAAATAAATTAGCTTTGGGTCAGCTTTAGTTTGTGTAACGTTAGAAAATTATATTGGCCAAGTCAAAGCCATTCGAGGGAGCGTATAAACCCTTTTACCGTTTTTGTTTTTTTTTTAATATTTTCAAGTGCTTATTTCAGTTTTTTTTTTTGACGATTTTAAGTGTTTTTTTTTTTTTTTTTTTGCGGATTTCAAAAGCAATGAGTCCCGGAGTCCTACTTATTATTATACTCATTATGTTTGTTCATTGTTTGTTTATTATTATTATATCTATTTACATTTGTCACGGATCACATTGGCCGACTGGCGTCTGGTCGTTAAAAGTACGGTTTTTGGACCGAAAAGTAATTGCCACTCACCCCCTACACCCCCCCCCACCACTATCCTAGAAGACGGACCGAATCCGTCGCTGTTAATTAGTATACGGTACGCTCGTTTACTATTGGTTTAGTGGAAACAAATTTCGGGATTTATCGGACGGGTAACGGCGATTACGGTATATAGGTCGTTTCTGCAGGGCTGTCATACTGTTAGGTTCGTTTTTTCGTGCCGGGCGTTACCACCGAGTAATCTACCCGGTCTCAAGATTTCCCGTTAATAGATTGGGTTTTTTTTTTTTTTACCTACATCAAACCTGCTAATTCATACGAAATCGTATAGATAACTCTGTAAAGTAAAAAAAAAAAATAATAATAATATGGATTCGTTTCGCAACTGGTTACGATCGTGTCGTACCGCCGCCGCCGACGCCGCCGCCGACGGTCTCGCCGATCGCCCCGGGGACCCCGTCTCGACGAAAAACGCGCTGCGCAAACGCAATTTCGCCGCGGAAAAGCCCCCGAGGAATCGAATTACCGCGGTCGGCGGACAATTTCACGCCGGAAAACGCTATACCGCCGCCCTTCCCCCTCCCCCCTCCCTCTCCCCGCCGCCGCCGCCGCCGTGTAAATACAAAAAATCCCGCGACGGTCGTCCCACGCGGTCCCGCGTGAACAATTTATACCGGCGCGTCCCGACTGCGGCGCGCTATTATCGGAGTACCCGCTGAATTCCGCGATTGTCATCAAAACGACGCGGGTCGGTGAATTCCGTTGTGGTTCGTAATGGAACGTACGCGTGGCGGTGTGCACCAACGGAAATGCGTCTCGCGCGCGGTACCGGCGACCACGTGGCGATCGCGGCGTCCGCTCGCATCGTCGTCGCCGTGTCTAGGAGACTAATCCGTTTCGTTTCGTGTCTCTCCGAAGTTTTTCCTGCATTCACGAATGTCCGTTCGATACGGAAAAACGGGCTATCCGGACCGCGAAACTTCGTCGGTCTGCGAATTTCGGTTAATTTTTTTTTCTATACGGTCGCCGCCGTTCGTACGCGACGGTCGAAACGTCGCGTCGGACAAAACGGTCTACCTCCCCTGTCGAACGCAAGGACGAGAAACAAATAAGGGCGACGTAACGTTTCGCAGTAAAAAAAAAAAAAAAAAAAAGAAAGAGAGACAATACTTTCCGTCCGAGATAATGAATGTGTTTCGGGGTAAATTGATCGCCCCCCGTAAACGACCGGGGCGGAATACGAATTCCGGTTCGCCCAAAACATTTATTTTCGGGATGTTGATAAAACCGCCTATTAGATCGGTCGATTTTTTTTCAATCCTCGAGACGTGACGTTTTAAAACTGAATATTACGGTCCCGCCGACTCTCGAAAACCTGCGGTAACCAGTCGCGCGTACCATACGATTAATGCGATAACACGATTACAATCGATGTTAACCGGTTCGTCCGATCGCGCCGTCGATAACGATTATCACTAGGGTGCGGATTTAAACGCTCGAAAAAAAAAAAAAAAAACAAGAAAAATGCAATTCAATGCGTGTAAATTAAACGAAACGATTAAATGATATTGATTAAAAAATGTCCTAAAAATTATTTTAAACGTTGAAAAATCTTTTTTTTTTTCTTTTTTTTATCGGGCATATTAATTTACTAAAATACAACAGCGCGAACAGTGCAATACGACTACATTACAGCTCGATAAATAGCTTCTTTATTGCAGCTGGTATCGTGTTTCTCCGGTACAATCTGTAAATGTATACCTTGCACGCGTTTTAAAATGAGAAATACGAGTTTTTTTTTTTCTTTCTTTTAAAAGGAAAACGAAATAAATCGTACCGAATTGTCTGATAAAGAAGACGAAATGCGTTAAAAACCGAAAAATGTCGAAAAATACAAAATAAAATCGTCGTATTCTCACAACTCTCTGATATACGAAACAAATTCTGTGCTCGGAAAGCGTTGCTTCGGGGCGTTCAGATAAAAAAAAAAAAAAAAAAATGCAATTTTGTATTTCAATCCGCGCTCTAGTATCGAATAATCTGCCGTACGTCAAACGACATCGGTATCGATTCGAATCCCGTCTTCTACCGAAGTCGCGCGCGTAAACGTCAAGGCGCACTCGTTTGTAGATCACGAGACCGCCGACACCGCTGTGCGATACAATCGCATACACCCGGGAAAAAATCGCGATCTTAAATAATTTGCGCGCCGAACTCGTTTTGGATTTCAACTACCGGAATGACGCTCGCGAATTCAACGTTTAATAAAAGTGAAAATATTGTTGCTCAATAATTGTCCGTTTGTCGGGGCAACCGGCGGAACGCGTCGGTCGACCGAAAGCCTTTTTTAACTTCGTGTTTTTTTTTTTTTTTGCGTTCGGAGCACACGCGGGCGCTCGCGCGATTTTTAACCGGGACGGGAAAACGTAAATGAAAACGTTTTCCGGGCGGCGGTAACGTTTTTGTGTCGTTACGGAATTTCAATGAAATTACGTTTACCGCCACGAACTCTTGTCCGCGCCCGTACGCGCCGTTAACGCAATATTTTTATTTTATTTTTTTTCCCCTCCCGCGCTAATTGCGCACTTCGAATCGAAGAAATTCTCCGGAGGACCGCCGGCCCCGCAGAAGCACCGCGCCATTTGCCCGTTGTGAGACCGACGTTCACTCACGCGGACGTGAAGTAGGTATGGCGTGTACGGCTGTGTAAATTGAACGGAAACCAATAAGCGTCGAGAACAATGCGAACCGAGAACAATATAACGCGCGGGCCGGTGTTCGATAACGCAATAAACGGGCGGGCGCCGTGTTGGATGAAAGACCGCGGATAACGAGAGGAAATCAACCGGGTACGCCGCGCCGTACAGCGAGCCGCCCGCACAGAAAAAGGGACGGGGAATTCCGGGGTTCACGCGTTGAGGACCGAAGGAGCCGACGCGCGGCCGTACCGGACGGCGGCCGCCCCGCGCAACGTCGCTACGGTCCGATCGCCGTCGCGTTGACGGGCCGAGGCCCGTTCGAGAAAATGCTAGTGAAAACGGATCGGAAATATTCAAAATAGACCGACGGCGCAGGACAAAACGGATTCGCGCACGGGTTCCGCGCGAGTGCGGCGCGTCATTTTGATGACGTTGTTATCGCGGGGATTCCCGTCACTGTCGTTTCGATGTCGTTTCGCGGCGATAATAATTGTCCACGCGTCATACGCATCGAAAGGCCTTTGTCACGGTGTGTCCGTGAGCATTTTTTACGGGACGGCACGCAACGGAAATTCGCACAAAAAAACCGCACCGTCACGGTGGTTATGCGTTCGATAAAAATTAGGTGGGTAATTAGTAATCACTAGGGGACGGATTTATATGTACTTAAAATTCACAAAAACGCTTAAAAACGTCATAAGAGCCATAAACAATATTTAAAAGAGCAATAAAGGTCGAGGGGTATGAAAAGGTCCCCGGTCTATTGTTCCTAAATTATTGAAAATCATTTTTGAACACTAAAAAAAAAAATAATTAAAAAACCAATATTACAAAATTTATATATGAAAAAGCAATTTTCTTCAAATAAGTGTTAAAAAAAAAAAAATATACGCTTTGTGTTAATCATTTGTCAGTGTTTAACATTAACGCAAAGCATTTTTTTTTTTTTTTTATCATTTGTCAGCGTTGGAGACAGTTTTATTTAATAACTTTAGAACCGTCAGAACATTAAAACCGCTCTGGATTTTTTAAGCGCTTTTTGACGGTTTACGCGCTTTTTGCGGATTTCCAGTATACACATAAGATCCCGTTCCCTACTAACGTTACGCACCCAACTGATTTTAATACGCGATTTTTACGAATCGCCCCGTATGTGTGTGTGTGTGTGTGTGTTGGGGGGGGGGGAGGGATCGTATTAGGCACACGTACAAGAACAACTGTCGGAGCGAAACCGGACGATTTCGGAGGTTTAACGCCGCGCCGAGATCAGTGTCAAAGGAACGGTGGGGGGGAGGGGGGAAATTTACACGCGTTGGGCATTTTACTACGCCGGACGTTTACGACCCGTCCGATCCGGAACCGCGGGTGTGCCGGATGGGATGGGCAGCGGTCGGGGCACGAGATAGGGGCGATGATGACGGCGGCGATAAATTCGCAGTCGGCCGCGCGCGTATAAAACGGCAATAATTTCGGCGCGTTATCTCATTTTTCACAATATTATTGTCGTCACGTTTTCCCGTCATTGTCGTCCGGTCTCGGTCCGCGTCGTCGGGGGCCGTGTTACCGTCGCTGCGAAAAGTGATTTTATCACGCTGCGCGGGCCGCGCGCGCTGGACGAGCGCCTCCGCCGTCGCACGCGCGTTTCGGCGGCTAGCAGACGACGGAGCGTTTTTCGGTTTTTTTTTTTTTTCCGTGTTTTCCCGTTGTCGTTCCGTTTCCTCTCGGCCGGACAACTGCGCGTCACCGCGTAACACGCGATTCCGACAGCGTTACGGCTCGCGCGCGCTGTTTTTCGCACGGCGGCACTCGTGCGTCGCGCGCCGCGGAAAACCGATTGACGTGGCCGCGCGGACCGGCGTCGCGAGTCGGGCGGCGGGGGTCGAGTGGCCACCGACGGGGAAAAACCGCCGTTTCCCGACGCCCGCCCCTCGATTCGCGGTAAACCCGCCGGTAATCGAACATTCTCCGAGCGGACGTTTTCGCAATCCGACCGAGAACACTGCGCGGTCACACGCGCGACGACGTCCGATCCGCGGTCCACGCGAACACCGTTCGTATCGATTCGATTCGATTTCGAGAAAATTCCGACCGCAAACCCCCACCCCACCCCCCGGTCCGCCGCGAATCGAAGACTTTTCAACGCGTTCGTTGTTTTTTTTTTTTTCTCCAGCGTCCGCATAGAACGCGCGCGTCGATAACGCGGATCGCTTTTCTTGCCGCACGTCGACGTCGACCGCGGAAATAACCTCGCGCGTGCGGAATTTTCGACTCTGAGGTTTTCGCATCGCGCTCGATTCAAAAATAAACAAACTATCGTGTTATGCCAATGTCCCCCGGGTGTTACGTTCGCGAAGAGATCAACGAAAAATAAAAAACGACATTTTTCGCGCGTTACCTACGCCGAACCGTTTTTGTGCCACCAGTGCGATTGGAAAACCTCCCACGTGACGTTTGAAAAAAATCCTGTAATTTCGGTAAAACATTTTAACTAACAAAACCTCCCCTATGATGACATTTCGACAATGTATACAATACATTGTCCGTAACTATTAAGTTTTTACGTCGGTTTTTTTCCACAATAAATTGTTTTATGGATTTAAAAATTTAAAATTCATTAATAAATCATTGACAACTTCTGATTTTTTTAAAACGTTCTTCGTGTTTCCCGGAAAATCAGGTTGTAGCGCGTAGAAGGTTTTTTTCACCTAAATGGCGTTGGTAAAATTAATAAAAAAATAAAAATCCGCTGTTAACTGTTTTTCGCCGAAAATAGCGTTAAGGACCGTTTTCGTATGAACCGAATAGTTTAACGCAAAACCGTTTACTGTGCGAAGAAGGCGGCCGAACCGATATTCGCCTTGGGTTCGGCTCTCCTCGGCTCCAAAGGAAAAGGGCTCCGGTCGAATCGTTCGGTATAGGTTCCGATACGAGCGGATCATGCGTCGAAAATCGCCAAAAAAAAAGGCATAACGAAGTGATAACTGCTAAACAGTTAAATGAATGTACTCGACGTAAACACGATTTTCCAATCGCCATCTGTGAAAAGAAGTACACGATAAATTTCAAACTTCAAACGGAAGACAGTAAAATACCGACTGATATAAGCCCTTTGACCCTACCGGTGTTCCTATTTCGTCTTGTGCCTGAACGCACAATCCCACGATAGTAAAAAGGACATGGACATATCGCAGTGCCGATTTCAGTGAAATTTCCCTTAAATCTGACGCACAAGGTAAAATGTGAATCATAACCGTTTCCGTGAACCCGGTCCAGTTATATGACTCGTACCTTTTCGTCAAACATAAAGTACGCCATAGTGGGTTAAGGTCTTTCGATTTTCAGTAGAAAATATCGTATAGGTATACACCAATATTTACGCCGGTCAGACGAAAAATCAAAGCGAACAAAATTATACAAGATAAGAATATATGTAGAAAAGAAAGAAAAAATCAAAATCGAATTGATTCCAATGCTACCTGTGGTATAATAACATAAAAGAAATATGACCTTTCGAGCGTTTTTTCCGGGCTAAACGACGTGTATTCCCTTAGGCCGGGAAATAATGTACGCGGAATTTCGTGATTTTTTCTCTTATGACACTCATCTGAATATCGCAAATATTGACACGAAAATCGCCAGATTGTTTTTGAAACCGTAAAGCGTCTGGACAAGTCCGATGCAAATGTATTCGGTAAAAATTCCGTGTGCTATCAATGAAAACCGGAGAAAAATTGCCGGCAGAGAGTATGCCAAGAGAAAAACGTCGTAGACATGATTGCAAAACCATAGGCTCCGTCGCTCCGTCCAGTATCTAAACGAACACGTGTCGCGGTCAAACTAACACGTCGGAATTCCAGAATCTGAAACTAAATAACTATCAGTTATCATTTATTGATCGTTAACGAATTAATTCATAATTTCCATTGTGTGCGCAGTATCCGATACTATCCGATATTAATCGATTAATCGTTCGCACAGGAATTTTTTATTTTTTTTTATTTCAAACGGTTAATACGATCTGGTCGTTAATGGTTCAATCGATAACGCTGACTGGCGCGGCATAGTTTTTGGGACGAGACCAATTGAATAGTATCGGTGACCGTATTTTAGTGGTGCAAAGAAAAATATAGCCGAATCGATTTTTTATTTTTATTATTATTTTTTTTTTTTAAACGACCTAGAATCGTTGAATGCTTTTAACTAAAAAAAAAAAAAATAATAAAATAAAAAAATTGTAACATAATACAATAATAAAAATTTTAACCGAACTTTTGTGTGCTGTGAACAAAATCAAATTATTGAGTCGTCGAGGGTTTTCAAAAAAGAAATATCAACGTTTCATATTTATATATATATATAAATAAAAAAAAAAAAAAAACGATGTTTTTATTTATTATTACACGTTCAACGATGTTTTCACAGGGTCAACTATTTTATTATTATTATTATTTTTCTTTTTGTTTAAGAACTCGGTTGGCATTTCGCATAATACGTGCCTGACACAAAAAAGCCTTTCGTAATCGGACGAAACAAAGAATGGCGGTAAACACGTATTTGTAAGACTGCTTTTTTCCCCCCTTTTTTTTTTGTTCGTAACACTTTTTTTTTCTTTCTCCTCTACAAAACGTTGTATTCATAAAAAATATATATGCGTATATATATATAAAAAAAAAAAAAAAAAACAAAAACAAAAATGTTCCTCGTATAAACTTTAAAGTTTAATGAATCGTTCTGAGACATTTTTTTTCTTATTATAGTTATAGAAAGACGTTTGTACTGCAGTTTATTATTATTATTATTAATATTTTTTTGAAACGAAACATTTTATTAAATATACAATTTTTTAAATGTAGATATAAATATCGTCTGAAGTGTGTTTGTTTTTTCTATCGCATAATCTTTATAATAATATTCCGTTTTACGAAATGTTCAATAATGTGTTTAACATTTTTATTATTATTTTTTTTTTAACAACACTCTATAAAAGTTCGATACCCTTTAGAAATATCCACCGAAAATATAACCCTAGAAAAAATTACAAATACCAACTTTGCGGTACAAAGCGACATTTTTCCTATACCTTTAACAATAATTAAAAAAGATCCTGCCGATGGGTGTGTTACTGTTGAAAGTGAAACGTCGTCAAGGTAGCCGGGATACGTTAAGCTATTCGATTTCTCGTCCGTGCGCAACGGCAAACTATTTTACCGCGTGTAGAAAAGTCTATTACGAGAATCCTGCGAAAATTGCACGTCTCTCCGATCGTTCTAAACCGAATTACAACAAAAATCCAAAATCGAATAAAACGGAACCGTCAATTCCGTAAACTTTTCCGTTTTTCCTACGGTGTTTCCCAATTATTAGGACAGTCACAACGAAAATCAAAATACGGTTTTCTGACACGCCGTCCGGTTAAAATTGTCTCCCGGAAAAGAACGGCAAAACCGGTAGAAGGGGTACGCGGAATAGTTGTGCCTTCCTTAATAACCGGTCTGACTTGTGTTAAATATAATTTTCTAAGTACTACAAAAATGTCATTTCATAAATTACAGTCGTTAGAGGATTGACCGGGGGGGGGGAGGGGCAAATTTAAAACTCCTCAGCATTTTTGTTTTTTCTAAACAGTTGTGCTTTTCTCGTGGCTTTTCGGACGTTTATAAGCGGTTTTTGTGAGGATTTACACACAATACGTATGTCTATTGCATACGGTAAAAATTAATTATTTTGCTTTGTAAATAGAACCTAAACTAACCGCGTGCATATTAAATCAATAAAAAAAAAAAACTCGGTTACGCGAGAATATACAAAAAAAAAAACAAAAATGAATAGGATTCTCTGTTAGGAATAGGTTTTTTTTTTTTTTTTAGTATATAATCATTGAAACCGAAAATTTCGCTATGATTTTTTTTTTTTTCGGTAATATCCTCGGGTTAATGTTTTTCGCTCTGATCCGTGAAACACTGTCATTGCCGAACGCGATTCAATTCTAATTTTCCCGTCCCACGATTAGACGCGCGATGTATACACAACCGCCCGGAAACCGAAATCGGCGGGATCCAAAAACGTGGCACTTGCGCGGACGGCGGGCGAGTGCAAAAACTGCGCGCCGGTCCACTGCACCGCGGCGGCGGCGGTGGCGGCGGTGGCGGCGGTGGCGGCGGTGGTGCGGTGGCTGTCGACGGGCGTGTTGTGTAAAAAAATTACGGGAAACCGAAAACCCGACGGGAAGACGGTAGCGCTCCCGTTGTGTCCGTTTGTGTACGCGCGCGGGAGAGAGTGCTCGGCGGCCTTCACACCACTCCCTTCCGACCGGCCGCCGTCCGGTCGCGGGGATGGGCCCCCTAGCAACAACGATCGGCGGCGGTGGCGGCGGCGGCGACGGTTTCGGCGGCGGGTGTTGACGGCCGCGGCGCGAACACCAGGAAAGAAGGCGTCGCGTTCTCCCTCGCGGCGGCACACGTTCGCTAACTCACACGCTCCCGCACACGCACGCACACGCAGACCACCCGATAGCCGGCGCCCGGCACACCGAACGCGACGTTCGATTTTTTCGCGCACACTCGCTCACGTTCATCCGGTATCCGCGGACTCGTAATACTAATGACAATCTATTGCCACAGCCAATGTACCATCATAGACACAATCATAGCGGGCCGGGGCGGGGAGAGGGGGGGGACTAAGGCCTAAACCCCTTCCGAAATTCGGCCTGTTCGCCGGAAAAGTAGAACGCGCACATTTTCGGCTATTACCGTGTTTCGATTAATACCGTTTCCCCTCGGTCACACCGAAAAACTACTGAAATTTTAGTAAAACACCAATTCGATTTCGCTCAGAATCGGTTTTTGTTTGCAACGATCGACCGTTGCATACCTAATCACCCTCTGAACACCTAACCGAATTTAACAAACTACACATTTATTACCTGCAATACCATACCCGCAATGTCCCGTCCGACTGTATGTCCATTCGCAATATCTTAAGTATAATTTAAAAGATGCAGTTTTTTTATTTTTTGGATTACCGGTATCGTTTCAAACCCAGTGGCGTTCTCAGGAATTTCCATTGGGCAAGGGGGTAATTTATAGAAAAATATGTAAGGTTAGGTAAGGATGAATTTTCACATCCCCTACAAATTTAAAACGAATTGATTACAAAAAAAATCGGGCAATGGTAAGGTTTAAACCCCATGACCCCCCCCCCAGTGAGTACTCCGATTTATATTGCCTAAAAACCGCTGAAAATTTCCCCCCTCAATATTTTACCCCTTACATCACTCGGTAGATTTTAACTAGTGAATATTTACATTCTCTTCTCCTGTAAATTTCCATTCAGAGGGATTGGTCAGGAGAAAAATGTTTTAGTGGAAAAATTTGAACCAGGGACGAGCAGGTAAAATTTCACTGTTCGTTGTTGGCCGCTCCCTCTAATATTTTACCAAGGCCGTAAAATATCACGCGAGGGTCAACTGGTCACTGGTACACTGCAGGGGCGCCACCCAGAAATTTCGTATGAGAGGTCCATCATTTGTATTTTATCGGTTGTCTTACAATTATAATTATAGTTAAATTCATAACCAACGGATTACCGTTAATAATACTCGTAACAGTCACACGCCTATATATATACACATTTACAGAAGGGTTTACCGCGTATTTTATAGACCCCCCCCTCCCCCCTCGGGTATACCGGTCGTTACAGTATTAGTGACCTAATTCTTTAAAATTAAACTTCAAAAAAATAATTATAATAATAATGTTCCGTCGGGGTAATTTGTTTTTATCTCGCCTTTACCGTCGGTCGCTAGATAGGAGTTTACATCCGTCCCTGCGAACGTAACGTAATTTTCCCACGCGATTTGAAATTTCTCCGGTAAATAAATTTGTCATCGCCGCACACCGCATTGCCTCAGAACGTCGCGGGTTAATTTAATGACTTACGACTTCAATTTCGACATCCGACGAACAATTCCATATCGATTTCATTAACCAAAACGCGTTGTCCGTCCAATAACACGGGCGACACAGACATTGTCCGAATCGGTTCCCGGGCTCACGCCTCGCACGCCGAATCGATTCCAAGGCGAAGGCGAACCGCGGTTACCGTTCAACGCCGTGCATTTCAACGGCGAGCACACGCGGCGAACGTACCCAGTGCAACGTGCCCGGTAGATTTGCGAGGTTCCATTCGACTCGTATCGTACCGGGCCGCGGGCGTTTCGCATTTGTCGACGTAGTAAACTAATGTCGTGTCGGCGTATCGCGATCGATTACGAATAACGTCAATCTATCCGGGGGAGGGGGGGNGGGGGGGGGGGGGGGGGTATACGCAGTGGCGTGTCGGCCGTGATTCTGAGGGGCGATCGTCCGATAATTTTAAGCGGCGGGCGGGCGGGTGCCCGGTGGTCGAGCACTGGAGTCTGTGGAGAAACCGTTGTACAAGATTAACCTCGTCGGAACACGTCGTACGGACATCGAATAAGAATAATAGAATGAATAACAAGTATTCTAGGAAAAGCCATCGGCCCAGAACACTGTAAAAAACACCAAGGAATACGGCAGTTTTAAAGCATTTCGGTTTATTCGTGGGTAACGATAACGATCGATGCCTAAGAGTCGGGGGGGGGGGCGGTAGTGGGTCATTAAAAAAAAAAAAAAAAAAAAAAAAAATGAATCGCCCGACAAAACATTTCACTCCGTCCCGCCACCGGGCGTACGCGTCTGCATCGCGGCCGCGTGTGCCGAACACAACAAAACGCGGACACGTTCCCGGCGTGGAATCCGCGTGGTTCCGAGAACGGGAAGCGGGAAAATGCGCGTTCGACTGTGTTTGACTGCGAACGGTTGGCGACCGAACGCGGCCAGCGTTACGGCGGAGGGCGGAACGCGGTACGGCAAGTTGCGTGCCTAAGATTTCGGCGCGGCGTTGCCGGGTTTCCATAGGGTTACGCGGGTATTTGACTGTTCGACTCGGCTACGGCGGTTTACGCGGTGTGTTCCCGGCTGTTACACCGACGTTTGTGCAGCAGCTATACGAATCGCGCCGTGCGTCCGACGAGTTTCTGTTGTATTCGATTATGCGCCGGAACACGTTACGTTCGGCTCCGCGCGGTTAATTATTTACGCGGAAATCACTATTGCGCACGCGTGGTGTATGTTTTCTCGCCCGAAAATGCTCACTCGTCCAATCGAAACCGGCCGTTCGAACGTGATTATTTCTCCGGGGGTTGGGTGAAAATTTCGTTTCACAGTGGTTCGCGGTTGGTTATTAAACGAACCGTTATAGGATCCGTACTGTCCAATTCGATTCGACAACGTTTTAAACGTGACCGTTTCGAGTTCATCGAATCCGTTCGTGTAACGTTCTGTCGTTCGAGAAAACCAAACAAATCGTGTACAATAAAATAATAAACGGTAATATTTCCCGAGAAATCGTACGGAACCGTGCGTCGCCGGTAGTAGTGGACACGTCGCGAATCTAACCGATTCGGCCCGCGTTCGTAAAATACGTTTTTCTCCAACGAGAACCGATTCGGGTACACCGATCGTTATTGTTCCGTTATATCGTATCGAATATTATTATTTATATCGAATGGTTACTGGCAATTCGAAATTTCGTTGGACGCGGGATTTTCTTTTTTGCCCCCCACCCCTCGCCGTTTGCGAAATCCGTCGTATGCCGAAACTTCCCAACCCCCCCCCCCCCCCCCCCCCCCCCTCCTCCCCCACCCACTCACCGGCGTCGGATCGAGAGAAACGACCCCCTCCCACTCCCGATCCGACACCGGCGGACGGACGCGCGACGGGGTTCGGTTGTCGCGTCGGCGTGGCCGTCACCCGCGTTTACCCATGCACGTGAACGCCGCTTCGCCGGCGTACGGGTTGGAGTCGTCGGCCACCGGCAACAGCCACGGACACGTTTGCTCGGCCGCCAGACACACGGACCGGCAGGCGTTCACCCTGTAACGGCGTCCGCGTTTCGCCGCCGTAGACGCCGCGGTCGCGTCCGTCGTGACGGCGGTGGTCGTGGTCGTCGTGGTCGTCGTCGTCCTCGTCGTCGTCGTCGTCGTCGTCGTCGTCGTCCGGCCGGTGGTGGTCCAGTGCGGCAATACCGCCGAACACGCCCACAGAGCGTAAGCGTCCTGCGAACACACACACACATCGCCGTTATCATTATTTTGCACGTCACGTCTGTTATCACAACACCGCAATGGTTATCTAACGTTTGTAGCACGGTCTGTACTCTTATCGATAGATTCGGGCGCGACGCGATAACACCGGCGCTGCCGTGCCAAAAGCGATAATGTAATTACAACGTTACGGCGCATTTGAACGCGTTTTTGGTTTTTGTTTTTTCCCCGACTTTCGTTTCATCCTTTCCAACACCCGTAACCCGTAGATCAACGAAAATAATCGGTTCCGAAAATACCGGTAACCCGGCGTTAGCCCGCCCCCTTTCATATCGAACGGGGGATAGTGGAAAGTAGCTTTTATTTCCGAACTTTAATAGAACTACGCGTATGCAAAGTTTCTACAACTTAGGTCCGTTCAGTAGTTCGGGCGAGAAGTGATGCATCGGTGTACATCCAAATAAAATTTCGCGTTTGTGATATTATTTAGAATTAGGACAACAGTATCGCGACTGTTATACGGAGTTTTTCTATTTATTTTAACCCGGTCTCTCGCGCGAGGTCGTTATACATCTTATCAGAGTTCCTTCTCGAAAAACTCCGCACATCAGAAATATCTCGCGCCCCCGTACACATAAAATTGAATTAAATTAACATTGGAAAAAAACAAAAATTATGTCGACAGAGAATCGACTAAATACCACGGAACGATATTACACTCCGCTCGGTTAATCTTCGAAATCCACAAAATTTAAGTAAAGTATTTCGTACGCTCGCATAGTCGGGTTCCTACGCGGTTAGACAACCGTGAAAATGTCAAAGGTTTTCCGAACTACGCTTTAATATGTACAATTTAGCCATTTGTTTTTAAATTTTAGATTTTGATATGAGCGAAGAAGCTTATGGTTTTACAATGATGTTTATTTTTCTTTGTTTTAAAAAGAAATCAAACTGGGGAGGTTCTTTAAGGAGGTAATTTTTTTTTTTTTTTGATTTTCCCAGGAGTTTTCTCAATAAATGAGAAAACCGGGAAAATAGACACAAATAATATTAAAGAAAATATAATATAATATAATATTTGTGTAATTGTGTAACCATATTAATGTATACACTCGTATATTGTTGGCGAAGCAACACTATCAACTGAACTCCGCTCAGAATCGTTTTTTCGTTAGCAATGAATAATCGTTGCTGACATTAATTGCCATTAACGGTAGCTGCACCCGTCCCCGTTATCTTAGGACAGCTTTCGAACGTTTACCTTCATGACAAGACTATTTCGCTAATCGTTATCCATTTTATCTCCAATTCCCGTGGTAATACAGGCGAATTTCGACTGACTTTTGGCGATTATACGGTGACGCTATTCGATCCGCCCGAATGATGGCAAAACTTTCTATAATATATTATTACTCATTCGGCAATAGTTTCGGTCGGACGCTTGAGATATCGGCCTACATAAAATATGTCGACAGCCGTGGATTTATTTGTACGGCGAATTAATTATTCTTTTAGTCGCCCCCGCTGGGTAAATATATCACGTAGTTGGGACCATAACGTAAGGGGAGGTGATGGTGGTGGTAGATTGTCGCGAGTTTAAAAATCGCACGATATTTGTAACCGCCCTCGTATTTTTCTACGCCGATTTCTATAAAAGAACTGTATACCGGCGTGGCAGCAAAAATTTACTCTCCACAAGTGAAATTTGACCCACTCCCGGCCAAATTACAAGCGGGATCGATAATCACCAAAGACATCGCACCGATGCCCCGGTATGTTACCCCCGACAAATTTTCATTTAAGAAATGCGAGGACGGAGGAGGTGAAATTCCTTATTTATTATTCGCCCCTCCCCTCGCTTAACATTTTATCCTCCCGCTCTTGGTAACAGTCGCTGGGCGCAATAATCACCGGACCCGAGTATAAAAACAACATTTTCTCCTATACGTATAAGTATAGTGAACGGTTTTTTTTCCTTCGTTTCCCGGGCTATATTATAATATTATAAGTAAAAATCGAATGATGTATACATTTCGATTTAACTTCCCTTCGTTTCGCGTACATACATATATGTATAAAATATCGTTATTCCTTCGGATCGGGACGTTTCCTCCGGTCGGACGGCAACGAGGAGGGTCACCCTTCCCGTCCGCAACATGTTTGATATTCGTCGGTTTATGATATTTTAAAATCTGCCCCATCAATCATCGTCATGGAAATCTTGGCAGCTATTACTATAGATATGTTTGTATGTGTATGTATATATATATATATATATACGTAGGAAAGAGGGGCGGAGATGAAGGTCCAAACAGGATGACGACGGTGAACGACGGCTATGATGGCGGCGGTGGCGGTGGCGGTGCGAGGATAAGGAGGCGGCGGGGCACCGGGAGCGGGGAGAGTTAGTTTTTATTTAGTAAAAAAAAAAAAATAATAATAATAATAATATACGCGGTAATAAAATATATACACTCGCAGTCGTATTTTATATTTCGTATAAAATATAATAGCCTTAAAATAATTTCGAATTCATTTTTGAAGAAACTACTTTTTTTTTTTTACTCCTTCTTTTCGCGACACAAATATATTTACGACATTCTAATATATTACCGCGTGTACACATGCCGCGGGTAACCGAAAAATACGAGTATTATACCTACCTAACTATACACGATGTCTATACCACCATAATGTGTACCTACCATATACTACCACGAACCAGCCCTTCGGCTCGTGATTAATGGTAATTTGTCATTTAATTTACGATAATTTATTTTATTGTATACGTAACCCGTACCTATATATTATCGCTATCGGATTCGTTGCTGGGATTATTGATTAAAAAATATTAATAATAATAATAATAAGCATGGACATTTTATAATATAACCGCGGTGACGATATTAAATTCAGGTCGTTCGATTTAACGTTTCGAGATAATATTGATAGGACGCCGGGACGGTCATGATGATGATGATGATGATAACAATAATAATAATAATAATAAGAAGAAGAATTATAATAAAAATAATAATAATGATATTATCCTGCGCGAAATTATAATAGCATAGTACTACCAATATGTTACGTATACCTGTGTGCCAGTGATTATTGACCCCCGTGATATATTTATCCCCTCGGTTTAGTTTCTTTAGTGGAATTTTAAAGGGCAGAAGGGAAATAAAAATAAATGGAATTTGTCTGCTTTTAAACGATAAATTATTAACTCTACTCCACTCTTCCGGTCTAAACTATAAACTGATATAACAAACAAAACGATTACATCTGATATGGGTGTGATGCATATCAACATTTCAACATTTCAAAAAAAATTATTCTCTGTTTGAAAATGTGATTGAAACTGAAGTTAATATTTCAAAATCCAAAGTGGATATACTCTTATTAAGATATAAGGCGTATGGTTAAAGAACAGTGTTAAAATAAAGCTCAAACGATTTAAAAATAATTAAAAAAAAAAAAAAAACAGAAATCAAATTTATTTAAAATCTTCCGGAAAAATTGCTGTTTCCAGACAAAATAATCACTCTGTACATTATTATTATTATTATGATTATTATCAGTTAGACGAGCGCAATTATGATATTATAATACGTGCGAAATAGAGATTGGCAGGAAAGAACATTATGGGGCAATGTCATTGGAGTCATGGTGCAAAACGGGAACTTTTCAACAATCACGGTTTGTACTGCAGATCATACCTAATAAAAACCTGTATGTAAAGAATCCTTGGTGTTACGATATCACGTAATATAAATTTCCCATTCAAATGCCGATTATCTTATCGATATTAAAATAAAAACATCCTAAACATCCTCTTATTAGTCGTTTGATATAAAAATAAATTCTTATTTTATCTTTAAATGTTCGTTTTATTCGATTACCGTTACCCACTTTTTTCACCCCCCCTTTTTATGGCGAGCTTTCTCGTAACGTTCTTTTAATAATATCAGACAGTTTCAAAATTAATTGTGGCGTTTCCAGCAACGGCCGCAGGTAAATGTGCACATAATGGGTTTGGATTGTTTTCCGGACGAAATTGCGTGAGTTGTATAACATAGCGCAGTTAAAAGTTAAAATGTATACATTTTTTTTTAATATGTTTAAAGATATGTTTACGTTTTGAGCATTTAATTTTCGTTTTCTTTGTACAATTATCGGTCTAACCGCGTCATAGTAAAATGTATTGCCACTGCTTATGCGAATTGAAATGTAATTATTCCTCGGCCGTTCACCGTTTCACAAAACGGATCGGCGAACGATAGTCGTACGTATTTTCAACCAATGTCTTTATGAAACTGATCTGAATGCGTAAGACTCGTTGACGTAATATACATTAATAACCGGATCCCATAAAATACACGCGGTTCAGATTTCAAATCGAAATCACATTAATTTTCGATTGAATTATAACTTCTTATAGCTTAAAGCTTCCCCGTCTTGACCCGCCTTCTCCTAAATATCGCATACAAACGCGTATAGTGCCCCGTACTACGTGTACAGTGTATCAAACGTATCGACGCGGGGATAAGGGAAATGTCCGTTTTCTGTCCGGAATCTTCGTCCCGTGAAAAAACACTGACGTGATAAGTACTAATAAAACTGTAATTTTAGGTGTTTACACCACCTAAAATAAGAATAACCGAAAACATATTAGCGATGTGGCATTTTAGATTTACTTACTTCTAAAACGTTTCTAAAATGCTGAAACGTTGAGAGATAACGAGTTGTCTTACGTTATGCGACGTTATGTTAATCATTCTGTATAAAAGCCACAAGACACGTGCACGTATCCAGATATCGTCTCGAATTTTCTAAGATCAGACGGTACACTGTGTACCACGTGCATTATCATATCTCGGCATCTTGCGCATTATTGGCGGGACAAGAAAACAAACCGACACGAGAGATCTGTAATGCACTATGTCCACGTAAAAATGTCAACGAACTATTTCGTAAAACGGGTTCGTCGTTCGGCCGACTAACGAAGAGAATATTTCCCATATCTTGTATGAAATACATAGGGGTACCCGCGGAACACGCAACTAGGGTAGGCCACTATACAGACCGAAGTTTTGCATAAGGGCCAAAAACACACACGTGGGCACTTATAAACTCGGCCCGTTTTTACGTTTGACGTTAAATTTAATTCAAACTACGGTGTACGTAATATACCGCGTTTGAATTTTGTGTGATATTAGATTCTGAGTGTAGCGAAAAATCTTACGGTTTTACAAATTATGTTTATTGTTATTATTTTTTCTGTTATATTGTGACAAAAATTTCTACCAGAAATCCTACTCCGATATCTACATGTAGCATCACTTCTGAAAGGAAATATTGCCTAGATGGTATTTTAGGGAAGTAATTTTTTTGATTTTCCCAAAAGTTTTTCGCAAAAGAACCCGCCCCCGTTTCCAAGGACAGGTTTTTCAATCTCGTGCACTCGCGACTGGACAACGATATGTTCGACCGTGACGGTTTCGGGGCCCTTTTTTTTTTTAATTTTTTTTTCTCGCATAACCGCAAAACCGTAAAAAATCGCGTGACCCGTGGACGAAGTGTGCGCGCGCCCACGGCGAAATGTATACGCGTGTGTTATGCGGCCGTACACTGGCTGTGTACGGAAACGCCAAAAAAAAAAAAAAAATACGACGACAGCGGCGGCGTCGAGTAGAAAAGAAGAATGGAAAAAAAAAAAAAACCCGCCTAAAGTAACCGGGGACTGTTTCCCCCCCCCCCACACACACACCCCCTCGGTCTACCGTGTCATCCGCCACTTTACATAATGTTCGCGTACGCGCGCGGCGCGAGAGAATTCGAGGAGACGACGACGGCGGCGCGCGCGGCGAGGCGAGGAGTTTATGATAATAACACGGCGTGTCATTTTCAGATGACACGCATAAAACCCGCAAGTGTTTACCGTAGAAAAATATTATATAATCCGGGGGCCGTTCGCGCGCGAGCGATAAATCAGTGATTCCCGCGTTTTATACACATACATTGCCCGCGGTACGCACGGCGAATACATAATACACAGACGGCGTTATTATTTATTCGCGAGCGTAAATAATAGATTCGGTACGTACGAAAGACGCGTCGGTACGGCCCTGCGCGCTACAGAAATCGAGACCGCGAAACGTCTCGCGGCCCGGCGACGAATAATAAATATCCCGCGTCACGCCGCGGCCGGTCGGCAGGACGGTCAAACCGTACGCGTGTACGCGTGCGTTCGCCCAGTTCCCCCCTCCCCCCACACCCGTTAAAGATTTTTCTATTTTTTTTTTTTTTTTTTTACGGAATCACTATGAATTTTTACGGATATTTATTTGCATAGGAATAAGCGAAACAGCGTGGAACGTACACGAGTGCCGGGGTGATCGTTACCGTTGTCGTATGCGTGCCGGCATCACGCAATCGTAAATACACAAAACTAATTTGAAAAATATACGGACGTATTTCGCACTACGGGTAGGCCGCTGTTGGAATATAGAGGGGAACGCAATGTGTATCTGTGCGTAACGAATAATCTTCGCTTACGAAAAACGATTCTGATCGGAGTACGGTTGTATATGTTTCGAAAGTCAGAAATATTTACGATTAGAAAATAACACATTTCGTAAAGTTTTCTGTTTCCCTTATGTTTTTTCGGTAAAGTTGTTCGCAGAAAAAAACATATATGAAAATAAACATCATTGTAAAACCAACACATTTCTCGCTGTGCTCAGAATCTACACAAATTATAATAACAACAATAATTTGTAAAAACAGTACGATTTTATAGTCAAACCATAATTGGTTGATTTCGCTATGGGTCTGCGCCCAGTTATTCGATCCGTTTACGTGCATTATGGACTTCTCGTTCCTTAGAGCGGTGGGTATAATAATCCGAATTATGAAAGTCTTCAGGAGAGGTTGAAAACACCTATTTTATAAAAAAAATGTTTCTGATTGTCACGCTAATAATGTTCTCAGTGGTAAAAAAAAAACATTTTTTTATGCGAATGGTTTTAAACGTGTATACAAAACAAGTTGTGAAATGTAAAAGAACTCGTATTGGATTAACAGTGTTAAGTACAAAGAAATACTGCGTGACCATTATTTGGGGCAAAAATCAGACATCTTCATTTTGTATTACATCTGTATTTAACGATCCAATTCGTCCTATTGTTGCACCGATCGATGAGGATTTTTTTTTTTTTTTTTTTGAGATAAAAAAAATGGAGATTTCGGTTTTTTACACTGGCTCCTTTGATCGTCCTTTAGAAGGATCCTATAGGGCAACCATTAATTATGTGACATATAGTTTGAACTACCGGGGATGAACAAGATACTTTAAAATAAGTATCTAGACACTCGATACTAGATACTTGTGTAAAAAATATTACAATACTCGATATTCGATACGTTAAAAAGAAAATATTAATTACATTTTTCACTTGGTGGTTATTTATTTGAAACCTCATTCGAAATTTTGAAGAACTTCCCTGATTCACTCCGTTTTCATACAAATATTGTTAATTTTCGATGTAATTTTCAGGTAGGAGTCAGGTGGGAAAACGACCAAACTCGACCCCTTCTTCAGTCGCATATGAGCGAGATACTTCAAAATGGGTATCTATAAATACTCGTCTAGATATATTGATTTAGGCATCGCGATACAAGTTACTCGATACTTTTCAGAACCGTATCGCAAGATACAAGATACAATATGCGATAACATCTAAAATAAGATTTGAGATATTTTTGTCAAAGATGCTGTTTAGTCATTGTAAAATGTACCTGAAATAAGTGACTATTGCGAAAACTGCGAAATTATAATAGAAAATGCCTTTTAATGTGTTTATGTCATTCTCAGAGACACGTGTGTTCATTACAATATTAGATTGCAGTGTGTCTGCCTATATTGCTGCTGTTGTTGAGAAATTGCTGCGGCGAGACGGATTCTCAACATTTTAAACTTTTTCAATTAAAACTTGACATTATTTTTATTATTTTATTCGTTCCTTATTCGCCACCGGCCACACCATTTTATTCTGCGTTTCCCTTGCACTCGTTTTTTTTTTCTTTCACCTCATTTCTCTCCGTCCCCTCGTATACGTCTCTTCCGTGATATTATATACGCATATATATATATGAATTTATATGCGTCCTTTCCTCTCCTCTGCTGCGCACGTTTGCTATACTTCCAGATAGGCCTGCCCGCCACTCGGGGATCGTGAAAACCAGCAAATAACACTGGAAGGCACATGCTAAAGTGGGCTTACGACTACGCGGAGACTCTTATAGTCTGACAAAGGCGTGACGGGTGTCGATCGGAGTTCAAGAGGTCGGTGCTCGTTTTATCTTTACCTTTTTTTCTCTACCGTCTCTCGCTCTCACGCGCGCATACACGCGAACTTCACAGACACACGACGCCATCTCTCTGTCTCCTCTCTCTCTCCCCTCTCTCTCTTCCTATCTCTCTTCATCTCGGCCCTCCACAAACCCGACTACCACGACCATAACGGTACTTTCTGTAAGCTTCTCCGTATACACAATGACAAATAGCGAGGCTGCGAATTTTACACGGATATCCGCAAACCCTTGTTCTGCCGTACAGTACCTTTATTATTTCTCTAAGCACAGATACGAGACCGAGCATATATTGTTTTCATGACAAATTTTTTAATAATACTTTTTTTTTTTGTGTGTTTATACTCCGCGTCTTACTATGCTACTTTCAAAACAGTATGTGGCGTGACGCTTATAATTGCATAGCTTTTATAACCGTAATAACAATAATATGTTCGGCACCTATTATCAGGTTACTGTTATTGTTAAATCTATAACGAGCTTTCAATCAAACGATTAAACTACGAATTTAGATAGGTATCTAATTCAAATTTGCGTTTGCACGTTTTTGAAAAGCTCTAAAATTAGAAACAATAATTCGAGTGACGGTATCGAACTATTGAAAATATTATCGTACAGAGTGTGGGACGTAAACTCCGGTAATCGGGCGTTGTAAATCTCTCGTGTTATTGACACGATTATAACGGTGCGTGTTTATTATTAATATTTTAAATCCGAACGTGACAAATGTTCAATAATTCGTAAAACCGTTTTGAAATAATTTAAATTCGAACCTCTTTCTTTTATATTATGATGGTTATTATGGTTGTTCTCGCAGTTATTCTTTTAAAGACATTTGAAAACTCGTTTTTTTCTTTTTTTAACATCTAAGGAACTCGAAAATATTAAATTTTTAATACACCTATATCGGTTAGTCAGGTAGCACTGTGATACAGATTCTTATATTTTTTAGTAACCCGATAAATGTAATTATTATACTTCTTTATATTTAGGAATCTTCAATGCATTTTAATGTGTAAAAAAAAAAAAAGAGCTGTTACTACAAGAAACGGATGCACTACCGTTGTGCATAGTATTTTGTATTTCATTATATTAGAAATTGAAATGTTACCGCAAGAATTTCAAATAAACGATAATTGAAAAACTATGATTTTATCATGAAATGGTTTAATATAATTTATAATTTCAGGATAGTAGGTATTTCGATCACACGGGAGTCCTAAAATTGCTTTGATAATAATTGGCCTCAGTTGGCAGCCATTCCGGGGACCGAACCTCTCCTGAGATTTGTATAGGCATGTCCTATCCGTCCCTTTATTATCTACGGTTAATGGTTATAAATCGATATTAATTTACATTAATTTCGGACGCCGGTTTTAAAACATTTCTTTCCTCCCTCCACATATTACATACACTGACAACGTTAGTGAACGTCACGTAAATATTTACGCGGTTATAAAATATAATAATGTCACGTATTCGTGTCGTGTCAGACACCATTACATTTTTAAATGTTGTAATTTTTTTTTTCATAAATATTTTTCTATTTACATTTTATTCATAGGTATTTACACACGATTCGGAATATTTAAACTGGTGTTCAACCTGTTTCGTGTATTATAGTAATACAAACAATCATTAAACATTAAACCATCAGAATAAAACAAAGCTAATACGTACAATATTCATTTTTATTTTTTTCGCGAAATTTTTAAATATTTTAGGCGCTTTGTTAGTTAGTTAAGGTATTTTGTGATTCGAGCGTTTGTTTTTTTTTTTTTTTCTGTTTTGTTTTTCTATAGTTTTATCGAGCTACAAAATCCTAACTCTAAATTATTGCCCAAACATACAAGCGACGGGCACAGTGTGTTCGGTACCTATTATATTGTTATTATACTTGCACACGCTGTGAATAAATTTTCAACATCTTTATCCGTGACCTTTGGGATATTTTTAATAAACTAGAAAGTCCTATTATCGGCTATTATTATTATAGCCGCGAATAGAGTGTACATTATACTATGAGTTTTTGATACGCCCAACGTGTTTTACGAGGTGCATAAAAATAACGCGCGTAGGTAGGTAACATTTTCTCTCCCTCTTAACCCCCTCCCATTCCTGCGATAAAATCGCATTCGGTATAATATAATAATGACTTTGCCCGCGTTATATTTACGGCCGAATGTTCATTAACGTAATTGCAAAAGTATATTATTTTCGTAAATATCTATACGCTATTATATTACAATAATACGGGCAACGGGAATTTAATAGGTATAATATAAAATAAAACGCGTACTGCGTTTCTTCGTCTTCGTTCGAATCCGAAAAATATATTACCTATCGTAGTCATAACTAATAACCATAATAATAATGTAATTTTTTTTTTTTATTATTATTTCGTTCCCGGAGTGTCTCGGGTCTCGAAATATAAATCCATTAGAAAGAGAAAAAAAAGTGTTATAAAACTATAGTATATTATTTTCGATCTTTTTTTTTTTTCTCTTGTTTTGTTTTTAATTTCATAAATCAAAACGGTTTTACGCGCGGCACTCATCGCGCGCCGAACGGTTTCATAAACATTTATTTGATCCGACTGATTTTACTGCAATAATAAATTAATATTGCGATCGGTGTTGGCGGCCGGCCGTTGTCTGCGTATTACAAAACCCCGCGGAAATCTATAATATCAGCTGTGTTTGTTATTATTTTTGTTTGATACTGAATACGACGTCTGATACAACGCTGATGTAAAAAACGGTAATTGGTGGTGAATCGGTGAATTTTAGTCATTTCATAGTATCGTTTTTCGTTTGTAATTTATTTGATTGTGTTAAGCGGATCCGGTATAACATTAAGATGACGTAATGTACACCACAATCAGTTGATCGTAATCAAGCGTGTGGCTGTTAAATAGATAACCGTCAGCATTTTCGGGTACGCCTCGTCCGCGGTAATTTATTTACATCGAGCGACCCGTATCCGTCATCTATAGCATTTGGCTTTTACACGTCTGTAATTCTTATCGAAATTTAATTGTGTGCATAGTGGACAGGTTTTTTTTTTTTTTTTTTTTTAACGACATTAATTTTACGATTTTAAGAGATTAATTTCACGACATCACACGAGTGTGAACGCCCGTAGATTATATTGGACGGACAGACTTATATTTTCGGGTTCTGAGTCGGTATCGCACCGTATAACCAAAGGTCCAGGAATCTCCCGAACGGAATTCAAAACTCTTCACGTTCCGTCCGTTTTTCATCTACAGCACAGAGTTCACCGCGCGATACAGATTCAGGACGGTCGGGCGGCTGTAGTTATAATTTAAAATCAAGTGGTTTTTTTTTTTTACCTCTCCCTGCAAAAACTGCTCGGGTCGCGGACTCAGTTAAGAAACCAAATTTTCACCATAAAATTGGGTGACCCCATGCGTCCCGCCGAATCGTACGGTATTGTCCGGATGTTCTGTCGAAATGTATACTGTTCGCATTTTGTCCCGTATTAATCCCGTTTTATTTTTTCCTTACCGTCAATGTGTAGTATTTGAAATTTATTTGTTGTATTTGTGTTACACTGTTATTTAGTTCAACACAGACGGACACAAAAACACCGGAAGAAAAAATCAACCAACCGTCATCATAAAAATTGTTTTGCGTACGAATATTTCAATTCGTATTTAAAACACAGTGTACATACAGTATACGTTTATATTGTATTTCCATTATATTTATAGTTGGGTTTACTTATCATGCGCCAATACACACCTACTTATTTCGCATGACGTATAAGATCATCTACTCCTATACATCGCGTTTAATATTCGTCTTCAAACGTAAAACAAAGTTGTTCTATATCACTATTACGAAATGCACGGATATTATAGTTTGAAAAACTTAAAATTATCCGATTTTGAAACTAAAATAATTTTCTTCTGCGCCTGTAATACCGAAAATATTAAATAACCGCGCAAAACGTCGTTATTGTTCGCAATACAATCGAAACAGTCGAATTGTTACGTTCGGTAGCACGGCCTCTTAATATCACACCATTTCGGTGTTTAGAATAATGCACGACATATTCGAATGCGCGCTTATATATTTTATCATAAGAGAAAACGTTATTTTTCTTTTCTTAATAAGAAAATTCGTAAACTTGGCAACGCATCGTTTCGTCTGGATCTGTCCGTAATGCTCGAGGTACTATTATAATTGTAATTATTATTGTGTTACGCGGGAATAATTTTTAAACGCCGCATTAACCTGAAATGGGGCTATGAAGAATTTGTCTCTTCGCCGGAACTCTAAACACGCCAAAGTTTGTTTAGCCGCTGTATATAACAATACTATGTAGGTAGGTATCTTCTATATAAAATAATATAGAGGTAGCCGGACTGCGAGTTTTAGGTATGTTGCATTGTACGGCTGCCGCTAAAGATTCGGACGGTGGAGATAATTTTACAAAACATTTATTTTTACATTTCAGATATTGTACTTTTCTGGACATTATCACGGAACGCTATTGTCGCTGATTAAAGCTCTCGACGGGTGACCAATCCTATAATAAAAACTCCGTAGTGCGAACAAAATAAATGGTCAAATTATATAAATATATATAAAAAGAAAAGGCCAAAATAACAATTTTGTTTTTTTTTTCCTTTATCGTATTATTAGCGGAATATATAAAAAAACGCGATGAAACGGTCGATCGTTGGTATCAAATTAATTACCTACGAATGACCTACACACTTGTGGTTTATATTTGTTTTAAAATTAAAAATAAAAAATCTTCCTATACAAATAAACAATATAATTGGATATAGCAAAATAACAAAGGGTTTGCCATTCTTTTCTCGATAAATCAAATTATAAAAAAAAAAAAAGCTGATACCGCAGGGACGGGTGTGGCCACTATTGTGAGGTGAGTAGTTAGAAAGGTGAGATACGTAAAGTTATTTAATTTATACTTGTCACCAACGATAAACTATTGTTAACGAAAAACGATTCAGAACGAAGTTCGGTTGTAAATGTTTTGATACACCGTAATATTTATGATTTTCGTCAAAATTTAATTTTCAAACTTATATAAAAAATAATAATAATACATCACACTCGATTTTTTTTTTTTTACCACCAAGTATGACTAATAATGAATCTCTTGTTAAATTTTCAAGCATTTCTGTTTAGTCTGAACATTTTATCTACAGGGTACCTAACAAATAAAAATTACGTAAGAGATTCGCAAAATTTTAATAGTCGAAATTGGCTTAAAAGTTATAAAAATGTCCGCATAAATAAATATGATTTTTCTGTAAAAATTTCAAGTTTCTACGAATATTTTTAACAATTTCCATCGTTCTACTTCATTACAATAAAATAATAAATATTATCGATTATTATTACGTTTTTAAACATCGTAAACAGTTATTTCGAAATAAATAATATTTATTTGAATCCCGGCCAAAAATATGAAAAATGGATGAAATTATATAGGATCATTTTTTATGCACCAGTGAAAGGGTGTTTACCGTGACTAAAATGAAACGGGGAAAAACATAATTTTAAAAGTTACCTCCCGAATCCACTTGAATTAAAACAAAAAAAAATGTTCATGTAATAAATTATCACAAAAAACGAAAAAAAATACTCTACTGATTATATCCAACTACGTTTTTTAAAATTATGTTCAAATAACCAGAAAATAAAAAACAAATATGCATGTAAAAATATTAAATACAATTAATACATTTTTAAGTCTTCCCTCGCCATTGGTTTATTGTCTAGGTTACGATAGTTATCATCAACTCAAAAATATTCAAATTTACTTTCAAATACATTTACAAGTATTCTTGTTACATTATTGCAGGTATTTGTGTTTTTTTTTTTATTTTTGCAAGAAATTATGATATCGATATAATATTTACGTTATCAAGTTTTGCGCGGACAAGAAATACTCTACGTATAAGAGAAACTAAATTTTCAACATAATACAAACAGAACTTTCGTTGTGCAAGTTTGTTTTAAATTGTTTTCAATATCACTATTATATAAAAAAAAAAAAAAAAATCATATTATTATCAATATCTTTTTTCATATTAGTATTATCGCGTATAACCACATTTTTTTTTTAATTTTTCTCTCCATCTCTTTCCTTCTACATGTTTTTCCATTACGATTTGTATTGCTTCAGGTTCCTCTCTCCTCGTGACTTGCCCGAAACATCGCTGTCTATTTTCTCTTATTACGTNTATTATCGAATCCACGTCTATGCCACCCATCTATGCTATACTCATCCCATATCCTATCTTCTTCCTTCACTCTTCAGAACTTAACGTAAGTCTCATTAAAATTCTCTTGTCACACGAAATACTAGACGCTTACTTTCTCCATTTTATCCAACCACACTCAATCCAGTGTTTTAAATTTTCATGCAAATCACCGTTCTTCTGTAGGAAAATGCATGCGGTATTACGGTATGTATTTCACCCTTGGTCTTCCTTTTCCGAGTTTTCCACACGCATAACCTTCAATTATCATCTTAAACAAATTGTCACGGCACAAAATGTGATCTATGATATTATCCCTTCGATTTTTTTTAAAAAATTTGCCAAAGTTTTCTTTTTTTGCTTAGTTCTTCTTGCCACTTTTTCATTTATTACTTTGTTGCAACGCGGAATCGTGAGCAATATTTGGTAGCACCATGTTTCAAACATTTTCCTTTATGATTATGTTTACTGTCTAGATTTCACATCTGTATAATGTTACACTCCACACATATATGTTGCATGTTGACAAAATATTAATGTAATAAATATCACGCGCACACTTTGTTAATTTTACTTAATTGCGTTTGCGTGTAACATGAAAATGTAAAAAACGCCTATTGCCTTACTATTCGTTCAGCAATAATAATATAAAATAAGTATTCATTAAAAAAAAAAAAAAAGAAATCAAACTCAATACAGTATACCAACAATATTAACCTATATATTGATAAAGAAATGTGATAATTTTTAAGGAAGACCAATTATTTCAATATTCTTCTGTAAACAGTAATTCGATCGTATAACAGTGTATTAAATAACACTATTTCTACTTTAATTCAATTTAAAATATAATATTTTGAGAAAGTCAATCTCGGCGCTCTCGGTTTTTAAATTGTTTTTCGGTTACACATATGATAACATAATAACCGTTAAACCTATGAGATATAGAGTTAGTTATGTATGTGTACATGTATTATATTTAACATAAAAAAAGATAAACACATTTAACTAGTTAAACATTTTCTTATGCCAATAAAAATTAAGGTTAAAATGGAAAAAAAAATTATTTGACTTGTGATGGGGGAGGGGGTGGTAGTCAGTGTAAAAATATTTTTTTTTTTTTTAGAAAACCCTAAGTAACTATTAATCTTAAAGTTTCTGTTGTTGTTGTTTTATTTTATTTATTTTTTTCATTTCTTTCAAAAAACGTTATTATGTCGTTAAGAACGACAAAAAGCGTATAAAAACATCGAAATTCCCTCCCTACCTTTCTCATCCAGTTTAGTTACCGTATCAGAATAAAGGGGAGAAAACCGTGACACGAGAGTTGATGGATATTCAGCGAATGAAGGAACCTCATTGGCGCAACATTTACCCAGAATTTCGCTGACACGCCGCATCCTTTTATAGATGAAGCGATGTAACAAACGACTCGAATATCAGTCCGACCATTTCGTGCGGTATAAAACACTCAGTTAATCCCGAAATTAAGCTAATCTCCGTTTGAAATGAATGAACTGCGTTCGATAAAACACAATGCCGAATGAATTTCACTGTGACGTATGTACGCTAAAAAAATATAACGATTAAAAAAAATCGTTATTTTTACCTGTTTAGTCATATTCGTAACGAGAAAGTTAACAATCATAATTGTTTAACGACGCTTGGTGACAGTGTACTCATAAACACGTAAGATATTTTTCAAATCCTAATACGACTTGTCATGGAAAAAGAAAACAGTTGTAAACCCTCGCGGATTTCTCCGGAACGTATACGTTTTAGATTCTTGGCGCAGCAATGTATGGTAATGGTTTTAATTGTACGCATTGGTTATTTTTTTCTTCGCGACTTTAGCGACTTTACTACCAGAAATCTTACTTTAATATTTAAAATTATATCATTATTATTATTATATAGGTAACTTTATACGCGTACGTTTTCCGGTATATTGAATAGACGGGGTGTGTCGAATATTGGCGTACACATTCAAGTTCAGAGGTGTATATTTCAACGATGGTTTTGTAAAAAAAAAAAAAAAGAAAAAAATAATAATAATAATAAAATATATATTAAATTTAATAAACCGAAAGGGTCTTTATTCGAAAAAATAAAATATAATCACACCGTGTCCTGTATAATGTTATAATGTTCGCTATCCCATTAGGTAATTTGATAAAAAAAAATATATATATATATATATATAACATTTACGAACATTTTATATGACGTGTACGCCACACCCCGTGTTCGTGGGATTTACGAAATTTGTCCACGTGGGTATGTTTAATAGAGAAACACGTGGGTACGCAATTTGAACGTATTTATATTTCAGAAATTATTATCGTAACGTAAGTTTGTCGCGTGGTAGCTCCACGGCATAAGCAAAATATTATAATATTTTACGGGTTAATCAATACAATTTTCCCTCTTGGTGTGCACGGTCGCCGGGCTTCAGTTTTACGCATATCGAAACGGCCATGTCCGGACAGTCGCATCTGTTGTGGACAAACACATGAAACCCTGCAAAGCGTTGCCCAAAATTCGGACGATTTCCTACTGCGCGCATATATCACTACCGTCCCATCCCCGCCGCTCGAAAAATAAAAATGTTTTCATATTGATTTAATGACCTAGGCATGCAGTACACGGTCGTACACCGTATTACACTTAATATAAATTACTTTTATTAAAATGGATACAATATCGAATATAATCCTATACCGAATCGTTATTTAGACCGTTTTTTAACGACCGAAAAAGTGTTTTCCGAGATTAGCACCAAACGAAGGATCTGGAACGGACGAACTGTTGAAAGTTTAAAAATAAAAACGCATCGAGTTAAGTACCGACAGACGCATGGAAATTCCGTTTCTTCCGAGATAAAATTAATGAGAATTTCGAAAAAAAATTCAATTAAAGTATTATCTGGTGAAAAATTACATCACAAAGCATAATAATATATTAAAATAGTATACCGAAATGCATACTACCTAATACATTCGCTATCGCACGTAATTTTACGCCCAGCCACAAACAGAAACTACGCCCTACGAATACTGAATCGAATTTGGCGTATAATTTTTTAACGTGATACAAGTGTAATATATTTGAAACGATTATTTCTCTAATAGTTATCATTTTTATTGAAATATACAATTATTTAGTTGTTCACTTATTCATTGGAGAATAGGTAGTAAAATTATGTCAGGTTGCCTAAGCGAGTAAAATATTTTATAAACGCGTCGGTCTATTATTTTTCATTCATCTCTCATCTAAGTCATCAATCATTGACGACCCGGCACACCAAAGGCCCCCCCGGAACATTTTTGTTTTTTTAAGGAATCCCATAAATGAAAATTTTAACACCGTGAAAATAAGTATAATATTTGGGTCGGAAGCCGGTATCGTCGGTCGATAATTTTTCTGAAAATAACGACGCGGGCAGGTCTAAATACAGTGACGCCCATACTGTAAAAAATACATATATATAAAATGTATACATATATTATGATTTATTCACAATATGGAATTTCGGCGAAATCTTTGCACTTTTCAGCATTTTGTGCATTTTAAATAATTGAATAGCTCACGCAGTATTACTATTAATAACGACCGATAATATTTTATTGTTGTATGATGCAGTGTCCGTAACGGTTAACTAAAGTTCAAACGGTGTATTTAATCTGTGCATAAAAGACAGTGAGTATAGTTAAATGACGATATTTTCTAAATCTCAGGGCCTAAGAGGCTCCCAGACACATACACTACCGGGTGCTCGGGATACGTTCATGGCCTAGCGGCCATGGCCAGGACGACACTGCATATATATATATATATATTTAACACTTAAAATAGGTACCTGACAGATTTTAAGTTTAAACTTTCTAAATTGAATTTAAAGTCCCAAACTCAGGGGTGTGGATCCGAGTAAGTATGTATACGCGAATCCGACCCGGATTAAAATTACTTTTCACAACAAACGAAGTTGGAAACGCGTGATCTTTTAACTTTGTTACATGGACTGCAATATGTATCGTTCATAACTACAACATTTTATTGGACGTCAATAGCGTACAATAGCCTCTCGCATATTATTGTATTTTATACCGCGTCACAAACGTTACAAAAAACGTCTACGGTTTTGATTGCGTAGAAAACGAAAAAAAATATACATGTATAAATTACATACCAACATATTACACAAGTATTATAGTGTCTTGTTGATTTTTGGTCCGACATGCATATGTATTTGGGTATACCCCTGGAATTGGTATTCAAAACCCGGAGACTCCGTTCGTCTAACGGAACGCTCGCTGTCAGTGTAGTGTAACGATAATTTTGAAAATTTAATAATTTAATTTTCTAGACAAAGTTGAATACGATTAGCAACTTTTTATCTAGACAAAAAAATATGATAATTTCGTTCACTGCCAATCGCTAAAATACTAAGTGCTAAACGCAGTAAGAGTGTACCATAATATATAGATTTCAAAATTTAGGTCACGCGAATAATAAAACGTAATTATTACCGTATGAAAATATATTACATTAAATATGTTGTTGACATTTATTTCTAATATAAATAACGACCTAGATAGATTTATCTGGACGATTCAATTATTTATCCTAAGATACGACTGCGATAACTTATTTTTTTATTCGCCTAGATAAGATCATGGATAAAAATATTACTTTTTAGATAATACACAGCGCTATATTCATTATTGCGTTTGACCGATCAATGAATGAGTTTTCCTAAAATACTCTTTTTGTGTCGATTCAACGCCAACGACATATTAATATTATTAGGTACTTGCTAGGTATGTTGAAATTATGTGGTCATTGTAGAGTGACGCCGGGTGTGATTTCGGTAATAATTCCCGAAATAACTTCTATATAATTAAAAAATGTGATTCTGGGATTACACCGTGTACGGACGTCAAACTATGAATAGCTGCACTAGTTCAAAAGTTCAAAAAAAATCTAATATATTTTATAACAGCCAAAAAACATTTTAATACTTACACTCTACAAGTATTTTTCTACTATATATTTATATTCAAATTACATAATATGAAAGAATACGAAAAAAAAAAAAAAACTATTTTGTATAATATAATATATTATCGACCTAATATGTAAATTAAACTGTATAAAAGAAAGAAAAACGTTCGCTTACATTTTACAAAAAAAAAAAAAAAAACGCTGAATAACTGTAACACAGTATTATAATATTTACCTACCTTTACTTAAAAATATTATTATCGTGTATATAATAAATCTCCGCGATAAATAATAAATAATGTACAAGCATATTTTTTTTTTTTTTTTTTTAATATACGAAATTGAATTTAAAATAATGTTCAGTTATAATAAAATAATATACAAGTATAACAAAATACGGAAATTTTATTATAATTCTTAAGGAAACGATCAATATTACGCTACATATTAAATATAGGTTATGGAAAAAAAAATTAAGTTAAGTACATACTTGTTTAATACTAGAGTCAATTTGATTTTTATATTATCGATAAAAAAATCTATGTATACCTAATATAAAAACGAGTGTGGTATTGTTCAAGCAATTTTTCTAAACTAGAATATTATTATTATATAAAAGTGAATAATTTATTAACACACACATTATTCATAATGAACTACTAAATTGTATTGAAATCGGCTTCCATGCAGGGGCGTGTTCGACGGGGTGTAGAATTGACGGTATTATAATATCTACCCCCTATTGATTTTTTTTAATTGTAATTTATGCTTTATGAATTTTCTGTAATTTTGTTTATTTTTCATTAATATTCGGAGATATTCAATAAAAAAAAAAAAAAAGACATCCTAGGATAATGGGACGGGTGCGGCCACTGTTATAGAAAATTTAATGTATACCTGTAAAGAACGATAATCCATTGCTTATAAAAACAAACGATTCCAAGCAGAGTTCAGTTTGTTAATGCTTTGTCAAAAATATGTGTCATTCTATAATAAAATAATTAAATAGGCTTTTTATATTTTCTTTAACAATATTTGTTTAATGTTGCACCGATTTTCCCGGTTTACCCACATTTTGTCTCGGTTATGCACATTTGCTGGGAAAACTCCTGAGAAAATCGAATAATGACCTCCTTAATGTACCTGCCCATACAGATTTCATTTCACAAAAGGCGTTAAACTTAAAAATCTGAGCAAGACTTCTTGTATACAAGTTTCGCACACAGATAAAAAAAAAAATAAAATAAACATCTTAGTAAAAAAAATCACTCCGCTCGGAATTATTGTATGCTAATCACGATGCATTGTTACGATACGTTAACCAATTGTTTGTAATAACAGACGCGCTGTTTGAAGGGAGTGGGTACCAGTTATCGTATCCATTCCCACCCGCAGGAAAAAATTTCCAACGATTTTGTATTTATACCTGACTAGTTATATTCAGATCCCTCTACCCCGTATCTCCAAATTCACAATACAATTCTGAACACGCCATCGGTCCCGCGCATATACCTGCGCGTCGTGCGACTGTACACCGGCGTACAAACGAGAAAACGGAATTATCGTTAGAGAATAATACCTTCTGGCCTACCTTATAATTATTAAAAATAACGATCGTTATACATATAACATACTGTAACTGTTTGTAATAATAATTTCGCCGTTACACCCGCCCGACACGCGATCTCGAAACTTATTGAAATGTTCTCATTGGTCGAGTCACGTAGCCGCGGTTTATTTTTTTTTTTTTTTTTTTTTTTTTTTTAAATAAACATAATCGATTTCGTTATTATGTAATAATATACCGTACACAAGGCCCGCCTTGGGATATTGTGCAGAATCTGATCTGCCGTATACATCACATCGCGCGAACAATAACGAAAATAACACAAAAACCGCATTGTTACTATTTTATTATATAGGTATAGGACATTATAAGACATGACGTGACCCGTACGCGATACGAAAATCGCTGTTCACGGTAGAAAGCAAACGGGCCAACACCTGGCGGCGATACTGGGACCAAATCGTAGATAATGAATGTAATAGAATTTAATATCTATGGACTCATCTATAATCCATCTATAATCCATATCGCATTATTTCGGTATCCATGCCCAGCAGCCCCGTCGCCAATCGCGGCGAAATTTTCCCGAACACCACGTTCTCGTTGTTTATTACCTACTCGTCAGGCTTATCAATAGCTGTTATCGTTTACGAAATATTATTTCGACTAACGGTCGAATGATATTACTGTATTTGATGTCGAGCGCGAATTTCGATATTTTTTACTGAAACAGAATTATGAATTTTTTCTAACGTTTTTATTTTAGTAAAATATTATGTCATGTAACTGAGTAAGTGATGCAAGTGTCATTTTTTTTTTCACATCGGAAACGCCAAATGTGAATAATTTTTCGCTACCAATTCGTAAACTGTACGCAAGTACCTGCTCTATTCAATATCAACTATCGAAATATCCAAACAAATTAAAGCACCGGTTAAAATTCATAGCGACATATGCACTTACAAAAAAAAAAAAATGTAGCGATTATTGTAAGGTAAACTCTTTTTTTTTTTTTTTTTTCTAGTAATGAAGCGATGGCTGTAGCCCACTACGTTGAAGGTATTGATTCCCGACCGCTGCTCAAACGTATCCCTTTGGTGTCGGTTTTATATCGCTTTTAAATCCCGCGCATCGTTACAATAAAATTCGATATTAATGTGGTTGTTTCATCGATTGTGTCCAGGCCGTCATAATGTGATAACGCACGAGTATCGCGATTGTGTCGTGATTACCGATGATAACCAACGAGGACGTCGTATATTCGACGGGACTGTTTTATCGGTACCCGGTAACTTTTGCGATTCTTTACTCCGTTTTTATTTTTTCACTCGCCGAATCTCGAGTGAAACGCGCCGGACATAATATACGACGATATAATATTATTTTACGACCGTACAGCGTCGGGATGGGATTGTTTAGGTTTTATTATGGACGGCCGGACGGTTGTAAAATTACGCGATATCGGGCACGAGAACATTAACACAAATAACATAATATTTAATAGCCGACATTATACTCGGAGCGAAGTACGCGCGTGTTTTTTTTTTTATCGCGTCCGCGACCACTTTTTCGGTTAGGTGTGTTCCTGCAGTGGTGTTCCCGTAACGCCACTCATTTGTCCGAGAGTGCCGTAGCGTTTGCCTAGCGCGGGACGTTTTACATATTTCTAATGGCGAATTGTGATATCTACCGCGTACAGGGAAATATAGATATCGATTGTACGACAATTAAACCGAGATTACCAAACTATTGTAATCAAACTAAGATAATATTACGAATAATTTAATTATAATTACTGAAATAAATATAGTTTGTACTACTTTTATAGTTTTAGTGGCAAGATTCAGCGGTTTCAACCTTTACTCGAACCTTTTTTTTTCAATCCAATTGGGACCTTGTGTTTTTTCACAACAAATTCAAACATTTTTTTGGTAAAACTTGAATACTAAGATATATATTGTTGTACAGCAAACGCGATAGTTATAGTTTTTGGCAACCCCTCACCCATGCACCATTATCACTCGCGATTTCTTGATGGAATCAGGTTGAAAACCACTGGCGTGAGTGATATGTTTGGATAATAATAATTATTGTACACCATGACGGTTTTGTCTGTTTGAAAAATTATTTTCGTGCAATACACGGTATACCTGTGACTGTACAACAAAATGTTGATAGTGTACAGCGCATAATATGCGAACACCACCGGTTGTAATCCTTAATACAATTTATTTGAACAATATTTTTCTAGATTTGCAGTTCTTTCATAGGACAAAAAAAGGAACGCAAGTAAACCTATCGGCAGAGATCAGACGTTTCGATCCCGGCAACTAACGCTCAAATTTCGGACTTTAAGACTGAGCGTATCGAGGATATATTGGTTTTACTAAGATAAGTGTGGTTGTTTTTTTTGTCAGACTATTAATAAGCAATAACTTAATGTCTCGATCTGTTTTTCAAGGCGTAGCGTCTTTTCTGAAAGATAATTTTGTCTAATTGGTGTATTGAAAAATTGTTTTCTATTATTTTGTTTTTTTTTTTTTTTCATTTGACCTTTAGTTTTCTTAATTATTGGCAAAAAAAAAAACAAAAATATAGGAAAAACTGAGCATTTTACGAAATTAACAGTTTAAAATATATTTTCGATTTCTTTGCATTTTTTGTAATTTTGTTAAAAATCGTGGCTTGTAATTTGTATTAACCAAAAATGCTGTCCCTTTATTGATTATTTATATCTTTATTTTTCAAAAAATTATAAACATTTTGTAGTTATTTATAGGATATGACATTTTAGCGTTTAAAAAAAAAAAATTATATTTTAGTTTTATAATCGTTTTGACCGAGATGAAATGCTCGAAAATTTCACAGGAAGATCATCATATAATAAGTTTTATTTGGTAGTCGAAAAACAAAAAGTTCAGCGTAATTTAATAGACCTTTTTTTTTTTTTTTATAAACGTTTAAAGTTTAAATTTTAATGGAAACCGTATCATCTCTTTTTTTTATTATTATTATTCGCCGAGTTTGTTACACAAGAAAAAAAAAACTTCTTTAATTAGTCGAACCTTCGCATTTCGTTTGTATTTCAGTATTCAAACGAAATTACAACGTGCATCCCGTCATGCCATCGTTGGTTCACAGCTATTATAAAACGGCGTCCTGTATACATCATCACGAACCGATCTGAGTTCCGTTTGGTAGTTTTACAAGCACGATACACACGCGTATTATGCAGGCCGGTTCATTTAATGTAAAAGCTCATTATTTCGTATAATTTTGACTATTTTCAACAAATATATTTTTAACAGTTCAAAAAAAACAAACCGCTCTAAACTGTTATGTTTTCATTATTTTTGTCGACACAATTATTTTTGGAGGTGAAACGCTTATCTGTTTTTGATTTTCAAACGACAACCAATATTTGAAATTCTCTCAATAGGTACGACGTTAGTTTAAGTATATCACAGCGTTGAAATTTTTTGTGTCCATCAACCGGTCGACGAGATATTTCATTTTTAAGTTTGAATATGATGAAATAGTAACGGAGTATCGTTTATATGGTGGCATAGCGCCTGGCGTTTAAAAAAGGGGCTCCTACCCGAACTTAAACTCGAAATATCTCATCAACGGGGTTAACGGAAATATAAACTTTCGACAACAAAATGTATTTAAACTAATACCCTTTCTATCGAGGGAATTTTAAATACGGGTTGTCGGTTGAAAGTATAAGTAGGCACTTCACGTCCGAAAATAAGGGCGAGAATAACGAAAATATAGAATTTTTTAAAGCCGCTATTTTTCTTGGATTTTTATTTTTATGTATTTTTTTTTTTTTTTTTTTATTTTTTTTTTTTTTTTTTTTATTTCGGCACAAGTCGATACTTTGCTAAATAATGACAAACGGATCGCCCTGTATGTAGTGTACAATATTATATCGCAGAACGATCGAACTGTACAGTTATTTAAACTCCGGTGCGAGTATACGATGACGACGGGGGGGGGGGGGGGGAGGGAGGAAAAAATACATCATCGCGGTGCACATAATAATAATTATGACGGCGTGTCAGTGTAGTAGTGTATATAAGTGTGCGTGAGCTTTCGTGTGCGTGTGTCCGTGTGTGCGTGCGTCCGCGCGCGTGTGTGTATGTGTGCGTGCGTGTGCGCGCGCGTGTGTGTGTGTGTGTGTGTGTGTGTGTGTGCGGTGCGTGAGGAGTAAATCGATTAACGGCGTGTAGCGTCTGTAAGTCGCCAACCACACGTGACACCCCGTCTGATGATACTCCGGTAACCATGGTAACCCGACCGGAGGATTATAACCTGCGTTCATCCAGCACGGCAGCGGCGGCAGCGGTGGCAGCAGGCGCTTACGGCCTTTCGGCCCGGCACGTTCGTCCGCCGCCGACGACGCCTACGCGGGCAATAAACGAGCTGCGCTCCGTGCATCGCCGCCACGTCGCAACGCGGTTTTTAAGATGAAGCCACGGGTTGCGGGCGACGAGTACGCGATAGACCAGCAGTGACCGGCTGCTGCTCGCTGACCGAATCCGGTCAGCGATCGTTTATCAATCCGCCCGCCAAAATGTTAAATCAAAATTGAAAAAAAAATAAAAATAACTTTCAAAAATTTCAAAAATTACACACTAGCATTAAAACGAGATGATATTTTTATACTTAACATTTTTTTTTTTCTCGTTCATTACGTTCAATACACCATAATAAATAATTGAATAAGTTTTTGGTGTGGACCTAAGAGATAGATAAGAGAAGGGCGAAAAAATATGCACTTTTCATACGCTTTAAAAATGTATTTTTCATACAAGTTATAATTTATATATTGTACCGCAAATGCTATTTTTTAGGTACGTTTACGCCCGTGAAAGGAGGGACTTTAATCCGCATAGTCCACTCTGGTACCCTCGCCCCTTACACAGATATAATACTATTTTATTTTATAGTGAAGTGATTAGATTAATATTATTTGTAGATATAAAAAAAAAAAAAAAACTGAGATTTTAGCTACAGTCATTCGGTTTTGTCGTTTAAAAGATAATCATTTTATAATTTGGTCCTACGTAGAATGCAAAACCAGTATGAAAAGTAAAATACATTTGATGCACATACATTAAACCGGCGGATTTTCGTTTAAAACCTTTTCGTTCAAACGGCGCAAATTCTTCACATTATTTTCGCGGCATCCCAATAGAAAACGCCGGCTAGGAACATTCGAACTACGAGTACCGAAAATATCGTGCGAGACACCTATAACACGCGTTTTAAACGGGAAATGATTTTCCGTTTTTTATAATATTATTGTAAAATCACCGAACGTTTTTTTGGGAATTTCGTACGACGTGGTTTCCGAAATGGACAATATTGTTTGCATGCGTCATTGCAATACGAAAACCAAACGTTTACGCATTTGACTTTGTTTTATCGGGGACAAGGGAGGGCACTAAAATTATTATACACAAGCTTATATTCTACCGTATTTATATTACCGTGAAGTGCTTTTATTTTTATTTTTGTTTCTGACGATACTTTTTTAACAATATTAAATTTGTGTATGTATATACAAAGCAAATGTATATGGAAAATACCTAAAAAAAAAAGTAATCGATGGGAGGGGCGATCGCTCCCGTCTCTCCCCTCTAAAATACGCCACTGAACGTTTAAACTATAAAATACACCTACCTAAGTATATTATATATTATTATATTACGAGCATTACTTAGTTCCGAAATCGCCACGTCGTTAAGGGAACTGCGGTTTTTTTCTCTTTTTCTTACACTCAGAAAATCATTTGTCTTTCACAGTTCGTCGGAAAACTCGCGCACATTATAAATCCGAGGCGGGGCGTTTTTTTTTTTTCCGCCGGGTATAGATTTATATTTTGCTGCGGTGGCGGCGATGTAAACGAATAGTTTTCTCGTCTTGTATCAATAAGCTTCCGTAAAGCTCGCTATAGACTATATACAGTATTAATGCAGGACCAACAGCGTAATATAATATATAATATAACCGTGACTTAAGTTTTGATATGTCGAGATCTTTCGAGATTTATACGCTAGCAGCATCTAATTTTATACAAACAACGTAATACGTATTAGTGTGAGCGTGTAAAAATATACTATGAAAAAAACTGATTTATTGTTGATGGGTGTGCCACTGTTTTAGGAGGGATTTCGGAAAGTAGGATATTATATAGAGTAATATTTAATTCAAACCCATAGATAAAACCAACGATGGTGGAAAACGATTCTCAGCAAAGCATTATTGATCGTGTTTTCTTTCATTTGTTGCCAAGGTAACCCAGAAATCAATAAAAATTTGGCAGTTTTTCTCATTTATTTAAAAACTAAAAGAAAGATTTAAAAAAAAAATTATCTAAAGCTACACCATCTGATTCAAAAACGCTACATGAAAGTTCCTATGAAGTTTTTGTTTGAACAAGATTTCCGGTGGAAAAGTTGTTTACAGACACAAAAAATTAAAATGAAAAAACGCATCATACTAAAACCAATACTTTCCACGCGTCGTCGCTTAGAATTTAAAATGATTTTATAAAATAATAATAATAACAATACTGTAAGCCATCAAGGAAATTGAATCGGTGTGCAAGGCCGGAAATAGGAGGAGATGCAGGGATTTATCCCCAGGTTTACAATTTTCAGTCACCTATTTTTGTTATCTATGTATATTTACTAATAAATACTTTTTTGATTTAATTTTTTGGTATTTTAAGAAACTAGGAGACAAATAATTTTGCATTCCATAAATATATGGATTTAAGATCTATAGGGGGACACTATATGTAACCTAATTTTTTTTTTTTTTTTTTAATGTAAAATTAACTAGTTCTGACACGCTGTCGGAGTATAGTTTTGAAAACAAACAGTACGTTTACTGCTTACACCTGCAGCTAATAATTTTTACCTAAATCTCAAATCTTAGTAATTTTGACAAGACTGCAAGAAAGGTGTACTCTCGTAGTGTTTAAGTTTTACGTTTGTATTTATATTATGATTTCGCCCTAGACTATAAGGAGCATTCTTAAACGCCTAAAATTGAGCTTAAAAACTTAACATCAAACTAAAAAGATTGGAATCGCACTATAAAGACGAACGAAAATGAATTGATTTAGGCAAGTCGACAAAAACCTAATAGCAGAAAAATCGAGGTGAATAGAATCTACACAAAATAGAAATATTGAAAGGGAACTGATGACCGCTCCGACTGCAAGTTATCATCGGTCACGATCCGCAAGTTAAGTCCTCGTCTGCGTTTAATTTTTTTTTGTCGTATCGCGTAAACACGCTGCGCGGGCGGCTAAACGGTTTTCGGAGGACGGTACGCTAATAAATTTGTTAGGATACGTTTTCCGCCTATATTTCATTAAAGGGACGACGATACGACTGTGTGTTTTACACGTATTATAATATTTATACGCGATTTCGTAAATTTGTTTTTCAAAAATAAAAATAATACCCGCCAATAATATAGATAATGATACAGCAAACCGTGTGGTTTTTTCGAATAAAAAAAAAAAAAAAAACCACCGTTTGTCACGATACATTATTACAAAAGGATCGCGCGGTACCTAGTCGCATATGGTTTGTACGATATGTACACGGTATAATATAACGTTATCCTTGATACTCGTACGCTATAACGCAGTACCTGCGATAGTAAAAAATAAATTACGGACTCGGCGGCGGTTTTTTTACTTTTTTTTTTTTTTTTTTTTTTTTTTTTTTTTTAATTGCCGACAACGAAAAACCATATAAACTTATTGCATTACGGTTCGGATTGAATTACGGCCGCGCGTAACGCGCGGACCGGTCTGCACTTTTACCCGGGAGCTGTGGGCGGATGGAAAATTCGTACGGCAAACTCCGCGGGAATAATATTTCGTAAAAAGTTAAAACGGCCCCGGTTTTCGGACGTCACGCGATATTATCGGACGCGCGTGATATTCGCTTTGCGAATGCGGCACTTGAACCGAACATACCTAATATTATCGGAAATCTTAGACAACAGGACGCTCGATACCTCGGAAAGCGTCGACTTTTTTTCACGATTTTTTTTAATGGACAGTTTGAAAAAAACAAACGGCTCTGCAATGTTACGTTTCCGTTATTTTTGGCCGTCCTTATTTTCAGTGGACGAAACCGTTGCCCGCGTTTGATTTTCGAATAGCCGTCTATGTTGAAAATTCCACGATTAAGTTTCAGTTGAAATACGTGTTAGCGTTGACATTTTTAATACTTCGACAAATGTGGAATATCTCGTCACCGGGCCGATGGAAATTCAAAATTTCAACACCAAATTGTATTTAAACTCCATCTATTTACGAGATATTGTTACATTATTTTAAATGCTTGCTATTTGAAAATTCAAAATCGGTAGTTAAAATTAAAAGTGACGAAATTGAGGACAATTTAACATTAAATGGTATATAATTGAGAAAAGTGTTTGCATAAATTGTTTGTTTAAAAAATAGGTATTTCGTAGAAAATTTGGCTGTAACGTGGAAATTTATAAAAGCTGTAAATTATTATTGCAGAGTTGTAAAATATTAATTACAGAAACATTCGTTTCGGGTTATAAGTCAATATATTATACTACCTCTAATCAAAAAATAAAAATACAAAAATCTAATCTAACATTCAAAACGATTTTTGTATCACTATTGGATTCTGAGCATTTCGAGTTTTGCACTAGTTTTACTATATAATGTATGTTGTTTTCCTGCCTGTAAATAACTTTTCTACTAGAAAACTTGCTTCAAACGATGAATTCCAAGAGACCTTTTTTTGTAGAATTTCAGACATAGTTTATAAATAATTTTTTTTTTTTAACGCTGTTTTAATAATAATCCGGCAATACCGGGAAAAACATAGAAAAAACGAGAAAGTTTACGGAAATAATAGTTTTACATTATGTCATTATGTTAAATTTTATATATTTTTTTTTTGTTGTAATTCAATTGGAAATTTTCGTAGAGACTTAAAACTTTGTGAGAAAACCAATAGTGGCCCTTTCTAAATGTGGTTACATTTTTAAATTAGCTATAAGTCTTTTATATTTTCAATTTTTTTTAAATTTTTTTTTTAACTTTCCTTTGTTAAGTACTATGTCGATGAAATTGTTTGGCCAACAATAATTGACCGAAAATTGAACACAAAGTTCAATAAAATGTGTACTCAGTGATCGAAAAAAAAAAAAGAAAAAAAAAAGATCTGGACGTAATTTAGTAGTTTTTCTTTTTTACAAATTTCGACGAAAATCGTAAATATTACTGTATTTTTACTTCGTTTATAACTAACTTCACTCAGTGTCATATTTCGTTAGCAGTGGTATATCGTAAAGCTTATAGTCAAAAATTAAATAACTTTATATATCCTAACTTCTTATTTATTTGTTTTTCTGTCTGCAACGGGTAATTTATTTCAATGATAATAAATATCGTGAAACCGAGCGTTGGCCAGTATTGACAATATTAAACCTTTTGTTTATTGTCGTTTCCAAGCATACACAACGACACGCGTATTTAATCAAATCGTAGTAAATTATGTTAGTATCTCAATTATGTTCCGTCACTATAGCTTTATTTTGTTTTTATATTTTTTTGAACGTATCGTTCTTTAAAACGTTGCCAATAGTTTTTTTTCTAAGTTTTTTCGTTCAAATAATGGTTCGTCGTAACTTAATTTGTTTTTTCTCGATTTGTTTGCAATAACGGTTCATGGGGTTCACAGCAAGGGGGAACGAATATAATGTCTCCTTGGCCATTATCACAATAACTAATAATCCTAATTCTTGTTGATTTTAAATCTAACTTTATCAGTTTATTATAATATATAAAAAACACATTTAATACACAATAATGTGGTAGGTAGGTGTATGCAACACTAGCGAATGAGTATAGGGCTAATTGAATGTTTGTCTGAGGTTTTGCGCTTCGTAAAAAAACTCGACGTTGAAAGATTCTCAAACACAATATGTGTGTGTTGTAGCCACGTGCGAACAGCCACAGATCACAGCATTAAACTAAACTGTTACGGGTTCTGGAGTTTTTATCTGATGATTTACCGTATACAATAAATAGTGTGGCTGTATTAAGTTTAAAGGTCGATTTATTATAAAACTTTTTAGAAATCTTTCTACAATCCAAAAATTATAAGTGTATTTCATTATGGCAAATATTATTTAATTTGTACGTTGTTTTTTAGAGTTTTGATGTAATTTTTTTAATGATCAAGATTTAATGTTAGTTTAGGTTCATAAACCATAACAATTATAACAACATTCGTCCATCGACACTCTGTGTGAAAACTACTGACTAAAAGTCGCCGGGAATTCCTTTCGAATAGACAATCACGTAAGATGTCAGATATTGCGTGGCTACATTAGTTAAAAAAAACGATATCAATATTCAATGGTTCGCAATTGCCAGACAGTCGTTCTCTGTTTTTCAATTAGTGTACTTGTCTGTACCCAGCCCGCTAACTATCGAACGGTATTGCGGATTAAAAACAGTATTTATTTTTTTTGTGTTTTCAAACTAAACTTTTTGGAGGGTATTTTCGACCAGATTTATGGGTAATTATCTTAAAAAGATCGGAAACCACAGTAATTACCCATAGTAAATTCTGTATACGAGTGAACGTGGTGTCAACGGCAAAATAATTATTAAAACTGTTCACTTGTGTTACGTAGTTTCAGATTATGAAACAACTTTATGGGTATTGTCGAAATATAACAAAGTTCGCCGAAGTCTTCGTCTTAATATGGAATATAAGAGGATTTGCGCGGCACGTCTGTTGCAGGAACACGAGTCACGCTCCGATGCAGAAACTCCGATAACCTACTTGGTTTTTTTTTTTTGTTGGTCTTTGTTCATACGATTACTTATTAATATTGTTACACATAATTACGGGTAATTTCAATTAGTTTTTTAAATCAATGCCAAGTTTATAATAATTACTATGCACAATGTATTAGCTCCTTACTTCCAGTACGAGCTAATATACGCTAATTATATTCATATAACAATATAATATTACGACGAAACGAGAGTTCTAGTAGAAAAGGGCGGTAGACGTGATAATAATGGTTTTGAAAATAAACATGAAATCGTCGTATAATTAAACCTTGTTTCCGCGAGCCAATATGGTCCGTTCAAAATCAAATAATGTCATATTACAAACTTATATATCGTTATTAATATTAATATACGATGTATGCGGTGTATAAGCAGAGATTTGTGTATGGAGAGATTTTAAAATTGGAATAATTATATTATCGCAACCGATTCAAAAACACTCGGTCATATGGTCAAATAAAAAAAAAACCGAATACTAGGGGTGCCAGACGATAGTTACTAGGCTTCATTTAATTTAACGCTAACACACGAGGTATGGGAAACTATCATTAGATCGTCAATAAATCTAACTAATCGACAACAACTATAGCTGAGATATTAGTTATCATTGCCACGGGTCCGTTATAGGTTTGATTAATGTTTATAATATAATTTTTAAATTTCCAGTAATGAAATAATTTACTACATAAAGATATCGGATCATTTTTGTATGGGTATTTATACGTTGAGGTATATAGAAATGTACCTAGATATTAAAAAATACGATTTTATACTTTGTATTCAACATATTTTTTTAGGATAGGCCCTATCCTATATATATATATATATATAAATACAGATAGGGTATATGACCCTATTATGGAATAAGTTACAATTTCCTGTACGGCATCACACCCTGCGAAAAAAATCCTGCGCACGCCTATGAGTACGGTATATTGTGTTAAACATATTGGAATAATATTTTAACCTACGGACAATTAATTATTAAAATACAAATAATAATAATGTATAAAAAGTCTATAAAATAACGTCACACGATTCGTGTGAATATTTAGGTCGGGTATGATTTTTTTGTCGAATTTTTCCCGAAAGTGCAAAATAATTCAGTGTATTGAGTCCGTTTCTTATTATATTTAGAATTCTGATACTTTTAGCGGCTCTCTCTAGACTAAAAAAGCTCGGGATTTAGATGTTTTTTTTCATAATCCGAAGGATTGAAGTGATACAATTTTAGTTTTATTAAAATATGAATTGAACTCCAAATAATTGTGATGGGAAAGGAAAAGATAAAAATTTATCAGAGAAGAGCGTAATTTTTCGGCAGGGTACACCACTAAAGATCTCCCAAACAAAGTTAGGGAGGTGAATTTGTCGGTACGCATGTTGCAAAGTATAGAGAATATGCTTTTCGGCGATTTAAAATTTTAAACCCGACCATTTTTATGCTCGGGTTTCATGTTTTCACACGATATGCCGGGTTTTGAATTGAAGGTGCACTACGGTGAGTTTAGGTTTGTGACGGTATAACAAGTCGTTTCGAGGAAAATTTTGACTCCAGTAACGAAGCTCTGATATTTATGGGGGTTTTTTTTTTTTTTTGAAATACACCGTTATCATCTTGCCGGACAAATAATATTAGACGTAGTTTTGAAATATATAGTATATATAGGATACTGCGATTAGCTATAATCGAAAAAAATATGATATTATAAAGGCGGATATATATTGCGCTATATTAGATATTACAAAAATGTAATATTACATTTTAGAGAGACAGAGTGAGAGAGAGAGAGAGAGAGAGAGAGAAAACGAGAGAGAACATCTCTTCCTATACGTGTACGCTAAAATAATTCATCTGGCGCGGAGCTATTGTTTTCCTATATTATATTTTATACGATAGGTTTCGGCGTGATGTAATTTATATCAAAGTTGCGGCGGCGTTTCTGTAAAATATAATATTATCATTATTATTAAAGCTGTAAAATAGTCGAATTTTCATCAATGGGGTTTTCATATTTGCACGCGTTCAATGTTAAAAATCGTAAACAATACGCGCCCACCCCACCCATATACCTATACGTATACCTATATATATATATATATGTGTGTGTGTATTTGCGCGTGCGCGTGCGCTCGCGAATATTGTTCGTAGCGGACAATAGACAACGATACCTGTCAACAACGCGTCCATTTATCATAATACCGTATCAAATTCGTTTTTATTTCACCGTGCATTCACCGCGAAATATTAACAAACTATTAAAAAATTTATTTCCGGTGCGGGTTTACGTACCAATACCGTTATTGTAATACGGACGGGCAATAGCTATTCGGTTTTCCCGTTAGAAGCAGTCGACCTATAGTCGAATTATATTTTTTTTTTTTTCGTTTTTGTCCAAAAGCATCGCTGTAAAAGCGAATTCGGTCTTTTCGCCCTAAAAAAAGTCTAATGTGCGAAAAAATAAAAATAAAATAAAATGACCCGACGACGCTTAAGCGGGTGTACGGAGTAACAGTAACCGAGCGTTATAGTGCATTGCGTGACTGTTTAAAATATCAAAACTGTATGGATTTAGAAATATAAATTTCGTGTAAATAAACCGAATTATACTGTCGTAACTCTGTGGACTTTTATTTACTGTTGATGGCGGCATTTCGGACCACCAAAAAACGGTTCGGCTTTTCGTTTTCGAATGCTGAGCGCAGCGAGTAACGTATTGGTTTTACAATGGTGCGTGCGTGTGTCTTTTATTTCTGTCTAACAACTTTTCTACCAGAAATATTGTTCCGATTTTCAAGTGTAGGGTCTTTTATAAAAGCAATAAAAACCTAATAGGTATTTGTTTTTTTTTTTGTTTTTCGTTCTAGTAATCTTTATATAATAAATTAGGAGAAACCTGCAAAATTAACGTCAATAACATTTTCGTTATTTAAAGCTTTTTTTTCAACCATTTTAAATCAACCGATAATAATCGTAGAGACCCGACATTTCGCTAGACGTAGGAAATTGTTCAATACATTTTGGCAATTTTTAATTTATTTATAGGTGTTTGGTTTCATGCGAATAAAATTAGTTCGGCCGAACGGAAATACTTGATCATTTAACTCCAGATTCTTTACACGTCGTAGTTAACAATAAAAACAATTTGTACGTGTAGTATTTTACCATACCCGTTTAGAGATTCAAATTTTTCTGTAATCGTAAAATTCGCGAAATTTCACATACTGTAATTCGATATATGAGAAAAAAATGTGTTCGATCCAGACAAAATAGTTGAAAATTAAACCTCAGGTATATCGTGTTTTTAATTTTTTCAAAAATAATTAGGTCAGGTTAGGGAAACTGTTTGCTATACGTTGATTTTTTTACGTACAAGTTATACAATGAACTTTTCTTTCTTTTTTTTACTTTTAGTTTGACAAAATAAATTTATAACTATATATTCTTTCATTAAAAAAAAAAAGAGATTATAATTAAGTATGCCGTTTATTTGCATGTTTTGTACAGAAAAAAAATTGTTTACCCGTTAGAAAATTATTTCATGATTCTTAGTTACTTAAAAAAAAAAAAAATAATAAACAATCAGACTCCGAACGCGAGTGTTTAAGTATTTATAAGAGTATATAAGTTTTAAGAAAGTTTCAGCGATAAAGACTTTTAAAAATATCGCATTGTTGGTAGAGAAACCGTTGTTAAAAATTATTAATGTAAGTATACTTTCAAAAACATAATATTTTATTTTTTTGAATTTTAATTATCGTATTTTAAGTACCTACGCATTATATATTATTATGTTCTACTACGCATAATAAATACGAATTAAGTAAAAATATCATTTTTTTTTTTTTTTTTAAGTTTTCATTAATTTATCGCGTAAATTATTCGGTAGAATTTATGGTACCCGATTGCCAAAAATGTTACACAATAATCAATTGGGAAATGATTAAAAAAAAAAAAATAAATACCTATTGTGTTAAAATACGTTCTCTGTTTATTAAATTGAAGACGTAGTTGATTCGACTGATGACAAATCAATGCAATTGTAAATTACTAAAAATGGCACTTAAAATGCATAGGGAAACAAAAAACAAAAAAAACACTGTAAAACGTTTGCACAAAATCGACAATAGCATTTTAATTATTGTAAACGAATCAACGCGAGTAGTGTGTGTACATACACAAAACAATTGAAAAACAATTGTATACGATAAATTTGTACAGATCTTAAAACATACAATGAGTACCTTTTAACTCATGACGGTGTCAAGTATTTTTTATTTATATATATATATATAAAGGTAGCAGTCGCGTATTTAGAAATGTATAATGGAGGAGGAGGCACAAAACAAAAAATTCAATTTATACATAATTGTAGCTTATATGACTTACACCAAACTCATATATTCCATCTCAAAATAACATTACAAATTATAACCAAATAACCAAAATATATGCGTTTGAAAGAAACATAACATAATTCAGTTCGCAAAATAATTAATAAAGCATATTTTTTTATGACATTTGTGTAGTTACATTAACTGCAGAAGGCGTCTGGGGTGATTATTTATTAGCATATTTTATATCAACTATTTCTTCGGGTTTTATAATTATTTCTGAACGTAAATTGAGCAACGCTCATTCCGTTCAATAAATTTTCTCCCATATTTGACCTTAAGTAGATTTCAATTGTGAAGAAAACGACCTTTCGGATGTGCGTGCAGTTGCGAATGGTTACAAACAGTATTTTAAGCCGGTTAGTGCTTTGATAAAAATCCACGATGAGTAAAAATATTGCCCCATGTGTCCCTCCTTAAATACGCCCCTGATAGGTCGTGTCATGGGATATAACTGTACTGGAAACAACTGGATCCTATGGATTCAAGAAAGTCATACTATTACACGATTCAAATATCCACTGGGCACGATGATCACACGAACGAATGGTACGCAAACTGAGATAAACAAAAGGATTCGAATGACGTTCAGAATAAGTTATAACTCAGGATAACTCATTTTAGGTCCAGGTTTAAAATGTAATGTTGCAGTTTCACTTTACGCGTAATACAAATATGATCAGTGATAATGTGTTATGGATCGCAATCCCGTGGAATTCAAGAACACTGACGAAGGGTTAAGAAGGGTTACGCGTGTAGGGTTTTCGAAAGAAATATTTAAAAAGGAATACGATTGTCCCGTGTCAATAACGGGGAGAGCGGCGGAATAGAACAAACGCAAAACTATGTTACTATTATTGTAAAGCGGTTCAGACTTAGTGGGAGAAATCGTGAAGAAAGACTGAGATTGTCAGGCCGTTTACGGACGAGACGGGAAGATCCGGTAGAGATGATTTTATGTGGGATGAAAATGACCCGTGATCTGGCTGCGGTGGCGACGGGTATGTTTGGTATGTTTTGGGATGGTCAGTCGTATTTGCCGTATAACCAAAAAAAAAAAAAAAAAAAAAATAATGAAAATTCCCACACGGTCCGTGAGACTTGTGAATAGTTTCTAATGATTTAATAAACTTTCCGAAATACCGGGAGATTCAAAACGGATATGCGAAACTTTTGGAGTAGGTACTTCGCGGATAAACACACGCGAAATGCAACGTATAGTTGCAAGATGATCAGCTGCCTTCCTGCAAGCGCCCGGGTTCCGAAATCATCAACAAATTATTTAGTTAAACAACGGTGTGTTTGTTTTGTTCTCGGTAAACATTTTTCGGAGCAGTGACTTATTGTGTTTTTTTTTTTTTTTTTTTTTTTTTGTATTTTTCGATAGGTTATGTTTTAAGATTCTCGGTGTGACGGACCGAAAATCACGAGATACTGCTACATATTAAATATGATCCTCCAACAAGAAAACACGTCGGAAAATTCTGAAACGAAACGAAATCGAAAATACACTAAAACTGTGTCCGAGACATTACTATTCCAACATTTCCGACATTGTTAAGTGTGTATATATATATATATAAATTATTTATTCCACGAGTTCACGAAAACCAACAGTAACCTGAGTCAAAAACTGCTCGGGTGTATATTCGGACGATTGTTTTATAATTATTAAATTGTTTTCGCCGCGCAAAAACGCTCGGCAAATTGTACAAGAGGTTCATCGTAGGATTTAAAAAATCGAACCGAAATCGAGCGTTAGGCCGTTGTTTTTTTCTTCTTATGTACGTTTCAAGCTCAAATTTCGACAAATACCCGTGAAAATCAAGACACTTCAAAAAGCACGTTTAACCGAACTTTGCTTATAATCGCATTTTGTCGGCAACGGTTTATCGACGAGTACAGACATGTAAATAAAACAAATCTACGTAACGTTTTCTATTTTCCCGACTTTTCACCTATAACGGCCATCAGCGGCCGAAAATGCGTTCGGAGTGTTCGTGATATTTTACGAGAGCGGTTTTTTCCTTTAGGTTTTAGGGCGTTCAAACCCGCAAACTCTCTTTAGAACGTGGATAATATTGGTAAATTATATTTTAATCGTTTAGTTTACAGTACTATCATATCATAACTATACAGTATTTAAATTAATTCGAGAGTCGGTTTGCTGCAATTCGAAATAAAATGTAGACGTTGTAGTGCAGTTTTTTTTTTTTTCCGAAGTAATATAATACGACTATTAGTTTCCGTTTTATAATGACCTAAAATTAAAAATAAAAAAAAAGTCAAGAACTGCAAAAAGTTGTTTTTTGTTTTTCTAAAAATTCGAATATGGCCATTTTGTTGAGTTTATTGAAAGTTTAGATAAAAAAAAACTATTTCGGAAATTTTTATGTTCAAAAATACAGCGTAATATTGTAAAATTATTGTGTAACGTTAATTTCGTTCGAAATTCGCCCGATTTCAAAATCGTTTTTTTTTTCTTACGTACTTTAAACAAATGACTTTACGAAATGGCTATTGTGAAAAGGAAAAAAAAAACGTTTAGCGGTTCTTGATTTTTTTTTTTTTTTATTATTTATCATAAAAGGCGGGCAATCGGTCATAATATACAATCACATTGAAAAAAGCTACAACGATTGCATTGTATCGTGTTCCGAATCACGGCCACACTGACTTTCACGTCAGTTTAATTTACATGCTGCAGCATGCGAAAGACGATACGCGAGCGCCGCGGTGGACGTCGCCGGCACCGCCGTACGAGTCCGGATAGTTCGCCGGGGGTGGTTGGCGAAGAGAGGCAGGCTCGGCCCGGATGAAAAGGTGAGAGGGAGTACGACGGAGGGGTCGGAATATTATTTTACATTACTGCCCCCGAGTGCGTCCGCGCGGCGCGGTACACGACGAGCGGACGCGGAACTTCCACTCGCGCACGATCCGCGCACGCACGGGGCTATACGGAGGCACCTGCAGTATATATCACGGCGCGTTCGAGTGGATTATTCAATTTTTTTTTTTTTTTTTTTTTCTCTTCTCGGCCGACCGGCCGCCGGCGCCGCCGAGTCGTACGGAAGGGAGACGGCCGCGATCCGTCGGAGAGACGCGCCCGGCGAGTGACGATTTCGGCGCACGCGACAGGCGCGGGTGACCTAGATTCCTACGCCGTACGTCGCACGTCGCGTTGTCCCCGGGCGAGTGTCAACGTTCCGGCACCCGTTCCGGCGCCCGCGGGCGCCGCCGGACGGTTTCAATCGCGCGGACGGACGCGCAGTGCATTGTCGCTCGTCGTTCTCGTCCGGGGACACCGGCGGACGTCGCGTTCGGTTCCGGCGGAACACACTCGTCGCGTACCCCCGACGGTCGTTCGTCGCGCCCGGCGTGACGGTCGGCACGACGAACCGAGGGCCGAGCGCCGAACGGATTCCGCCGGCGGCCCACGACGCGGTCGCGAACGCGCGAAAACGAATCGGCGCGTAAATTCGAACCGACCGGGCGCCCGAACGGACCCGGGAACGGCGATGCGCTCCCGGCCGTGTCCGCGTCGTCGTACAACAATGCTGCCGGTCTCGCCGTCGCCGTCGGGCCACGGGCCACCGTCCCCGGGCGCCGTTCCCGACGGGCACGCCGCGGACGCGCCGCGTACGTGCACGGCGTTTGGGGAATAACCGTCGGCCGGACATTAAATATAATAATACTATCCCGCCTCCCCGTCGCGCCCCTCCGCGCGTAATATTCGGCGGGTCCGCTCGACGGTCATATCGCTACGCAGTACGATTCTATCGAAACGAGAAAAAAAAAATAATAATAATAATAAAAAAAACCGAAAAAAAACCACGCCCCGCCGCGACCTCGCGTCGTCTAAACGCAACGAAAAAACACGTCCGTAGTATGAACAAGATATTTTTATTATTTTTTTTTTTTTTCCGGAAAAATTTCATAGTTTCATAACGTTCGCCAAACGTTCCAGTCTCGTATTTCTGAGCCGCGCAATTTTTATGTTTTCGTGGAAATACTGTACAAGTATTTAGCAAACGTTCGTTCGAATCATACGGACAACGAAATATTTATAAAATATTATTAGTAAAATATTTGTCGTTTAACCGCTTCGAAATATTTACGAAATAATATTTTGTTTCCCGAATGCTGTGCGGGGTGCGCACACGTTTTACGTGTTACGAAGAAAAATCGCGTTTCTTACATTGTCGTCGGGGTTTCTCGCGGCTATAGTTTTTTTTTTTTTATTTATTTACGCGTATTTTTTTTTCAACCCGTCGCCCTCGCCGTCTCGGGTGTAACCGAAAAAGACGGAATTCACAACCCTCTCCGCCCGCGCCGCCCGCTCGCCCGCGAAATCCGCCGCGCGGCCTTTTACGTTACGGCGCGTTCACGCCCGCGTGATATAATTAAGCTAAGTGGCGTGATTCAATACCGTCCCGCCGCCGCCGCGGCCCGTCATCCGCGGCCCGGACGAGCGCCACTGCCGCGGCGTCCATCAATCAGTCAGTGGCGAAAGAGACGGCCGACGGCGGACGGACGACGATAGGGGACGGTTGGGGTGGGTGGAGGGAGGGGACCGCGTATATATTGCCACTGCCGCGCGCGGACGTCTCGGGGCTTAACAACGCACGTAATTCTTCGCGCCCGCCACTCTCGACACCTTCATTTCCGGCCGACATTATCCTCCGCGCGCGCGAGCGCGACGGCGACACACTCGTGCGCGCGCGCGCGTACGCGTATAGGTTTTCGGGCTGCGCCGGGCGGTTGTCGCACGGTGTCGGGTGGCGGGTGGACGGCGGGCGACGAGCGAAAACCTCTCCGCGCGTCGAAAACGTGACGAAACGACTGCCGCGGCCCTTTTATTATACGTATATATATATAAACTTGTCCCGAACGAACGCGTCGAAACTGTAGTTTTTTTTTTTTTTTTTTTTTTCTGTGCCCGTTTCCTATCTCACGGTCGCCGACCCTTGCGGCGGGAAAAAAATGTATACGTAAAATATAATAAAAGAAAAAAATAAAAAAAAAAAAAAAAATCGATGATTAATGACGCGTTTGTCTTAACGCCTCCGCCGCGCGACCCGAATTTAAATCGACAAAGACCGCACATTTTCGTCGGCCGAATAAATAATACATCGACCGTTTTTCCCGCGGGGCGCGTACGAAAAGAAAAGAACGCGGAAAGAAAAAAAAAAAAAAAAAAACGAAACCCGAAAAGAAAAACAATTTCCCCGTAGCCGGCCGACGTCGCGTCGCCGTCGACGGCTCTATACGGCAAGCGCATTAAAACGCCGTTTGGTTTCGACGTTTTATTTGCGCATTCACATACACGTATGTACACGGCGTGATCATTTCACCGGGCATTTTCTCGGTGGGTTTTACAAATGAAATTCGAGCTTTATCCCGACGTTATCCGCGAGTTTTTACCGCTAAACAACACCATCGCCCGTCTTTCTAGACATTATTCGATATACGCGTAACACACTGCGTGTTATCGTACCGGAGATACCGTGTGGGCGTGTTACGGTTTTTCGGGAAAATATTCTCCATTCGAATCCGCGATTAATGGGATACGCCGGTGTTTTACAAACATCTAAAATTGACGCTCGCGTAACGAATTGAAATTTGTGTTAAAACTCAATGCTAAACGATTACATAATTATTAAATAATACAGAAATCAAATTCACTTCGAAATTCCTACGGGGGAATTGCCGGTTCGTGAATACAACGTCGTGTATACGTATTCCACTTCTGCAAACAACCGGAGTAACTAAGAGATATTGCTTACAAATCTCAATAGAAAAAAAAAATAATTATCAAACCGAAATACCTATATTACGGTATTATATTTTTCCAAGAACCAAACCGGTCGTAAAAATAAATCGTATTCCAATAGCGTTATCCCCGAGGATACCAAAAACAGACTAAATTGCGTCCTTCTTTAAAGAAAAAAAAAATATATTGTGTATACATAATATATTACATTTTTTTTCCTATGATAATGGTATGGACCCTATGGGTTTTTGCCCCAATCACAACATTTGGTCGCTTGACTCCATCTCGAACTGCCTCTATACATTTTTTAAACCACGGGGCTATCCAAATCATCTTCTTCCACGTCAATCCATTTTCCCCGAGTTTCTCTGTGAGTCTTTATCCCTAAGGTTTCGGTTTTATAGCCTAATTCTAATTGTATCGTCATCATCTCTTCTCGTTACGTGGCCGTCGAATCGTTCGGCCCCTAACGCAAATATCTGTACCGGAGTCGCTACACGTAAAATCAATACTGCATCATTGCATCAGTCACTTATTATGACATTTTCGAAAAGAAAAGAGAGAAAAAAAAAAAGAAATAGTAAAACGATTTAGTTTTTCCGCCGTCATTTTAATGCGTATAACAAACATTTTATGTGACATAATATAATATAATATAATAATAAAAAGTATATTGTATATTTATAATAATAAAATAACGTATTATATTTTCATGTATGACTATAAAAATACTCGGAGCGTTTTAATGTACACAAACGATAATAAAAAATATATATAAATATACCTGTGCATGAATCGAATATAACCGTGTTATGTTATAGCCGTAGGCCTGTAGCTCGCAATGGTGTGACATATGTTGGTCGTTTTTTTAAATATACGTGTTTGCGAACGGTCATCCGTGTCACGGTGTTTCGTGTAAAGATAATTTTCAATTTATCTGACCGATAAAGACAACGGATATAACTTGTCAAAGTTATCTGTTGGTAAAGACGAATGACTATAGTGATTCATTCCCGGGGAAAAAAAAAAAAAAAAAAAAAAAGAAAAACAGGAATCGCATAATACTAATCATAAAACCGAGTGTTAAAAGTGTACCGGATATGTTATGGTACAAACGCAAGGATTTAACGAAATCCGCGCGAACGTTGTACCGTAATAATAATTATTAATTTTTAAACGAACCACCGTGCACATTTAACTGCATCGACATTTATTAAACACTCGTCCTACATTTTTCAGATTCCGAGCGGAGCGAGGTATCACAATAATGTTAATTTTTTTACGAACAACTTTTTTTACCAGACATTTTACGTCTGATATTCAGATGTATAAACTTTTCTGAAAACAAATTTGATTGATACGATACTTTAAGTGTGTCGTTTTTGATATTCTCGAAGATTTACGTAATAAATAGCAGAAAATATAGGAAAAACCGGAAAACGTACAAAATTAATTATTTTCAAATCGTAAATATTACGGCCTTTCAAAACGTGTATACCCGAACTCTGTTCAGAATCGTTGTTCGCTAGCGATGACTAATCGTTTGGTACAGACGTACAGTACATTTCACCTCTACCTTTCGAACTTCTCGCCAATAACGGTATCCCGCGTAGCGTATGTCCGTTTGGTTTTTTTTTTTTATAATACACACGGAAAGATTTATCTATAGATACATATTATTTATTGAAACTATTGATTTCACAGTATTATACATTATCCTAGATAACGGTTCAACCGCCAATCGTATTACATTAGATCTCGTTTATCTCAGCACGTTGTTTTAGTGAATATCCAATATTTATCCACTGTCTTCCGAAAAATGCGCTAGACCAAAGGTGGTCCTAACTTCTGGACTCGACCAATATTTCCGACGTTAATTATTATAACCATTCGTGTTCTAGTGGACACACGCAATATGAAAAATGATATGCAATCGGGTTTCAATTACTATACGGCGAGTCCATTCTGACACAGAAAACACTCGAAAAACGATTCAAATACAAGACAAACGACGAGAACATGTACCGTATGTAACAAATACCGGATATCTATATGCACGTATAGATCATTTTGTTTAACAATCTGCCAACTACGTATATTTCCGTGCATTTCATTGTATTATAATCAGTATTGTATAAATATAAATTTTAAAATATCTGGATAAAGTGAAGGGATACTCGCCGGACTCGTTATCATTTATTAGATTGAGATAACTTTTCATCTGGATAAAAAAAAAAAAACAGAAAAAGATAATTTCGTTTATAACTCATTATGAAACTTTGTTTATGTAATTTAATAGTTTATTTATTTAACTACTAAATGTCCCATCAGGCGTTGCCCGCGTCAAAACAAATATTACAGACAAATTTTCATTATTATTATTATTATTACGGCTCTGTTAGGAATACCGCATTATGTATTAATTTCGTTTGTTTTAACTTTTTTTATTTTTTTATTCGCATCACCGAGATCACTCATAAATCCACAAAACCAATCGGATATTCCGTCCCGAAAAACTAGTAGTGTTGCAACAGCCAGGAGACTGTCCAAAAAAAAAAAAAGGGCTTTTAGGGATCAAATACGGAAAAGAAACGTGGCCCATACGATCCGTTCAATAGTTCGAGCAAGAAGTAGTGACAGACATACGCATTGACAAATGACAAAGTTTCGCGTTTATGAAATTGCAGTAACGGACGCGGACACATCGGTTAAACATTTAAAATGAAAATTTATCCCGAGCGGTTCAACCGTTCATCTCGGATAACTTATCGTTTGCCGTTTGTCTGGGCGACAAATATAAAAGATTCGCGGACCGTGCGCACACTGTCTACCGATATCCATAGATAGAACGCGAAACTGATTGCGTTCGTAATTAGATTGTAGCGCAAAATCGTAATTATTTATTAAACTTTTGCCGAAATTGAACACGATCGACGCGGGCGACGTCGCCGTCTTTGTAATTTTCGCGTTGTAAATTATCGTATCGCCCGCCCCCCCCACCCCCCGCGTAAAGCATACGCGACGATAATAATAATAATAATAATAATAATAATGATAATATTTATGATTGAATTATAGAAAATTGATAATATATTATTATTGTTATCAAACCGGTGCGCCCGTAGCGCGGTGTACATAACTTTGCGCCGAAACTTGATTAATCGAGTAAAGCGGAATTAATAACACTGCGGTATAGGGCCACGTCCGTTCGATTGTCTTCGGCCTCGTCTCGCGCGCGTAAGAAAAATAACCGGCGGGGCTGTGCGCGCGGTGTGCGAGAGACGGAGAGAGAGAGAGAGAGAGAGAGAGAGAGAGCTGAAATTTCCACGATAAATCACTATCACTATCGCCATTATGTACACATGCGCGTGTGTATACGGAAACCGGGAGAGTATAAATTATAAAGTTGCGGAAATTTTAACGTGCCGCGGCGGAATGTTTATGAACAATCATACGAAATCAGGTTAAGTGTCCGGCGGGAAAAAATAAACCGCGTCGGAATATTCGTACGCGCGTGCGTAGTGTTACACGCATGCAGAGGTAAATTTTTCCGATTCGCGTAACGGGAGGTTTTTTTTTTACCTTTATTTTTCTTTTTAACTCGAGTTGGGTTACTCGGGTGAAACGGCCCAAATGCATTGTCTGATTCGTAAAATTAGCCAAACATAGCGTATGAATCGACCGTTTATACGAATTGAGCGAAACTACATAGTACGGCCAAACATACGAATATGTTCAATGTGCACGTTAACACTGAAACGATTTTTGTATTGAGTCTTTATTATCGTTGTTACTAGAGTTTTTGAGTGAATAGAATAAAAAAAAAAAAAAAAAAAACACAAAAGTAGATATTATATACTGTGAAGGAAATACTTATAGTGAACGATAAACTCAAAGATTAATTTGTCAACGAAATAAAAATCACTAAAATATCAACGAATATAAGATTAAATTGGATCGAATTGTTATTATAATATACAGGGTGCTTCAAAATTTATGTTGCATCAATTTTAGTAGTAGCTAAAGAAGTTTTTCGATTTATAAACATCTAAAACAATATGGTTTTTTTTTTTTACAACCTTTTTTTTTTATAGGGGGGAGTTTTTGGGGTCAACCTTTAAAATCAAAATAAGAACCTATATTCGAAATTACATATTCACTGAGTAATAGTTTAAATAAATTTAGGTGTTGACATATGTGATTTACGTCCGCCTATTGACAAGATAATTAATGTTTAAGTTCCTCCCTCTATGATTTTCGAAGATAGCAGCCAATTTTCACTCTTCTTTATTATCCACTTTCCTTTTCATTTGAACATGTGAATCGCATCCTCGAGCAGCTAACTAGGATAAACCTTTGGATGTATGCTAGTCTCGGCTTTCCTCTAAAATACTTCACTTGCACTTTTTCGTTTTATAATTAGTTTTAGTAATACTTTATGCCAAATTACACTTCGTATCATTTCATTCCGCCTTTTTACTATCCTTTTCTGTGCCGGTTTTTCTTTAGACATCCATTCGAAAACCTCAGTATTAGTTATTCTGTCCATCCAAATCAAATTGTCGTCGTGTATGCGATAAATTGTAAATTCCATCCCCCCTCATCACGAAAAAAAAAAGAACTTACAACAAAAGTTATGATATTATTTATCTACGAATTATGCCACAGCGTTGTTTATTTATTTTTTTCAGTTCTTTTTTTTTTAAATACGCACAAATGCAAAACAAAGTTGTGTACTGTTTGATTGAAACGGGGAGGAAAAATCGTATTATTTAGAGGGTTTGTTTTCACAGTTCGATTACGAAACGTATATGCATATTAAATAGTATGAAATTATATTTTATTACGCGTAATATAATTTGCAAATAACCCACAACGACACGGATTAAATGTAGCGCGTATACGTCCTGACCTATGGCCACTCGGTTTTATTTTATTCATTAATAATGTAATTTTGTATTTTTGTTTTTCCATATTATGGTTATCGTTCTAATCACCGGGTGATATGGATTATTGAAGAAAACCCGCACGGATCGTGTAGGAAGGTTGTAGAACGGAAAACGCGATTCGAAAATAATGATATTAATGTTCATTCGGTAATGTCCGTAAGACTTTGCAATGTAAACTGAATTCCGGTGTGGACGTTTTTGAATTCCGCCATCCCATTGACGTGATATTCCACTTTTAAGCTAGGGTAGGGCAAGAAGCGTCTCGAATAATTTTTGAAACATAAACTATGGCCACGTAAATGTATCGCCTTTTTATGAAAATATTCCCGGAAATATTACGGAAACGTGCCAAAAAAATATAGCGGATGAAATAATTATTGGAGCGAATATATGACGGGTATTATTATTGATCCCGTGATAATTAACCGGGGGGGAAAAAAGGTTTAATTTCCACGGGGAATTATGACCGGGTGGATAATCTCACTAGAAAAATATTGAATCACTAGTGAAATGTTAGCTCCCTCCCGGTTAAATTTCAACAGTGAAATTTTACAATAGTGTAGGCTCATTTTCGCAGGAGTCGATTTTTGCGCGATCACACTAGAGCATTGTTGTTATCAATTTTATCCGAAACAGTAATACATTTAATGAAAATAACTACAATCTATGCAATGTACACGATTGTAAAATCGCATTTTAATCTTACTGTAACTAAAAAATTCCGATTCCGGCTCTTTTCGGCCGTCTTAAACGGTTTTTGATTTTTTAAACTATTTTTATTCTGCTACGAAATCCGAGCACGGCTTCATTGTTATTAGCCACAAATTCGAAACTATACCTGCGTGGTGTTGAATTGCCTGCACAGTGCGCCGGCCAATCGTCATTCATATAATACAAATGATATCCGATGTTACATTTTCGAGGGCAAAAGTGAACGCCGCATAATTAATAATTTGTAATAAATTCCGCGTTGTTCTGTTCGCGTTTCTGTTTAGCGCTGCATTCGTTGTTGTAAAACTGTTAATAAACGAATTACACGGCTGCAACAGACTTGGGAAAAAAAAAAAAAAAAAAGGTTTTTTTTATGACTGCTCGTATTTTTTCATCGTTTAGTCGACACGTGCGGAAGAGGGCCAATTAAAAACACGTTTTAAATCGTTTAGATTTCAATTTGAAATACGCATTTTTGTCGATGCGAAATAAACATTTTTTTTTTTTTTTTTACTACAGTCGTTAAATTATTTTTAAATATTGTATATACCGATTTCGCGACAAACGGACATGAAAAATTATTGTTGTTTTCGTTATTATTTTTATGGTTCCCAAGTGTCCCAAGTATCGCGTATAGAAAAAAATCAAATTAGCAATTTTTAATTATTACATATTTTTTATATTCAAAATAATTATATACCTAATTAATGACACCAACGCAAACAATATATCTGTTTGTTTCGTATAAACGTCGTGTTATCTTCGTATTATTTTTATACCCGACGCAGCCGTGTTCAGCTAGCCACGTTTAATGTTAAAAGTACAAAAATTCATGTCGATAAACACCATAAAAATCACGTACGAAATAAAATAGTAATAATGAAATTCTAAATTAAAATACTTAGCCAATTCGTCCGCAATAAGGTAATAATAGTTGGCGGGGCCTGATTAAAGGACCGAATACTCTGCAGCCTAGGGTGCCTTTAATTTTTTAGGGGGAGGGGGCCAACAAAACCATTTTTATTTTTATTTTTGATTTCTTTCATTTAAACTTGTATATCTATATATAAATATCAGTAGCCATAGGCATCGCTAGACCATTTTTTTTTTGTTTTTTTGAAAGAAAGGGGGTACGCGTGCGTGAATACACAAGGAGAGTTTCGACGAGTCAGGACCGTCGTCAAATCAACCCCGGCCCGTCGTTGTCGAATCTGTTAACATGCTGTCACTGGTTGTACGTTAACGGTAAATTGAAAACTGAAAACAATGCGGTCGGTCGCGATACGAGGATACGGTAGGCGTGCGTGGGGGAGGCGGGAGATCGGGTCGCGAGGAAATTTAGAACGACGGAGGCCCAGCCCCAATCACCGGCACGGGAGCGCAGAAGAAGCGGTAGCGACGAATCGCACGACAATTATAGCGGGAAAAAATTAAAAACGATCAAATCGTTTGAACCGTTCAATCGACTTTTTTTTTTTTTTTTATATTCAAGCGGTCCGAATCGCCCGGGCGGGATCGAATGGCCCACAGAGAAAACGGCGCAAATACGGTCGTCAGAGGTTGCGCGTTGCCCGCGTCGCGGTATGGCGGGAACACGGTGGGAACGGGTGAAGCGTGGCGATACGAATCAACAGAAAACGCGCGGGACAAAAGCGCCCGGGCGGACCGCGGCCGTCCCTGACGGTATCGCGTCGCGGACGGCCGCCGAATTCGATTGCTGTCGCCCGCGGTCCCGCCGTCGCGCGCGTACGGCGCGGAACGGAACGATTTCGGCACGTCTCCGTTTCCGTACGGTTGTTGCGCGCGGTTCGGCGGCGGCCACCGTACCGGCCGGTCTCCGTTCCGTCGGAATGTTTTTTTTTTTGTTTTTTACCCGGCCGTCGGTGGATGAATCGCCGTTCGTGTTCCGTCTTTGTCCCGTTGCGCGCCGGTCGAGCGATACGCGATCCAACGGAGTTGATTCGGGCGGTTTCGTTTGCGGCGGTATCGCATTGTCGGCGCGGTTAACGCCGCGCGACGAGAAACGTCGACTGACTTGAATTAAAAACGAAATTCTTAAACGGTCGAAAAATCGTAAAAAAAAAAAAAAAACAAAATAAACGCGTACGAATAAATAAACGCGTGTTGTTCGACCGGTTTCGGAGTACGTATTCGCCGTCGGGCAAAATTACAGGATCGAAACGTAAACCATCCGACGTTCGTTCGCCGCCGTACCGCCCGGCGCTATTTCACGCGACAAACATTCCCGAAAACTTTCGACTGTGCATTTAGGGTGTTGTTTTATCCGAGTCCGTTGTCGCTGTCGTTCGGTCGCCTACATATGCGGCAGTGTCGACGTTTACGCGTTTTCCAAAGGCGATCGTTAACGTTTTGACGGTTTTCGATATACGGGGAAAAAAAAAAACACGTTGGAAAATAATTTGTCGCGGAATTTATCGTGAATTTAAACACATAAACGGCGAAACGAAAACGGATTTACCGTAAAATTTGCGGTGATTTCGCGGCATTTCGAATCATTATTCGACGGAACTTTGCTCGCAATCACTATTACTCGGCAATGGTAATTTAATGGCATAAATTGAATTCTCTGCCGCACCTCACGTTACAACGATCACGCATACCCATCGCAAACGTATTGTGGCGCATTTTATTCCGCGTGGAAACGCGCAGATCCGATTTTAACGATCGCCTCGACGACGATACGAAAGTGTAAAACGAATATTTATATAGATTTTTTTTTTTTTTCTATTCGTTCCACATTAGAAATCGAAATCCAAGGCTGATTTGTATACGCCCGCGTAAACTGTAGTAGTCGGAGTGGTTTTATTTTTTTCCATTTGTCAATTCATTTCCGTACATCGATACGACGATCGAATTCAGAGCGGTGCGTATAATATTATACGGTACGGTTTGTAAGCACGGATCAGTTTCGCTGGTCGTTTATACTCGCTAGTCACTAAACGCGACGGTCGAAATGTCCAAAACAACGGATCTCCGTCGGTTTTCGGCCAATACAAATATCTAGTAATCAATATAATTGAATAATTGATCTAATATTTGAAAATTTAATATTATTACTGCGTCCGGTGGCACGACCAGAATTTTTTTCTGAATGGGGAAGAGGGGTTACGGATTCCAAATGGATTTCCGGATGGGCTTTTGAGATAGTGAACTACTAAATTTATGACGAGCGCGATGTGTATGCAAGTATTCGAGATCTCGAGTAAATGTCTGTAACAATTGCAATACACTTTATGCACGTATTGCGTAAAACTCGTAGAAAAAAAAATATCAAATTTCGGGAGGAAACCGCGACTTCCCTCCCACATCGTGATTAAGCCACTGTCCGCGTTAAATTGTGTATCGTAAACTCAAATAATAAACCGAGATAATTTTTCTTGAATAATTTGAACTTCAGTTTTAAATGTCGCTCGTTTTCAAATGTTCGAAGAGGTAAAAATAACATCGAATTTTTCGAAGAGTTGCTTAAAAAATACTATTCGGATCTGGTGTTAATTTTTATTTGTTCGAAATTTACCACCTCCCCCTTACACACCGACGTCCATAAAAAACACTTTTGTCGTAGATCTGAATACGCGCGGTTGAAATGTTTCGCGTTACAGTTTATGTGACGATGTAAACGCCGAACACCATGCGCCGGAGACGATGCACAGTTTGAAAACGGGAATAAAAAAAAAAACGACGCGGGTTTTCTTTTTCTTTTTTTTATTATTATTATTATTTCTTTTCTTTCTTTTTTTTCTACCTACCGTTTTCGCGCCGTTACGATTGCGTTTTATCGATACGAAATCCGACGCGGTAAAACCGGACGATAAAGTTTACGGAACTCGAACCGTTCGCGCCCGCGTTTTCACTTAAATACCGCGGCACGCGTATGGAGCAACGGCGGCGGCGGCAGCGGCGGCGGCTGTAATGACAATAATAACAACAATCATGACAAGCCCCCCCCGCCCGTACGAAAAGGGGGGGGGGCGCGGAACGGAGTGAATTTATCGCGTTTAAATCGCCAACGCCGTTTAACCCCGGAGGGCCGATAAACGGCTGTCCGTCCGTCCCCGTGCGTTGCGAACGTGTGCATTGCGTTATCGTTATCGTTATTATTATTATTACGCGCGCGCCGTCGGCACCCGCGCGGCCGATCCGAATCGATTACGCGGTTCCGTTCGCACGCCGGTCCGCCGTAAACACGCAACGCTGCGGGCCGTACCCGCCGTGTTACGGCGCCGCGCCCGCGCCCGCGGTTCCCCGGGAAAAAAACGTTCCGTTGTGATTTCGCAGCGTCGCGACGCTGTGGGCCCCGGACATTTCGTTTCCCCGCCGCTCCGTCGACGGCCGCGGACGAATTCGTAAACGTGGAGTTTTCGTCCGGTTCATCACGGACGCGGGCACGCGCGTCGTCGCCTTCCGTCCCGTGCGAAAATGACCGTTTGTGACGACGACGGACACGCGTGCGCGGCCGGTTCGGCGGCTTTTAGTTTCGACATTTCTCTTGTTCCGCGTATCCGACAGTAAAACCTTCGAAAATTGTTTAACCGTCCACTAAACGGATGAGATAAATTTGAGCGGTTCAAAAAAAAAAAAAAACAAAAAAAATAAACCAATAACAGCGTAATACGACACGGAAAAAACGGGTCACGACGGGTGATTGACGAACTGTCGTAGACGTGAAATCGGCTGAATGTCGTCCGACACAAAGGTTTACAAATAAAAACATGAGCGATAAGATATCGTAATCGGTATAACAGTCGTTGTCGGTAAAGACCGGTGAATACAAATGATAAACCAGAACAAAAAAAAAAATACGGACGATGGGTGAGCCACTATTATAGGCGAAAATTCGGGATTGTAGGGTATACGGGAAAATTTAATGTATATCTGCACGCGAAAATCGATCATCATTGCTATCGAAAAACGATTCAGAATAGATTTCGACTATACATGTTTGGAAATGTTATAGTATTTAAGATTTTGAAATTATACATTTCGTAAATTTTTCCGATTTTTCCATTCATAGAGATAATTCCGGGAAAGTCAAAAAATTTCAGAAAAAGTGCTATACTTGCAAAATCAGAACAAAATTACTGGTAGAAAAGATTTGTATAGAAAAAAAAATTATAATAAACATCATTGTAATATATATGCCTCGCTCCGCTCGGAATCCAAAACGTATAATATTGTTAAAATTTAAAAATGACAAAAATAAGAAATATTACGGTTCTAAAATATCGTATTCAATTTTCGTCATTTTCTGCCTACTTGTCTGCGGGCCGTATGAAATTAGCGTACAATATACTGCACGTGTGTTACCATAGTAATATGTTTTTTCGAAGAACAAGAAGAAAGTTTTCTGAGTCCGTACGGAAACGCAGTAAAGTCCACCGAACACCCGCCGGAGTAAGTTTTTGTTCGCCGAGTGTCCGCCACAACATTTACGGTAACTGACCGAATTCGTCGGTTTTGTAACGAAACGTCTGATATGTTTTACGTCGGAAATACTCTTCTCGACGAAAGGAGGAGGGTAGCCGGGTAAAGTGCCGACGGGTTTTTTTTTTTTTTTTTTTAAAGGAGAGGAGAGTAAACGAGCAACGGGTATTGACTAGAAAAAAAAAATGCCCCGAGTTCTTGTAGCGTATAATATAATAATAATAACAATTAATAACCCAGAACCAGCAGCGGTTATCGTCGAAGCAAACCGATAGGTAGTAAAAACCAATAACGGAGTGTATAACTTTCCTTCTCCCCCTTCCTGTCTTCCTGTATACAGGACATTATGACAAAAAAAAAACCCGAGAAGTAGTATTGTATAACAATAGTATTAATAATATGGGCTGGACGAAAAGTTGTTCTCGTATATGCTGGCAATTGTTTTTAGAAAGAAATCTAAACTTTTCTCTAGTATCGTATAAATAATCGTATTATGTTTGGAAAATGAAAAACAAAAAAAAAAGTTCGTTACTGCCGACGGGCGCGCCACTGTTTTGGGAGAGATGTCGGAAGGCAAGAGTATTGATCGATTTAATTTACATCCGTAGCCGCCCGATCGACTATCGCTTGCGAAAAACGATTCCGAGCGGAGCATCGATAACCGCCCGTTGTTGCTAAACGAAACGAGTCCGGAACAATGAATGGAAATCGGACGAGACGTTGTCGGATTTGTCCGAGTGTTTGGGCTACGGGATAAATGGAAAAACGACCCCGTCGGCGTGCCGAACGGATCCAATGTGTGACAGGAAAAACGTCTCTTGGCGTTCGTTTCCGGTATAAAAGTGGTCTGCGAACGGAAAAGAGCAGTGCGCGTCACAGTTGAACCGTTATGAGCCGTGAGAAGAACAAAAAACCAAAAAAAAAAAAAAATCATCTTGACTCCGGTGTCGTGAACACGTTCGTAGCTTCTCGCTAGTAACAATATTATTGTATCGCGCGATACGATAACGTGATAACCGAAATACCGTACGGTGTAATTTTTTAATATCGCGTACCGACAAACCCGTCGAATGACGGCGTCACCACGAACCATTTCTCTTCGGCGAACGCCTCCGCGGGTGGCGTACCGATAGGGCGGCCGACACGACGGGCATTGAGTCACGGGTCCGCCGGCAGCGTCCGGATCGGGGCTCAAGACCTATTTAAAAGGGAGTACAAGAAAAGTGCGACTGTTTTTTTTTTTCAGGCAATACGAGCGATGATCGGACAGGCGTAGCACGAAAATAGGCGACGGTCTTTTCCTTTACTTAGTGCTTCAAGCGATGGAACGCCGAATCGGATTTCGTGCGCTCGGTCCTCGATCCGGTTGATACAGAGTGTTTCGCACGGGCATTGGGAGTTGCGTGATCACGCCACTGAACACCAACCGTACGCGCGATAAACGCCGAGCCGATCTTTCCGATCAACTCGTCGTCCAGAATCGCGTGAAACCACCGATTTGTCCGTATCTCCGGACACGGAAAGCGCCCTCGACGAACTTACGAAATTCATCCCGTTAATTGTTTCCGACATTTTACGCGCGTCTAATATCCTAACGGTCAGAAACTAACCATTAAGAACCGTTTTAGATTCTGAGCGGAGCGAGAAACATATTGGTTTTACAATGTTTTACACCGGCAATTTTAAATTGTACCGGTTTTCCTGAGGGAGAATTTGACCGGGGCGGTACTTCAAGGAGATCGTTTGTGGTTTTCCCAGCCGTGTTCGTAATAAATGGGAAAAAACGTAGAAACACCGGGAAAATTTACGTGGCATAATGTTTTAAAATACTATAGCCTTCCGTGTCCTTTCGTAGCCGAACTCAGTCCAGAACCGTTGTTTCGTGTAGCGATATTAAACCGTTGCGTATACGTGTATTACGTTAAATTTCCCCTCTACCCGCACCACTTCTCGCCTATAACAGTGGCCCGCCAATCGTGCGAAATATGTCCGGTATCCTATTACGTTTTCATTTATCCGTTTGATTACTTTAATTACTTTCGAGATCAATAACCCGTGATTTCGGAGCTCTATTTAAAAATATAAAAAAATAATTAAAAAAAAACCCTCTTTAAAACGCATATTACTTCCGGTTCAGATATTGGGATATATTCCGTAATCGTTTGCGTGCACGACGCGCATATTAATAATAGGGGCGGGCGTCATAGGCGCACGGCGAATAAACGCAAACGTCATCCGCGCATCACGCACATAATAAAATTATTGTTGTTGTTATTGTTATTGTTATTGTTGTTATTGTCGTTGTCGTTATTGTCGTTGTCGTTATTGCCGTTGTCGTCATTACACGTATGGCGCGCCCGGCTCGACATAATATTTACTTATCATTTTTTGTATTTCGTCAATCGGATTTACGCGTTTCCTTTTTGTTCGTTCGGCGGAGATACAATGCGCACAATACGCACAGACTTGTATGAAAATACATATTTTCCGCATTTGTTTAAACGAAAAAAAGTACCGTTGATAAAAAGGTATCAGTCATCCGACGGATTGCTGTTAAAGATCGTGTGCCCGAATCGTTACTGATTATCCGTATATTTTTCCCCAACCGTGTCGTTTCATTAATACGGGCACGATAATTTTTTTTTTTGGAATGAGCCGCTCCGGTTCGCCGTGTATGTTCGTGTTGTGCGCGTGTGCGATCGGCGTGTACCTATACATTATGATCATATTATAAACTGAGCGACTCCGGAGAACAAATTAGTCCGACGAAAAAGGTAAAACGTTTTTGAAATTTTTGTGAAATGTAATTGAGTTCTAATACCCGTCTTCGAAAATCGGAAAATAGCATTTTTGCGTTGTCATTTTAAACCATGTAGGAGAGACTTTTTAATGTCTCACAGAGATAAATCGGATGTGCAACACCACGCAAATAGCGAATAGAAAGTGTGATAAACGGTACGCCGAAAATTATTTTACTAAAATTAAAATACAATTTTCTCGTATTGGAAAAAGTCCCGATTTTTAAAAATTGAATGGTTGGCAAAACTCTAGTAATGCGAAATCAAAGAAAAAAAAAAACCGGTCGATGGACCGCGAGTACACCGAAAATGTCGTTTCGAATATTTTCGTGGTCGGTGTTTGAAATTTAATGTGGCGCGCGCGTTTTATAACGCGCGTCTTATTCGGAAAAATTCGTATTCGACTGATTCGCGGACGATCCGGAAAGTTTTATTCGCTATTCGAATCGACCGGAGTGCGGTTCCCAAACGAAAACACGGACGCAACTGGGTGCCCGTTAAGGGGTCTTTAGCACCCCGGAGTTCAAAATTAGTAACCCCCCCCACCAAAAAAAAAAAAAAGAATCCAATCGGCTTTTTCGTGTAGTAACGATCGGACATTTTCCCCTTGCGTTCTATAAATAATGAGCAGAACAAAATATAGACGACGCGTTTCCCACGGAATCTGATGCTGCACGAGTGCATACGAAAAATAACGTTAAAACAGTTACGACGAATTTCGTACGTACGAAATTACGAATCGCGGGTGAAGTCGACAATTTCGTCGGAGCAGTGTGAACGGGGCACAGCCTGCACGCCGCCCCCCCGCGGGTGTTTGACGTGTCCGTAAATTCGGCGCCCCCGTAGTCGGCGGTCCATATGATCGCACCTATGAACGATAATCCGGATAAAATTACCCACGCGTTACGCAGTTGTCCGTATGCGACCGCCGAGTTATCCGGCGTCCGCCGAAAGCGCGTGCGGTCGGCTGAACGGCGGCGGCCGTCGACCCGGTAACGGAGTGTCTCCCGACTGGCGTTCCGTGAACGGGCGCCGAGGGTGCCGCGAAGAACTCGGGGAAAAATAAAACGATGTAAACGACGCATTTTCGAATTGAATATTTTTTTTTTTTTTTGCAATCGAAATTGACGAGCCGCGCGGTATGCCACGGACAGTGGCATTACGAACACGTCGCCGGCGGTCTCGGACCGCCCGTTCATTTCGGTGTCCGGAAAATACGCGTGCGTTGTTATGCGATTGCGGGAAAAAACGAAACGACAAGCAAAAAAAAAAAAAGGTTCCGAAGGTTCCGGCGGATATTCGAGTCGCCGAAAACGTTCAGCGGGCGCAAAAAGTCGGGAAACGCCGCGGCGGACACTCTACAAAACGGGGCACGGGGGGGGGGAATCCGCCGCGCGGGACAATAGGTCGCGTGGAAAGCGCGCGGTCGCGAACGACGCCCGTGACAATGCGCACGCCGGCGCGTGATAACAGTGACGGCGGCGATGCTATTAATATAACGCGGGGCGGGATTTTTCGCGGGCGACGTTTTCGGGCCCGGTGATAATATCGCATCGACGCGTCCATTTATAATAACCGTCGCCCCTTGATGCGGACGCGTCGCCGGGCGCGCGGCGGTCCGACCCGCGTACGACGTCGTCGCCCCCCCCCAGCCCTCGCCCCTACCACTACCCCTACCCCCTAAAAATCACGTTACATTATTATTGTACCGCCTCGTCGGGAAACGGCCACATAAATCACGCGCCGACGCCGCCGCGCCGGAGCTCTCCACCGCCCTCCCGCCGCACATCCCGTCCGTCCCGGAATACCGTGACGCGTGAAAACGCCCCCGGGAGATGCCGCGTCGCTAAGGTCCGCGTGCCCGCGTACGCGGTCCGGCGTACGTGTGTGCGCGTGCGCGTGCGCGCGTGTGTGCAACCGCAGCGCGTTCCGGACGCGTGTCTCAAGGATTTCTCCCGTCTCGGTCGACGGCGTTCCCGCAACGGACTCGTCGACGGCACGGATCCGCCGCGCGCGCGACCGCTGATAATTAATCATTGGCGCCGGGGGGGGCCTTTCGAATTTCGCGTCGCGGTCGGATTTCCCGCGAAACGGTTGTTTTTTGCCGCCGAACGCCTACCCGCGTACAAGACTTTTCCGAATATTCTCAAACGTCCGTACGCCGCGCCGTATTTTCGTACGCCCCCGTCCGAGTGGGAAACTGACGCGGTTACCCGTTTTCGGGTTTTCGAACGGCGACCCGTCTCGTCCAAACGTATTTTCGGCATTTCAAAATCGTTTCGGCAATGGTTTTTAATCGTATTGTCCACAAAATTTATCACGAATTCGACACAACGTAACCGTTGTACGTATTGTTGTCAGGTGATACATTGCCATTTGTAATATAAATTATTAATTTTTCCAAAAGTCCATCACAATATACTTGGTTGTAACAATTGTAACAAGTTGTGACATTATACAGTCGCGTTTAGATCTTTATCCCGATCACCGATAGCCGGGATAAACGGAAGAACTATACGCCCGCTTCTAAAAACGGTTTTTCTAATCGCGCCAGAACCGTGTCAAAGTCTAAACCGGGTGTTTTCTGATGATAACTCGTTTAAAATAGTTTTTTTCGACAGTGTATACAGATTCGCAGAAGCTTTGCGTTTACAAGAACCACTCGCTGTTTGTCGGTTTATTTCGGTAGCGCAACACGACGTACGTCGGAATTTAAAATATCTTTTATTCTTTTTCCGTTCGCCACAACCGAACGTGACACCGCCAACGGTTTTCGTCGTTGCGCGCGTTTCCCCGGGGCATAATCATAATTGCAACGGTTGAAAACCGCCGTGCTTCTATCTCGAGCGATTTTCGTAAACGTAACCGTAATTAAAATGGGAAAAAAAACGTTTTTAAACAGTGTGTAACGACAATGCGATTCGGATTTCGATTGACGGCGGCCACTGTGTATGGTAATATATACTACTGAACTGTTAAAAATGTTAACATTATTCGATTAAAACCTTTGCCGCTTTGTAATATTTTAAAATGCCTAAAATATGTTCGGGCGAAACGGGTCCCGCCCGGAAATTCCGCCAACTCCTATCGGTCCGAACACGTTTCGGCGGTGACGTTTTCGATTTCCGTCTACCCGTCGACGAGACGTTACATGCTTTTGGGAGGAGGGGGAGGGGGGTGTTTTGGATAAGAGAAGGGTAGTGGAGCATAATTCGTGCGGCGGTATTCAAACAGTGCTCCGCTACTCGCCCCGTCCCATAAACTGTGAACAGTGACACACCGTTTGTTTATCGAACTTTTATTTTGGGTCGCTGTTGGAAAACCGAGAATAGGTAACCGTTTCGACCGCCCTGAAAACCGTGGACACTATAATATAACTGCGTTTAGATAATTCCGAAAAGTTTTCGCACGAGTCATTTATCAGGAGAATAAAAATAACTCACGGGAAATTTGACCGTAACGTGAAATTCGAAATAGCTTTTCCGCGTTACGGCCAATAATGTTGATAATCGGATAACGTCGACTTTTCGTTCGGCATGACCGGATTCGCGCCGTCGGTTTTAATTCGATTAGCGCAAATCGGCCTGCAATCAAACGTTAAGTAGGGTTCTGTGCCCGTTGGTTTTTTTTTTTTTTTTTTCGGTATTTTAAATTCGCTAGCGAGTTACGTGTGTATCGGTTAGAATTTTAAAAAAATCGTCACATCCCACTTAACCATTTGAAATCGTCGGAAATAAACCGACGGCGTTCATAAGTTTGCCGCACACTACTTCGGATCGGAACGGAAACAAGTCCGCACACTACATCGGATCGTATCGGGATATTCTGGTCAGTCGTGTGTCGGACTTTGTAGTGACCGACAGTCACGCTTCCAATTAGTTGTTTAAAAGACGATTTTATTTTTAAAAACGAGTGATAGTAGCAGCGAAAAAGTTCTTGAAACGAAACAACGCGCGTTCCGGTCCGTTCTGACGTGACGATCCCGATCCGATTCGAACTAATGTGCGGAGAGACCTATTTGAACGTACGCAATCGGTTTTTTCCCGACTTTTCCGATCCGATCCGTTCCGTCGGGTTAGGTACGGCAAGTCTTATAGTACTTGTACGTGGGTGTTCGATTGTGCTCTTCGCCGTTAACACCGAGACAACGCGAAATCGGCAACACCGAACCGAAAGTCGACGTTATCCGATATTTTCAAACATTAACCGTACGACATAACGTGTAATATATCGCGTACGCGGCCGCGTAATAATTTTCGTAGCGAAAATAATTATTTTTATCGTAGCCCGAAATGTCGTCGGACCGGATTCGTTGGCGTCCCGCCAAAAACGTTGCCTCGTACAATATATATATATATATATATAAACTCTTATATTTCGAGACAGAGAGAGAGACAGAGAGTGGGAGAGAGAGAGAGAGAAGGAGAGTGAGAGTAGTGAGAAAGTATAGAAGACTGGGTACCGAATCGATAGAGCGTCTTCCCGCGGCGACGAGGCGGTCCCGTTCGGCGGCCATTAGCGGCAAAGTTTAGAGATTTCGACGGCGACGACTGCGACGACTGCGACGACGTTAGAAAACTATATAATATCGAAAATCTCGATCTCGGTCTCTTCCGGAAGGATAGTTATTTCGGAGGGGTGGAGGATCGTAAGGGAGAGCGGCGTTTTCGCGAGGCAATGAAATATCGAACGTAAAACTGTACGCCGCGCGCCCGGCATGTACCGGTGTGCAGCCGTATAATACGTATAATAATAATAATAATAATATCGTTATTAATGCAAACGTTTCTGCCGCGAGTAAATAATGATCAAACTTGCGGTTTCTCGCGGCTGCGGATTTTCGGTTTAATGTGACGTTTCTAATACCGCCCGACGGCCGCCGCCCGTCCGCCGGGCACGGGAGCCGGGCGCGAGACGGAGGCGTTTCGGGGCGCGCGCCGCGTCGTACGCGCGCCGTAACCGCCGTCGGGCGTAACGCCGGGCGCGCCGGACCGCGGCGAGCTGGAGGTACGGGCCTTTCGTTGTTCGGTTGTTTAGTCGCTGTTGTTGTTGGTTGTTTTTTTTTTTTTTTTTTTTTTTTCCATCGCTCATCCGACGGACCTGCGCCGCGGGGCGCGCGTTACGCGGCGGAATATTGCGGAATCGGCGAGGGTTTCGTTAAATGTACGCGTTGGCCCGGCGGGGTTCCAGACAACCGGTTCGGAACCGCGGCCCGAAATTTCCCCCGAAATTCTACCGCGACCCGCGCGGTCTCGCCGTTCGGAAAGCGGTTTGTGAAAACAGCCGGGAAAATCGAAAAACGACCTCGGTAAAGGTCACAGGTCACGTTTTTACACTACTCGGTACGTTCGTCCGACGGTATAGAATTTTTTTTTTTTTTTTTTTTTTTTATAAATACGTCCGTGTCGAAAATTATTCGAAAATTCAAATAAAACATTACATTATTTCACTGTTCAGTGTCACAATCAAAATCAAACGTTTCGGACACAGTTATAAAATTTCAATAATTGAATACATATTACGTATTAATAAAAAAAATAATTAAAATTGCGTCGGTACAGTAAGAATATGTAAAATGTATTATCGGACAAATGAACTGTCGGGATAATAGTGTCGGGAAAGCGTATTGATCCCATTTTTCTCTCGTCAGAAAAACGTCAATCGGGAAAAAAGTAGCGCACTACTCTTAAAAATAAAAAACTAATGTTGTAGCGCCCTAAATTTATAAAAAGTAACGATGATTGTTAGGGAATCCTTTAATACTCTGAGCGAAGCGAGGAACGTATCGATCTTACGATGATATTTATTTATTTATTTTCTGTAAACAACTTTTCTACAGGCAATCTCGCTCCGATTTTCAAGTATAGCACTTTTTGTGAAAGGAAATCTGACTGGAGTAGTGCATTAAGGAAGTCGTAGTTTGATTTTCTCAGGAGCATTCATAATAAATGAGAAAAACCGGGAGAATTTACGAAATGTATTATTTTCAAACCGTAAACACCCCTCAAAACATGTATAACCGGACTCCGTTCGGAATCGTATTCCGTTATTAATGGTTAATCTTTGCGTACGTTCAATTTCCCTTCTACCTTCCCGACTTCTCACTATACAACAGTGTCCCGCCCATCGTGCGAAGTATGTCCGTAGCTTTTAAGCAATTTAAAGCAGCGATCCAAGCTGCCCCTGCTACTGTACTTTCGGCCCGGTGATTTCCGGCCGGACGATCATCGCTCCCGCCCGCGGCTTACGACCACCCGCCCATAATGTTCTGAAAATCGCGACTGTCCAATCGCAAGAGCCACGGTACGTGACGTATTCTTATGGATTTTAATGTTTCGATATTGTTCCGATCGGAATTGAATTGCGCGTTTTTTTTTTTTTTTTTTTTTATACCGCACTTCCGGTCGAAATCTCTCCGGTATTTCGAAACTTTGAAATTCCACCGTGTGTAACGGTGCGTCAGACGAAACGTACCGCCACCAAACGGGCTGTGCTGTAAAATGTGCGGTGAATCACGACTCACCGCCGCGTTTCGCGGACAGACGCACGCCGATCGCGGTTAGCGTTCGGACGAGGAGTCACTTGTAATGATAATTGTAACGCGCGCGCCGCGCACGGGACGGGACGCTTACCTTGCACGAATCGCACGTCTTGGCCGAGTACTGCTGCTTGCAATCGTACCTGGCCAACACCTCGTCGAACTGACACGACATGGCGGCCGCGACGCTGTCCATGCGCATGGCTTCGTTCACCCGTTCCACGCACGAGCTCCTGTCGCGGTACGGCCTCTGCACGACCGACTCGACGGTGTGGTGGCAACAGTGCCGGAGCCGGTACCGGGACAGACGGCCCGGACGGATGTACGCGATCGGGTCGCTCGGGCACATTTCCGGCATGAGCTCCGGACGGACGTATTCAAGGCACTGATGATTACTATTTTTATTATTATTACCGTTATCGTTAGAATTAATATTAGAATTATTATTAATGTTTCTATCGTAATTATTAACGTTATCTTTATTATTAATATTTTTATTTTTATTGTTATCGGATGACCGGTCAACGCGTGACGCGGCGCACGTGGCCGCGGGACACCTGGACGGTGGCAGTCTCAGCGGCGGCGGCGGGCCAGGGCCCTCGCTGATCTGACCGGAGCACGCCGGCTTCCGGACAGACACGCGCACCACCTCGCAGGCCGTTTTGCGGTCGGCTGCGGCTGTCGCGTTTTTCTCCGCTGCCAACGCCCGTTTGGCCGCGGCCGCGTCGTCCGCCGACGTGGTCGACCGCGGCGTAGTACTAGTAGTAGAAGTGGTACTGTGGACTGCCGCGGTGGTGTTGACCGTGGCGGTGACCGTGGCGGTGGCCGCGGCGGACGTTGACGAGGCGCCGGCTGCGGTCATGACCAGCACTGCGAGCACCACCAGCCAAATGACGACAAAACAAACGAGACCGCCACCGGTGCTGGCAGCGTGCATTGTACCGCCGGAACCGGCGCCACCACTCTATCACAACCGATCCGGCCGTTTCGCCGCGGAATCCGCATTTTTCCTTCTGGTACCTGAAACACAAACGCCGCGGTGCGCCGTTACTCAACCGTTGGTTCGCGTTGCCCGTCCGCGCCTAACCGCGATAATCCGCGGCACGAGGCCGTATTGTCTAAAGTCGGGATAATGGACGCCGCGGGGCGGGAGAAAACCTACCGTGCCGATTAAACCGGACACTAGCGCTCCGCGTCCCGGTGACAGAACAATCGGTCCTCGGTAACGTGTACTTTCCAGGCGGACGTCGGAGCAAAATACGAATAGAGTAATTGTAACCGACGGCAATAACGAGCGGTAAACCATTGAGGAGGCGTGACGACCCTGTATTCGGAGCGAACGATATTGTACACCGTGGTGCAGAACAACGTTTCATTCGTATCAATCGACTTTTTACTCGTTCGTACTGGTTAATCCCGTTTCACTTTCCATTAGGCGATAATTTCGCAATTGCTTCGTACGCGTAATATCGCAGAACGAGAAAACATTTAAACGTCATCTCGTAATGCGTAACATCGTCGAATGTGGACAATACTACGAGGGGTTTGTGCCTAACCGAATATTTATTCACCCCGGACAATCGGACCCCTCTCGCTAACGACACCCTTGGGTTTTAAATGTTTTTCGCGTACTCCGAAGTCACGTTTTTGTTTTTTCAATTTGACACCTATCGTTGATTTTTACCACGATACGCGGGACTTATTAAAATATGCTTTAGTACGTTACAGAGCGCAACGATTGAATTTTTTTGTTTATTTATTGTTTAATTCTCAAAAGTTAACTTAAACAAAACCGACAAATTCTATTTATTTTTTTTTTTTTTTTTTTTTGAAATGATATTATAGAATACTATCGCTGATAAATCAAAATAATTCCGCTGGTAGCGCCAAGCTTTAGTTTAACAACTAATTTACGCGGTAGTGTTTCCGAACTGTTCGCGGCGAGTGATAAATATGATAAGAACCGTTTTTTTTTTTTTTTGTGTCGCGTGTTACCACGCTGCACACGAAAATCTACGCGGCGTTTGCATGAACGAACGAACGAAAGCGGCCCTACGATTTCGACAAGACGGAACAATTATGCAATTAAATATAATAACGTCGGACGGTTATCATTTATCCTTGTCGTTATCGTTGTCCTCGGCGTTCGGACCGCGAGGCGAACATTAAGCGGGGGTCGTACGATTTCCGAGGACTATTGTATTCCTCAGGGGGAAACACGTGCCCCTTTGCTACCGAGCGTCCCTTAGTGTTATTATTCTGAAAACTTAATGTTCAAAACTCCGTACGTTTGTCGAGTAGTTAGTCCGGGACAATTCAAAAATCGATTGTTTCACGTATCGTTTGTCATTTCGTTACGTTTTCAACTGAAACCCGATCCCAGATTCGAGATTTCCCAATGCTCGCCGCTCGGCGACACTATTACAAACGCTATTATCATACACGAACGCGACGAATCCCCGGCGGTTACAACGGTCCGACGACACCACCAGCAGCGTGTGCCCACCCGTCCGTGACCGCCCGCCGCCCCCCGAAACATTCGGACGCCCGTTCTCCGCGGCGCCGAATCGCCGTGCCCGCCGTTTCCCCTACCACCCCCCACTCCGGAAAACCCCGATACCCGACCGGTGAAGGTGTCGCCGTTGTCGTCTCGTATCTCGTCGTCGTGCCGTCGTGTGCCCGTAATTGTTACCGTAACACCGCGGACCGGGGGAAAAACGATAATAGGAAACGACTCTTCACACACACACGTGCGTAAAAGAAAATTATTCGTATCGCATTTGGCGTGATTGTTTTACGGCTTTTCGGCTTTTACACGGCGCCGTGACGACAGCGAGTCGTGCGCCCGGCACCGTTATTGCCGTTTTACGATCGGCCATTTACCGTTCCGCGGCCGTAAAACGTCCGTCGGCCACGCGCGGATAACAACAACGGCGGTACCGTTAAACCATTGTCCGCGCGAAACGGCGACGGGACGGGAAACGCCGGGAATCTCGGAACGCGCGAACGTTCGTTTTTCCCCGCGAGTTGTCCGTGTTTACGCGGGAAATCGCGTTGGCGGTGCGTCGGCCGAAGGACGTCCGGGCGCCATTTTCGAATGCTACAATCGCATCAACGCGGATCCGTTCCGAATTCGTTCGTGTACCGCATTCAACGCGTGCGCTCGATGCGCGAGGTCGACAAACGAGCGGTTTTATTGGTTTCCCGTGATAGACTTCGTCGTACAAAAACCGTTTTGTTGGTTTGTTTTTTTTTTCTTTTGCTTTCTAAAAAAAAAAAAAAAAAAATACGAAATTCGGCGGACACCGTTTGAACAAAACGTCGCTGATGTAATACTGTACTATACCGGAACAGTGTGCGAAACACGAAAAAATAATACGATTTTGAGTTTGGCCGCTTTTCCCGTAAAACGGTAAAGACGCAGTTTTCCACGACGAATCGCCGTCTACAAAATGTTCAGTTACATACTTAAGAGTATTAAGGGAAATATTTTAATAGGTCGCGAAATAATACACTGATGCGTTTGGTCCGCTAAACTAGACGCGTCCCAACGCGGAAAATGTGAATTAAGTCTTGGAATAATGTAATTGTTTTAAATTTAAGATTCTGAACGGAGCGAGTAATGTGTTGGTTTTGCAAGTGACGTTTATAATTACTTTAAGAAAGTTATTTTTTCAGGAGCTTTCGTAAAAACGGGAAAAATTTGGGAAAAACGTAGCCAAGACGGGAGAATTTACGAAATGTACTATGGCGCGGCGTGGAAAAATCGGAAACAGTTTTTTGCCGGTAAGTTAAGTTTGGTTATTTTTTTCACAATATCGTCTCGTGATGAAGTTGTTGTGTTTGCGATAGTAAATCGAACCACATCCGATAGGTACGTATAGGTATTATGAGGGTCAGCTGACGATTTCAAGGCGAACGTCTGATGATGTGCAGATTTTCGGTATTGCGCCGACAACAGTGATAGCCACGATCGTATAGGCCTGCTGGGACAACGGGTACTTTCCGGTGGACATCCCCAACGCGGTCCTCGGGTTACCCTTGGTAGTGACGAACGCGGCTGAATTGAAACTGTCGATTTACCCAAGATGTCGGTCCGCATAAATAATGCGCCATCGGTAGATTTACCTATCCGCCCGTGGCGACGAACTGACGGCCGATATCGGCGGTCACCGGTGGCGACAGACGAAATTCGTGGTTAGCGACAAAGACGACGGTATGTAATAAAAACACCTAGTTCCACGCGTACGTGCGTAATTCGAAAAAACGAACAAACGACCCAAATTCGATGTTTGACTACGGCCATACCGACGTCCGCGCCGGACGAAACAATCGCGCGATCCGCCGTCGTGTTACGGACGCTCAGGAAACGCGGACGATAACGTTACGGAACGCGACTGCGGGACGTGGCCGGCGCCGTTTCCGGTCCGACGGTGAAAAAAAAAAAAAAACAATAAAAATAATAAAAACGCCCGGCGGCGTCGAGTCCGCGCGCGTCGGGGGAAAAAAACGCACGCCCGGCGCGCGTAAGGCGGGGAACCGCTGACGTTTTCGGATCGCGAGTGCGACGCGACCGGGAATAAAATGCGAGATATGAAAATAATAATAATAAAAAAAAAATCGTCTCTTTTTGTCGCGGACGCGCGTGTACGCGTCACGGTGTACGCGACCGCGCGCACTTTACGTACGTGCGGCGCGCTGTTGTCTACGCGGTACCGCGACACAGCGCGCTCGCGCATTATTGTAATGCGGGCCGCGCGACGGGGAAGGCGACGGCCCGTTAAAGGACTTGCGTGCTCCGCGTTGTAAGATCGCGTGCGGGGTTCGCGCCCGGGGTCGCGTCGCCCGCGGCACATACGCGCGCGCGTTAATAAAACGAGAAACGGGAAACGCCGGCCGACGGCCGAGCTGTCCCGCACCGAATTTCCCGGCGCCGCACCGCCGACCGTTTGCGTACGGCGGCGCGCGCGGAAACGGACGCGAGTCGGATCCGGCGACTTTTCGGGAAACCGAAACGGAAATATTCCGACCGAATGTTTGGCCGCGCGGTGTCCGTCACAAGGCGCCCGTCGTCTCCGTAAGCGTGGACGGTTTTTCGGCATTTCGTTTGCAGAACGTTCTAGAAACAAGCACGGTTCGGCAATTTTACATTTATGCCGTTCTCCGCCGTCCAAACTTTTCCGTTTGAAAGTGCTGTACCCACTTTTGACGTTCAAATGGCGAACCGGATTAAAAAAAATTCCACGGACAGATGGAACAATAATAAAGTTAAAACGAATGTCGGTGTACGAATTCGTAATTTGCAATTGGTGGGTGACAAAAAAATTAATGTAAATGTTAAATTTTAGAACGGCTCGTTTCTCGAATGTTCTTTTAAACGGATTTCGAGAAGAAGTTTACACTTCCCGAGTGGCTCGCGATAGATTTATCGCGCCGTAGACGCCGTGTTTATACGGGCGTACGGTAATATTGCGACGCTATAAATGAATATTTCAGTGCGGGCCAATCGACTCGTTTTGTGAAATTTTTATCGCGTCACGTGCGGCGTAAAACCCATCGCGGGATAACAATTATCATCGGCGAAACTCGATTGAAACTGTATACGTTTAAATAATTTTGATAATATAATGAGATTGACATAGCCATTATTTATACACGGCAATAGTCATTATGCCGTGGTATAAATATACAAGTATCGAACGACAAATGTGTCTACAAGTTGCTCAAAACTCGTAAAATTTGTGATTTTACAACGTTTCGAAAAGGCTAATGTAAGAACTCTGTGAAAATGGCAGGTAAACTTTGTCGTTTTCCCGGGGAATTACTGTCTTACACACCGACCAGATCCGAATTTCGAAAAAACGTAATAAGGTCTCTAGTCACATTTTGAGAACCGGAGATAATTCTGCTAGAAAAACTACGCGAAAAATGCGAAAACAATAGCATACGTCATAGTAAAACCAATACGTCCTCGCTCCGATCAGAATCTAAAAATGATACTATCACATCTGAGACGACAGAGAGAAAAAGGAGCAAAAATTAAAATGTCTAATACTAAAATGAGCTTTTTAAAAATGTCGCCCGGGGCATTTGCCGCCGCCGTAGCTAACCTAAAAAGGTCCTGTGCCGCGTACGCGTTTACAAAATGTCGTACCCCGGTTTCTTTGAGGGGGGTCGGTGTTTAAAGCCCCTCCGCAAATGAACGCCTTTCGTTGCAGTGACGCGATAAATAAATTCATATTATCGGAACCCGGCCAGACTTTTATCGATTCAATCCGCGCGCCAATATAAAACAAATCTTTTTTTCCCCGAGTACCGAGCTCGTTTGGCCCGGAGGGAACCGCTATAATGTTATAGAATAGCGACCGAAAGTATATCGCGAAAACGATCAGTAAATATATACAAAAGGCACGATACAACGGTGCAGCGATAGTTTCGGTTTTCGGGAAAAATTCGACAAAAGAATATCGAAACCTCGCTTATAATAATGTCGTTTAAAACGCGTTAAAAAAAAAAAAAAAAAAAAAAAAAAAACAATACTTTGAAAGTGTAAAAAAAAGAATACAATATATAAAATGTATTATCACATTTACTGCCCGACGATAATATAATAATTAATCAATACTTTGTTTTTTTTTATTATTATTATTATTATTATCATTGAATATTTCATAAGTTTCGAAAGTTTTTCGGTCGGTCACGACAACGACGGTTCGTGAAATACGAAATTATTTCGCGAGAATACAATATTTCGTGTTTACCTGCACTACGGACGGTGGATCGCGTACGATTTCGCATAAAAATTAATTATTATGCCCAGAGGAAGACCAACTATAGGATGCGGTGGCGCATTTAAGGAGGGTGATCTGGGTGATATAACCCCCCCCCCCCCCTCGTCAGAGTTTTTTTTTATTAATTTCGCTTTTCTCTTAGATTCTTGAACCGCAACCACGAATGGCAGATAACACTATGGCGAATGGCAGATACGTATTCGTGTATTCGACAATGGCATAACCAGAGACCTCAACCATTAATCATGGTCATAGATTACGGCGTAACGGTATTATCAATCAATCAATCCGTTATCAATATGCAGTCGATAGTAGACAGTAGTAGTCAATATAGTTATCATAAGTCTACAGTTATCAGCAGTTCCATGAACATTAGATAATTATGATGTACTATTATTGTTTATTATTCTTATGTTTATGGTTAGTTGGATATTGTTTTGTGATCTAACTTTTTACGAAAATAAATGTATAGTATAATAAACGTCGGTATAGTTTCAAGTAAAATCATAGCATGTATAAAAGTGCATTTTACGGAAACCGGATAGGTGTGTAAACAGGAGGAGGGGCCAAGGGGACATATATCCCAGGGGATATTTATCCCCCTGGCTCCCAATGTACAAAATAGTTTTTGTTCGTATCTCCCCCCCCCTTGAAAAAATTCCTAGATGCGCCACTGATAGGATGTATCCGAATCGGTTCCCGAGCTCATATCCCGCGTGCCGAATCGGTTCCCGTTTAACAAATGCGTTTATACAACAAGCACGGTAAATTTACCTACGTAACGAAGTACGTTTTTTTATTCGTTTATTTAACTCTGTCGCACTACGACCGGTGTTTTGCGCGATTATCGAGGAAATAAAATAATGTCATACCGGCGTATGGCCGAAACACCGAAATCGATTAGGATAACGTCAATCCATCCGGATATGCGCGCGTCTACACGGTCATACACACCGAGTACAAAACACGGAACCGTTCCTCGTGTACGAATCTCAGCAATTCCATGTTGGCTGCCCTGAAGCCTGTAAGAATGGTAAGGGAAATGTGCGTATTATCTTACTGCGAACAGCGGAAACCGATTCGACCGGTTAGTGGGTACGCATACTACGGATATTTGAACGGGAATCGATAATTATCGACTCGCCTTCATAAAATACCTTTTTTTTTTTTTTTTTTCAAACGGAAACCGAAACGGATACGCCCGGACTTTCGAAAATTCAAACTTTCGACGCGTGGAATAATCGCCCTTTTTCTAATACCGCGATGCTCGAAAACCGAACACGGTTCGGAAAGCGTCGCCTTTTGGATGCATGTAACGACGTATCTAAATTTGATTTCTCTTTTTTTTTTCTTTTTTTTCGATTCTCTACTTAAAAAAAAATACAACAACGAATATCGGTTAAACCTGCGCGCATCGATCGGCGAATCCGCTGTTGTACACTTGTTTCTATTTTTACCTCTCTCTCTCTTCTTCTCTATTCGAACATGCAACATTACACTGCGCGATCTGTTGTGCAATTGCGTAACGACCACAACCGTACTCTTTATCCCTCTTCGGGCCGTTTAAACATTAAAATGAAACAAACACGTAAATTATACGCGACTGCAACGATGTCGGATTTTTATGAAAACTAATTTGCCGAACGAACGCGCGCCTATTTTCGATATATTCGATTTTAGAATTTTCGGCCCGTTACTGTTCGGGTTTACGTATTTATTATGCGTTTTTATTGCGCAGACGGTCGATTTTTGAAATATCGGAATCCAACGCGCGTGGTAAATATTTATAATTTCGAACATTTGAATATTTCAAACGGTTATTTTTGATAAAAGCTCGGAGAATTTCGTTTTTATACAACCGCGCGCATACTATATTTCGTATACATGTATATGTATGTATGTATGGGTAGACAATAGGGTCGTGTATTTTATTTTTTTTTTGTATTAACACAAGCAAACACATTTTTTTTTTTTTACGTTGTTTTTTCAGTATAACTTATGAGGTACTTGACGAAAACGTTTCTAAAACCGTCGTCCTCGCACACCACCATCAAGCCATCCCCCCTCCTCCATCCGGTTAACCGAAACCCTTATTCGAATTTAAACCAAAGGATCACCCGCGTGACATGTCTAAACACGACCCGTTTAATACGCGTTTGGTGACGTGCGCGAAACCCGAATCAGCCGTCAGCTTATACCTTTCGCGGTCTTTATCCCGTTGATCAGGAGAGAGAAAAAAAAAAAAAGAAGAAAAAGCAGCGGCCGAAAAGTTCAGTGGCCGATTGCGATCTCGGATTGCTTTCCGCGGTAGGCTGGCTTCAGGCGTAAAAAGCTATTTTTTCGAATCATTTCCCGACGAAACAATAACGACGGAATTTCTATTTCGGTAGCGGCGTTTCGGCAAGATGAAATACAAGTATATTACCGACAAAAGAAATTTGAATGACTGTCTGATCCCTTCGCGTACTATAGAATTTTTAATTTTTCCCGGAAAAAACCCGCGGCAAGTCTAGAAAAACGTTTCGGACGAAATTCCGCCGTGCGAAAAATGTAGATTTTTCCCAAGTACGTGGCGTATAAGTATTCGAGGATATTTACTAAAATAAGTGGCCAAGGGCATAAGAAAAAAAAAAAAAAAAACGTCTGATACGTAAAACCGATACGTTTGTTGTTCGGCTCTGTCGTTCAAAGTCTTAAATATTATTATGCAATATTTATGAGACAGTAAAATATTTGGACGGTTTTTTTTTTACTTCAACACCATTTGAAACTTCAAACCACGGTACCACTGTTATTTACGGCATATAGTTTTTTTTATTATTACAAGAGTCTAATTCGATTTTTTTTTCTTTTGTGATAATGGACTTATGACAATAATACATGTTCATTGTTCGTATATAATATCAAGGCATAATAAGAAGTGCTAAAGTTCTTTTGTAGTTTTTAGTCACTCCTGCAGTAAAGTGTAGCTGCTTTTGACTCGAGCCCTTTCTCTTAAGGACCGTTCAATTTTTATTCAAGATATTTACCAATTTTCATACGACCTATTATATTCTGAGCGAAGCGAGAAATGTATTGGTTTTATAATAATGTTTATCTTTTATTGTGTTGTTTTTTTTTTTTTTATGAACCATTTTCCTATCGGAAATCTTGCTCCGATTTTCAAGCGTAGCATCTTTTCAGAAAGAAAGGTTTGCCTGAGTAGTACCTTTAGCAAATCATTTTTTTGATTTATCGTTGGATTTTCAAAATAATTTAGAAAAACCGAGAAAAAACTTGGGTAAAACGAGAAAATGTACGTAATATAATATTTGCGATTTTGATTTATTGTTGCGATTCAGTTAAACGTATTTTTAGTAACTTGAAATTAAGACAAAGATCTTAAATTTTTCTTTTTTAGACGTGGTCAAATTTTCAAAATACTCTAGCCATTTTTAAGCTTTCTAAAGACATTTTAATTTTGAAACTTTTTTATTATGTAGTTTTTATTTAGCAGGTACTCTGTAAATAAAATTGTTAGACCAAACAGAAATTTTTGAAAATTTAACAAAAGGAAGAAATTCAATATAAAATTTTTACGATATTCGTAATATTACGAACTTTCAAAATCGAACGCCGCTCCGAATCGTTTTTCGCAATATTTTATCGTTACATACAAATAAAAATTTGATTCCTCTAAATCCTACTTTCCCAAAATTTCACCTAGTATATCCGCGTCTTTTTTTAAAAACTATTAAAAATTTCTTTGGGGCTACGCCTTCTACATCTCTCTTGCATATATCAATTAAAATAACTAAATAAAATAAATAATTATAATTCACACTGTCACGTTATCGAACGCGATGAAGAGTTAAGTTTTTATCTTTTACGTTGACTTTTACAACTATTTCTCGGTTTTAATTTTCAAAACATCCTATTCTCGATGTTTAAAATGTCGTGGTGATCCAAACGAAATTTTTCTTGACCCAAAGGTTGAGAAATGCTATATTTAATCTCTATGCCGATTCGATAGGTATCTACGTATTTTGTTAGCCAATCCATTTATATTTTTTAACCCCGAAAATCTATGATAGTAATATTTTGTATTGTCTCACTATGTAAGTGATCACCGATCGGTCGAGTTAACCTTACCTAACCTAACCGATCGGGTGAGTGTTGTTTTATTTTTTTAATATTATTCTAACCAGACAGACGCGAGTATGCGACAGAATATTACGAAAATGAAACGACAACTGCACAACGGGATCCGCCGGAACCAATAATAATATCATTATACGAAAATCGCTTATCGCGACTTTTGCGCGCGGTCTAAAATACCGATATCGTCTATTATTAGTATTGTTATCATTGTTATCGTGTCGCTTTCAAAGTTTCTTTCCCGATCGTCACAATATACGCATTGTGTAATACGACGCGGTACGACCCCGCGGTTGAATAATTGCCCGTGTCAAAATTTCGCGTTTCACATTTGAATAGTTAGAAACAATATCCTATAATAATATATATGTATATATATTAGGTATGCACGCACGCACTAATAAATTAATATCGTGGTGCAATATATGTGCGGTATACAGTACGTACCACAAAACAAACTGCCAACGCCGGAGGAGGAGAAACTCGCCGAAGAGTAGATGATTGATTTCCGATCCGGGACAATTATCAATTTTCCGTTATACACATATTTTTATTATCATTAAAACCGAATACCTAATAGTACCCCAGCGGTTATTATACCGGTGCCCTTGTGTATGCCCTCGAATTCTGGACGACGACCAAAGGAAACGTAGACAAAATAGCGTTCCCGATAAAAAGAAGAATATGTAAAAAATTAATGAAATCGTTCGGCTATATTATAAAAAAAAGTGAACAACGCGGAATTACGACGGTATAAAAGCGGTACTGGAATTCAGACGACGCATAATTACAAAAGCTGATTGGAGATATAGTTGTCCTAAGCCCCCCCCTCCCCCCCGCATCATACGCCTATACTGGGATATTGACATATTATATTGTTCGAATAAAACCGATAAAACAATTTTCGTGCTGATAAAGGCTGTTTTATGTATAGCGATCATAAGTCTAACCCTTATACGGCTGTGAACCGTAGACGACAATAAAAAGGAAACTGCAAAAGTCATTCTAGAACAATATATGAAGCAGAATCGGTGGCCATATTTACGGTGAAATAACAAATAATTTGCAAATAAGGTATACAATTGGGAAACCGGTTATATATGACATGACAAAGACCGTGTATTGTGACTATAGGCCGTAAAACGGAGTGAGAGAGATTGAAAGAGTGTGAATGACGATAGATAGAATCAAATATTAGAAACAAGAAGACCATAAACGGACTATATATAAGCTGTTGAAAAAAAAAAAATTTAAAAAAAAAAATAGGCCATGAAACATACCGGGACAAGGATAGAACGATAATGTTAGATCTGTGCTAAAACGAAAGCCTCCGGACGAAAATACCACGTGAAATATCCGGGAAAAGATGTATTAACAAACTTTTTAATGACCCGATGGTAGAATCTGGGAATGGAAATTTCCATACGTGGTCAATGCGTGATAAGTTTTTTTTTTTTTTTTTGGATAATAAAAACTCTTAGATTTGTGGAGGCCAAACGAAAAAAAATATATAATAACTTGATTTATAATAATGACTCTATGCTTGTATTTTGATGAAATAAAAAAAAAAATATTTCTCTCTCGAGTGCGCGTTGTATAAATGCCATTAATAAATATGTTTTTGCAGCGAATCGAATTAAATATAATATATTTGTATTTGTTGAAACATAACAGTAATCGTGTAAAACATCGAATTCCGTATTTTGCGAACATTAAAATAAATAATTTCGCCGGCATTGTTATCGATTTATTTGTTGCTTGAAAAAACCGCGTTAAACATGTCAAACGCTTTTCTGCGTCTGCCATTATTGAAATATTGTAATCCGTTAAAAACATCGACGCTATCTGTGTACAATAACAAAATAATAATTAACAACCATAATATGACAAGGCGTGGTTTTTTTTTAGTGAATATTCACTACGCGTCCACTTTCCCCTCGTTTGAAAAAAGTTCCGCGAGTGAATCTACCAAATTTACCCATTAACGTTTGGACCATTTCTGGTCACTCCACTTTCCCGCTAATGAGAATATTTTTCCTGTACATAATACTAGCTGTCTCGCGCGAATTTTCCCGTTTCCATAATATGTAACCGAAAAATATGAAAAAAAAAAAAAAAAAATGAAAACTAATTTTCCCGTTTGGCGTTTTAATAAGTTCATATCTTTAAATGAAGTTTATATCGAATCAACAATCTAACGATCAACTAATAATAATCAGTCTCTATGGTAACTATAAACTGCTCGATGTACGTATCCTCACAACTATTATGGTTCTTCGACAAATTACCTTATTATTTGTTTATTTTTGTTTTGTTTTTTTTTTTTAACTTATTTTTACTTCATCCGTATCGCCGCGGTAACACATGCGACGAAAAAAATAATTTTATTTTAGCATTAAAATTACCCCTGTACCTACTCCCTTTAGTGTTTAAATACTGTAAAAAGTGACCTATATGTTATTCGTGATCAAGAACTACAAGGGAAAATGGCGAATTTCTAAAAATAAAAGATGTGAGGTCACATACCACATGCCACGGTTTTTTATTGATGATGATTATTGAAGGCTATATGGATGTTAAAATCGAAAAAAAGAGAACCTATAATGGAATATATATCACAGATTCCGAAGACATGTGTAAATATGGATGTGAAAAGTTATCGAAAGCCGAACTGAATGAGTTATGGCAAAGAAGCACGGAAACCGATGGGAAAATTGAAAACCAAGACGGAGGAGAAGAATGATATAATATTTTGTTACAAAATCTACTATAATTCCATCGTTAACCATTTATTTTCTATAGCGGAGGACACACACACTAGTAAGCAAAATCTCACTCTACGATAATAATATTATTATTGTTTGATACCTAAAAGACAATAATGATAAACGACTCGTGCATACGACTCGTGGCGGTGTACTTTACAACAGCTCGTATTGTTATTTGTTCGTCGGGTTATTCCGAACCCGTCGACTAGATCCATTTCGTCAATAGAAGATAGACAAATGTTCGACGGTCTCGAATGACTACTATAAATAACTCGGAAGACGGCTGGAAAGAAATTTTTTACCACCGTCTAGAAAACGGTAAGACGGAAATTATAGCATATTTGTTGAAAATTCCGTTTGTCTGTTATAGGATTTCAAAAAAAAAACCAAACAGAAATTGATTTTGACAAAACTCACGAGGTCGTGTGCCTAAATTTATTCCGGTTTTTCGGTCTTCCTCATGGCATTATAAATCAACTCTCCCGACGAACCGTCGAGATTAAATTGAAAATTCTCAAAGAAAACTTGTACTTAACGTTTACCGTCGGAGTATGACTTCTGGTGAAAACCACGTTCGCAAAAAGCCAGTATCGCAGTAAAACCCATTGACTACGCACCATTCTACTCAGACTCTAAATACTGTGTCCGCGGTTAACCGTAAAACCCTACTGTGGTACTAGAACTGAAGGTATTTTGTCCGTAGAAGCTTTTTAAACCGACAAGTATCCCAATTTACCATTGAACTAGCTGTTTCAACATCCTCGAATATGACACGAAGATCGTAATATTATAAGGAGTGATCTCGAGTCGGAAGGTTTTCCGGAGGATATTACCGAAAACCATCACGTCCGACCCTTTGCGCGCCAGTATGTCTAACGAACGTTTTCAACAAATTTAGTATTTTCGGAAGAGAAAACACGATTTCGTGTCGGGTTATAAATTTATAAACGATTACGTGACAATTCGGACGACAATCGTTTGGCAACGTATGAAATTTAGTGCCGAGGATTAGATCGTACCTTGGAGAAAAATTGGCAGCCAAAGGATTTCGGATTAAAAAGAACGTTACTATAAAAACGACCGGCGGCGTCATTTGTACAATCAAGGGGTACAACAAGCGTATATTATTACGTTTGCTCCGGTGTATAGCATTTTAAGTAGGAATTTCTAATCGTTCGGGCGTAAAATAAAGTTTGAAAAAAAAAACACATTTATAGTCTATCAATCGACAATTTGGAAACTGCCCAAGTCTAGTGATTTCTAAAATGACGCCGATGCTGTGGACAAAATCTCTGCCACAAAGACGATCCGGTTTTATTAACACTTTTTTAGACGATATTTGGTTTTTCGCATACCTACTAAACGTATATGTATACGCGTGCGTTTGAACAATCGCTCGTGAACGAGATTATCAAAAACGTCTCTGGGAGAAAATTTTTGTAATTGCGTCATATTCTATACGGAAAAAGGTAACGGTGGAAAAGTCTGCGGATATCTCGAAACGGAAGATTTGCCGGAAAATGAACGGTTAACAGGGTTAAAGACCGACCGCTTTCTCCGATCGAAGCTTTTATCGCGTTACGATGGAACCCCACTGCTCCGGCCCGGATTCGAATTAGTTCCACGCCGGAGTCCGTCCGGGCCCAAAACAAATATTGCCTAATGATTTTCAAATAATGTAATTCCCACTGATACGGGTCGTGTTTGGAGTGAAGAAATATTGTTCTAGACAATTTCTCTTGCCCGGACGAGGTTTCGCCGGGTTGATTAGGATTCGGGATAAAAATGGATATGAAAAATTGAACAAAATACGTTTTGAACGAAATCAAGTAGTATAACTAATTGGAAATCGTTAATCATAATCTTACACGAAATCGTGAAACGTCAAATAGGTAAATTGCATGACTAAAACGAGTTTATTGTTTCGCATCCTTTGACCTGTTTAAAACCTGTCGTGATTCGGCAAACATTTGCGGTGTACTGTAATATTACAATTTGCCGGGTTTCGTCCATTTCCGGAAAGAATACCGGTTAAAATAAAAAAATAGTTGACAAAATAACACCCGTGGGTTTATTTCGGATCGAAAATGTCCGGGCCAGTTTGAATGATGGTCCGGGCATGTTTTCGACTGACAGGCGATAAACAAATACGGACGATGGTGACGGACTGCTGGGCGGTCCGAAACTCCGGACGGATCCCTGAGTTGTGCGAACGTTTAGAACGTTTAGGGCTATCCGGACGCGTATTTTACAATTAATGTAGGTCCATTGAGGACCTCGCTTGAGTTTCGCTCAATATAATACACCCGGTATACAATTGTATTGTTTAATAGGTAATTTAATCGGTGGTATCACTAAGCCACGGGACCTTCGAGACCTTTTGTTCGATTTTTTTGTAGGTTATTTTTTTGTTTTTTTTTTCTCCCCCGTTACTTGCCCGACGTGATGGTGGTTTGGCAATAACGAATCGGGGTTTATTTTCGATTTAAAGTCTGACGTGAGCTCGCACTCAAGTTGACGAGCGAAATGAGCAAAGGCCACGTCATATATACCGGGTGTACCGAGGGAAACTCTGCGCGGACCTAAAATGTTTGCAAAATACTTTGCCCGGACATGTCGAAAATCGACCCGACCCGGTTCAAAGCCGTGGGCATCCACAGTGAGATATTTTACATCACGGACCCCGTTAGGACTTCATACACCCATCCACCTACCTAAAAAACGTTAGGGTGTTCCGCATAAATCAGTTCCCCCTTCATAATTCGCAACGTTTGTGAAAAAAATGACTTCCTTTGTGCGCCAACTAGAAAACATTTGCTACCAGAAACGATACCAATAATTGATAATCCGGTCAGATTTTTTTGATAGTTGTTCATAAATAACCATTTCAACAGTTTAGAATAATATTAACACAATCCTAACCTAATCTATAGTTTTTTAATTTGAATGCCTATATTATAATCGTCAGTAAGTAGTAAAAAGCGAAAATTTTAGAACGGTTTGAAATCTCCCCCTCCCACAAACGACTGTAATTTATTGAATAAAATATTTTAACATTTGTATAATACATATAGTTCTATTTAAAAAACAAATTAATTTTTGTTAGAAAAATGTATTTTAAATAATAAGCTTAGCGCCGATAAATAACTTCATCAAAGGTCAAAGAATTCAATGACAAGGCTTAAGGAGAGGTCTTTCCTCGGAGGGTTATTTTTTTAATGAAAACCCCAAGGAAAACGACCACGGGGACGCCCAGAAAGGGCCGCAACGGCAGAGTGATAGAATATCTGAACACAGTGAGTATAAAAGATCGGCGCAAAACTATGCAAGACGGTAAAAAATGGCGGTATATTATAGTGGCGGCCGAAAATTGTAGAGTTATATGAACAGTATGAGGAATAGACGAGAAAAAAAAAATCGTATTCAATGAGTCAGCGGCGTTATAACGCGGATATTTTACTTTTTTTTTTTTAACATTTTCTTCGGGGCGTTTTTGTGGATTTCGAGTGCAATATGTCCCGAGCCCTACGGACATACACAATAAGTATCCCACTAATACTTACCGCGAGTCAATACCCGACCGGCCGGCGACTCGAATCCCGCGGGACCCGAACGGCTCAGCCGTTGCCGGAACTGTCGTCGCGCGTCCGGTAAAATAACGGCGGGCGAATAATAATAAATCGAGGCGCTCCTCGAAAAACGCGCGCGTATATTAATATCGTCGCGTACGACACACGGAGAAAATATTATTTCGTCGGCCGTTTTATCGATTTTGTATACCGGCGGCGTGGGTACCCATACTGCACGCGCCGCGCACAACAATAATGTTGTACACGACGAGTCTTGGCCGAGAGACGAGTAAAGGGACGGGTCGGAGAGTGGGGGTGGGAGAGAGAGGAGAGAGAAGAGAGGGGAGAAGATAGAGGAGAGAGTGAGGGGAAGGGGAGTGTGGGAGGGAGACGGGATTCGCGTACATTGTATTATATATATATATACCTATATTATTGTACGTACGTAACAAAACGAGCAAACGGCGGCGACGACTGCAGAGGATTACATAACACGCTTTGTTGTCGACGGAAATAATATAGGTGGGTATACGGAGTAGGCGGGAATCCCGATCGGCGACCGGCACGAGGGGAGGCGAGAACGCCGGAGGAGACTACGAGGGCAATCGGTAAAACGATTTTGTTATTTTTTTTTTTAGATTTACGTAAAAGCGCGCGTCTAATACGACAAAAAATATAATGTGCACGTACAATTTCGAAAGGAAACGGCCGATGGCGAAAAATATTATATTATTTTTCGAAAAAACGCGGGCTCCGGTGTACGGGCAACGATCTCTAGTCGTCGTACTTGGGGGTGGGTACAGCATCCGTATTTAGCTGTACGGACATAACTCCCCCTTTCCCGCCCGGCTATTTTCGGTGTGATGTGTTTTTTTTCCGAATTTTTTACTCAAATAACAAACGCGCGTACATCCGTGCCGATTGTTTTCTAAACGAAATCGGTGAAAATTTAACTTTGGAAACCTGACGACCGAAAGACTTCATCGAATTTTCCGCGTTAAAATAACCGAATTTCCGTACGTCAGCGTGCGGTTGTAAAAAAAAAACGAACGTGCATTCGTGCCGATCGACCGCCCGACGTGACGCTGTGTAAGACCGGACAAGAATATTAATTCATCTGGACATTGCCTATGTGCAGGCGCCAGCGGCACCGGATCACCGCGACCGAATGGAATGCGTTTCAAGAGGCCCCCGATAAAATCCGAACACGGCAAACATTTTACCGGTCTGACGTCCGCCGGTCGGCGTGCGCGTTCGTTTCCACAACGGGTTCGGTCCGGCGATCGGACCCCGGGGCCCCGGGGGCGGCGGGGTCCCGTGCTCGGTCCGTAAAAAAAAAAAAAATCCGGCCGAATACCGCCACGGCCTAAACAATTGGCGGGACACAATGCCAATTTCGGATCGGAACGGTAATTCGTAACTGGAACAATTGCGACGGATTCCCGCGAAACATTTTTTTTATACCGGGGACTGGAACCGAATCTGAAACAACCCGGTTTCGGAATCGTTTCGGAACTGTTATGGACCGAAACCGTCATCCAGTCAAATAGAGTACCGGACGTCCGGAGTTGAATTGAATGGGTTGAAAACGCGAAACAACTTCGCCGGTGCGATTTACACGCTTCGCCATTTCGCGTACGAATTGAGAAGCCGTAAACTATAAAACGGCGTAGTAAATAGTCCGTTGTGTACGGTCGTCGGAGCATTTCAATATTTCTCACGCGGTTAACGGCGTAGAGACGTACAAAAACCCGAGTTCCGGACAGGTATTTGAACTCAAAGCCGTTATTCCTTTCGGGTTTTGATTACGCGCGGGACGTGTATTAAAATAATATCGATCGGAAACGTGTTTTTTTTGCCCCGTTAAGCACCCGTAACTCTCGCAGATTACTACGAAAACTGTAGGCGGATATGACTTTTTTTTTACATATTTTTACGAGAGAATTACATAGAGACAGAAAAACGGTCGAAATTAAAATTAACGATAATAATATTTATATTTTACTAACAATCAACCGTAACCGATCCTTTGTCGAAAAACCCGAACAGTTATTATATTTTTGGGGATTCGGTGCCCCGAACCGATACCGGATAAATTCAAAACGTTCCTGGTTTACGGACGCGTTTGGCAATTGATTCAACTCTATTACGCGTGCGCAACGACAAAATTGTGCGCGAAAAATTAAAAATAAATATATTTTTAAAAAACACCGGCGGAAGGAGCGTCCGTGACGCGTCCGCGCCATTCGCGCACACTTTGGCCACGGAGAGCACGCGCGGGGAGACTGCGATTTACGATCTCGCGGAAATCGAAAAACCGAAAAAAAAAAATAATAATAACAACAATAATAAAACGTTCCGTTCGACCGCGCGGACAATTATTTATTTATTTGTTTATTAATTTTTAATTTTTAATTTATTTTATTTTTTCTCGTCGTCCTGCGGCGCGCGCGAGGGGGTTTAGGGGCGGGCGAGTACGGAGGAGCGGGGGGCCGGGGGATGGGGGGGGTGCGGGGGGGGGGGGGGGAGGGGGGGGGGCGATTGCTGTTACGGCGGGCGCGTCGCGTTTCTATTTACTTGACGGATGAGCCGGTAGCGCGTGGTAGTTGTGCGGCGATGATAATTGAACTGCGGCTGTCTGACGGGTGGCCGGAAACGCCGATGCGACGATGACTGCGGTGATGCGTCGTTGTAGCGTCGTCGTGACGCCAGAGATCATGTCGTGTCGCCGGGCTGGTGACCCGCACAATCGACCATAACAACAAGCCCGCGACGACGGCGGCGGTCCGCTGGCCGCACGCGGCGACGATGCTGCTGCCGGAACACCACGGTGCGGGCGGCTACGCGGCGGCCCATAATATCAGTGTGCGGCGCGGTGGCGTAACGCGGCTGACCGCCGTGTCGTCCGCGCGTGCACGGCCGCCTCCGCCGCGCGGGCCGCGGCACCGGCACCGGTCACGTCGATAATGATAATGATAATGATAACGATACCGTTGCTGCTCGTGCCGTCGCAAAGACGGACGGTCATGCCCGCGGTCCCGGTACGCGCGGTACGCCTATCGGCTGCGGCGGCGACGACGGCGACGACGACGACGACGACGACGGCGGCCGCTGCTGCTGCTGCTGCTGCTGCTGCTGCCGCTGCTGCTGTTGCCGGTACGGCCGAATGCGCTTTTCCCGGTGCCGGTGCTGGTCCCGCTGGTGCTGGTTCCGCTGGTGCTGGTTCCGCTGGTGCTGCAGCCGGTGCCGCCAATACCATCGTCGGCGGACGAGATACGACGGAGCCGCGAACCGCCGCCACCACCGCCGTCGGGTGATGGGGTGCGGGAGTGACCGGCCGCGGTCCGATGACGCGCGGTGCGTTTCGTGCGCGATCAGTTACTGGCACCACCGGCGAACCGCGAAACCCGACACCGACTCGTACACGTGGCACAAACACCCGGGGGGGCTGCCGGGACCGACGACGCGTCGCCGGGTTTGATATCGGAAAAAATTCGTCCGGTTTTTATTTATTTTTTATTTTTTATTTTTTTTTTTTTTAGTCGGTTGTTTACAATTTTTTTATTTTATTTATTCCGATTTTCCCGGCTACGGTTATTATTTGTCACCGGACCGCGGCAGTCGACGACGAAAAACACCGCGAACACACGAACACACGCGCCCGCGTTTAACAGCGGCAGCACTCGTTCGCGTATACGTGCACACGGCACACGCACACACGCACAACTCACAAACACACACGCGCGTTCTCGCGCTGGCGCTTTCACACACAAACTTTCGCGCGCGCACACACACACACACACACACACACGATCGCGCGCGCGCAACACGCGGCCGACGATACTCGCGCGAAACCGGAGGGGGAGGCGCGACCGTCTGCGAGACTACTACCAGTACCGCGACCGTGGTCCGGGTCTACTCTGACTGTAGTGGCGGCGCGAGAGGGCGCCGGCAGTGGCCATCTTTCGCCGCCGCCGCCACCGCCGCCGCCGCCCGATCGATACGACGCGCGCGCGCGAAACCCCCTGCCGCACCGGAGGGGGTGGCTGGCGGTTGCGCACCACGCGGGCCCCCGAGCGCGGAGGACGGGCGGGCGGGCGGGCGCGTGCGCGCCACCGCGGTTTTTATTTATACCGCTTAGTATATACGCGGTGACAAGGCGGGGCGCGTTTCCGGGGGACGGTGGCGAGGGGAAGGTACACACACACACACACGAACGCATACGCACACGGACTATGTACACCGCACCGCCGCCGCCGCAGTGTATTTTATCGGCCGACGGCGAAAAAGGAGAACTACGACTACGACGATGAGGGCGACGACGACGACGAGAATCTCCGGGCGGATCGGGACGGGCGCGCGGGACGTACGTCGTCGATGGCCGGGCGGGTGGGGGGGGGAGTATACGGCGAAAAAAAACCTCTAATAGATAATGTGTTCACTTTCTTTCCGCCCCGTCACCCCCGTCGCTCGCGCCGCGGCCCGTTTTTAAGGATCTGCCTGTCCGTCCGTCTCGCTCTCCGCGTCTGCCGCCTCCCGTAGTTCCTCGGGCGCTTCTCTCTCGCACAGCTCCATCTATCTCGGTGTGTCCGCCGCCGCCGCCTCCGTTGACGACGGCGGTGGCGACGGCGACGACGACGACGACGACGACGACGACGCGCCCACGCGCTGCCACCCCCGTCGCCGCCTCCGTTCTACGGCCGGACACACACGCGCGCATAAAATCTCGGTCGTAGAAAAAATGAAAAAAAAAAAAGAAATAATAAAAAATAAAATAATAATCGTAAATAATTACCTACGTATAAAATAACAACGCACGAAATTGCCGACGGGAAGCGCGGGGAGACCGCGGGCGATCGGCGCGGGATCGACTCGTACGCGTTACCGATTTCCGCCAAGCGATAAGTCGGATGGGTTTTTTTGTTTTTTTTTTTTTTTTTTTTTTCATTTTTTACTATCCGGCGCAGTGGCGTTGCGACAATACCCGTCGGGCCCGCGACCGGCGAGGGGCCCCGGCCGCCGTGTCTGCGTCCGAGTGAGTCTTTTTGAATGACTTTTTTTTTTTTTCTTTTTTTTTTTTATCGCGGGTCGGTTCGGCCTTTGGGACCGTGATACGCACGGTATTTCGCCGCGGGCACATCAGAACCAGTTCCGGGCGCGCCACCGGTCCAGGCGCGCGGGCCGCGCTTTTCGTTTTCCCCCCGCGCGCGCGTCGTTGTCGTCGGTGGGTACGCGACGGCGGGTGAGCGGAACTCGATCCGGGCCGATCCGGGCCGGCTAATAATCGTTTCGCGTTCCGACAGCTCCCTTCTTATTTAACGGCGTAATAATAATAATAATACACGTGACGTGTATTGTGTTGAAACCCGGGGACGCGCTCGATTCTCACATTTAACGCGCAAAATAATCCAATTATTATTTCGATTGTCGTCCGTGTATAAAATCATTCCGCGCCGTTCGCGACGCCTATTCACCGGGGCGCATCGCGACACGTTTCACTCCCTCTTTCCTCCCCTCTTTTTCCATCCAGCCCCTTCGACAATAATTGATTTCCAATTAGGTAGACGTTCGTACAATAATAATAATAATAATAATAATAATAATATAACGACCGCAATAATAATATTATGTATACCGTTCGAATAAAATACTCGAGTTCTGTGACAATTAGCGCGCGTTTTTTTTTTTTACCGTTGTAATGGTTTATCGTATATTATAATATACGTACGGACGTGAATGATATTACGGGCCGTAATAAAATATGATTTACTACGATGAAAAAAAATAAAAAAAAAAAAAACACCCGCGTTTTTAAATGAAGCATTAAAAATCCCGAAAATGCACTTAAAATTCCGCGAGAAAAACGCGACGTTTTGAAAATATAATCATAAACAACCGACATCGCGGACGTCAATGAAATGAGGAGGTCGAACGATGACGCGAGAAGGGAGACGAGAAATATATATTATGTAAACTCCCCCCCCTCTCGTCCCGTCCCCCCCTTCGATATTTATAACGAAAAAAATTGAAACAAAATAATAAGTCGTTAAAAAAATGTTAAAAATTCCGCTCCGTTCGTCCGCTCTCCGATAACGTCATAATCGTTTGACCGTCACTGGTACCTTACAATATTATGAGAATATCGTTAAAAGTTTACAAAAATGCGATGGACAAAATTACTGACTTCAAATTAAAAACAAAAAAAACAAAAACAAAAACATCGAAAATGTTAAAATTAAAGTTTCTAAACCGAGTTCCTAAATATAATACTGTAACGCAGTTACAGTGTGTGTTTTTCAGTGGGTACTAAGAATGCTGCAGTTAGTCTTTCAGCTAAAACAAAAATAGATCGGAGTAAAAACTAAATTGAATGTTTAGCGAAATTCGCATACTATATTTATTCCTCGGTGTTTTTTTTTTTATCAATTTTTCATTTATACATTCATTATAATATATTATTTTCCAATAATAACATTATGACGAATACTCGAGACTTTAAACTATTTTTAGATTCCGAACGGAGCGAGTAATGTAATGGTTTTACTAAAAGGCACACATCGCTTTTTTTGTCGCGTCCGTTAACTACGTTTCTACAAACATTTTTACCGCAATCGAAAACTTTTAAGGTATTTTTATTGCAGCGTTTTTGATTCAAACTATCGGTTTTTCGAGTATTTCTCTTAACTAATGGGAAAACTGGGAATTTTCTGTTGATTTCTGTATTACCTCCCAGAGAGAAAAAAATACAACTACAAACACTCCGTTCAAAATCGTTTTTCATTAGCAATGGTTTATGATTACGTACGGATATGTATCTGCGTGTAAATGTATTGATTATTCTACATATTATACTCACATTCAACTTCCCTCCTGAAACCGCGAAGCACACCCATCATCAGTATCACCTTTTTTTTTTTTAAAAAAAAATAAATTTTTAAATCATAAAATATGTAACATAATACGTTTAAAAACTAATTTATTTTACATAATATTTATTCAATTTATAAAGCGAAATTCGATCGAAATTATTATTGTTATCGTCACAATATTTCGTAATATACGATTGAAAAATAAAAACAAACAAACATTGGCGTTTGAACGATTTAAATTTGTTTTAATAACACATTTGTATTATTATTATTGTTATTATTTTATTTTTATTATTTTTTTATTTTTTTTCGTAATTAGCTGTCAGTTTTATCGATTCCGTCAACTCTGTTCGTCGACTTCGGCTTTAACTTTAACGTCAACTATATTTTTGCGTTAACCCTCTCCCCACTTCCCCTTCTGTTAAAATGTCGTAATAAAAAATGAGAATATACCATATGGCACGCTATAATGAATTTTCTTGTGCTTTGTTCAACAATATTTCTGTAAGAGAAATAATAATCAGTATAAATAACGTAAAAGGAACGTTTATTTTTTAACGGAATATTTTTATGGCCGTCGGGGCACACTATTAGTTCCCGTAAAACTTTCCCTATAAATTGAATTAAATATTTCAATTAAATAATACGAGTATTATACAGGGTGTCCTACACTGTTATCCAAATGCTATTTCGGTAGGAAACTAGGAAGAAAAATATCAAATTAATTTAGAAATATTAGGTACCTATGACTTTAAAAATTACTCATTGGGTAAAGCGTAGCTATTGATCTGCAACTCCGAAAAAATGGTGGGGTATCAGTTGCTACCTCGCGCTACCCCGCAATGACGCCTGTGTGTAATGACAGCGTTGTCAACGTGTAAATATATACACTATCGTTTTATTTTACTGTCTTGTCGCACTATCACGTAACGTTTACATCGAGATGACGAGATCATTTCTTATCCATCATTTCTTCTACGTTTATTCTACTATATGGTCGTCCTAAGACACAAAGAGGGTTTGAGATTTAGGTGAAGAAGGATCTTAAGCCCTAACTACTCGATGAAGCAGTTTCAGTGGATGTAATCAGCGCCTAAACAATTTGGGTGGGGCATGGGAGGCATTTACCCCGCACTGTCATCAGCTGGCCGAAACGTTTTCCGTTCGCAATGATCAACCGTTGTAACACTAGATATCATACAGCGTAAAAAAAAAACTTAATCACGCTGAATTATCATCCTATCTTCTCGACAAATGCCCACCTACAGCAGTGGCCCACTCGTGGTGCAAAATACATCCCGCTTTTTACTATGCCCGCGTAAAACTCTATTACGGTTACGAAATAGGTTACATTAGCTTCACGTGACTTTACCAAACCAGGAGACAACAATAATAATAATAATAATAATATACAAAATTGTGTAGAGCATTTTCAACATAACGTTTTATTTCACCTCGTCGTTTTCTCTCATCGTTTAAAACAAACGACGATACTACGATATCAATCTATTCGCGTGGTAAAAAAAAAATAATAATAATAATAATAATAATAATAATAAAAACTGTTTAAATCTTTCTTAGTACCTACTTAGTTTTTCCCTTCTTTTTTTCCACTCGCATTATCCATTATCGTCGTGTCTGGACGGTTTCTTGGCATCCGCCTTTGCAATATTCTCGTATATATACCATTCAGTCAGTCGCCGTTAAAAAGCAACTACTATACTGTTTTTATTTTTTTTTCTCTATAAAAACGGATCGTTTCTCCTACCTCAACTGCGGCGTTATCTGTATAACGTTCGTGGAAATCGTTTTCCGCGTATACGAGAAAATTATATTATTCAGTTATATATTTAATATTATGTGGCCAACAGCAGCTGATGCGTTTTTATGTAAAATAGTTTTTTTTTTTTTTTTTTAATTGTCTACATTATTAGACATAGTAATACTATTGCATTTTCCGTGTTTGTTACGTGTATGTTATGTTACGTTAAGTTTAAAAATCGGAGGGCTACGTGCACAACCCGAGGCGAGTCGACTCGACTTTTTAAATTTATTCCGGAGAAAAATAAAAAGTCCGGACTTTTCTGGCTTTTGAACGTAAAATGTTAATTCCGAATTTCAGACAAGTGTCCATTTTGCCAATATCTCCGCATAAGCCGCACAGGTATATCAATCGAAATAATCTTGTTCTTCGATTGTTTATAAATTTTAATACTTCACATAATGTTCACACGTTTAAAAATTAAAATATCAAGAACCAACGTACAAAAACAATCAACGTTCTTACCATTGAGCTTTATAACAAGCTAAAACACACTCTAAAAGAGCACAAAATCGGTTTTTATAATATACAAAAAGTTCAGGTATAACAACATTAACTGATTTTACAGCATCAACCATAAAATATACTCGTATATTATGCATAGACGGTGAACATTCCTCGTTGGAAAACGTTTAAATTTTAATTATGGATTAGACACGGTTTTTTTTTCTTCGAAATCCTAACGCAACATTTACTGCGTGATAATAAATTTGAAGAATAAAATAAAAAGTCCTTAAAAAAAAAAAAATTTTAAAATTATTGTCTTATAGATGTTCGATATAAAAACACGAGTTATGATTTTATTGTAGCAGCGCGCAATCCATTATTAATCACGCGACAAATATAAATCTAAAAAGAAAATATCGAAGTTGAGTTTATATAATTTAGAAACTTCGTCGTTTGTTTTTCACGATAAAATGATAAAGAAAATATTGTGTATTTTGCATGCGTCTGTTTACGGACTTCGGGTACGTGATAAATCTATATTATACGGGGCCGCCGTATGTGTCGAGAGCGTGAGGAGAGAGGGGGTTTCGGAGTGTCTTATGGGGACCCTGGTATTTCGTGTGTCATAAAATTTCTACGACTAAGTTAGTGAACGATCCGAAGTGAAATCGTCGTAATAAGTTCCTTATGTAAATAATTAATGTTTCGACGTTTATCCGAAACTTTATTCGCTAATACATCGCTGCGATTGCGGTGGCCTGGTGAAAAAAAAAAAACGAACGGGCCCTCCTTAAATGTTCGCAACCAAATTTAAAATCTGAAATGGTGTCCGTACATTTTATCATTATTTCTACGGTACACAATCGGTTAACCCTGATGAAATTAATAATCGCGGTTACTGGCGTTCAGGGCGTTATTTTTGTCACAAGCCAATATACAACAGGTCTAATAATATTTGGGTTTTAAATTTTGAATGGAGCGAAAAAACTTATGGTTTTAAAATGACGTGTATTATTTTCTTTTTTCTGTGAACAACTTTCCTACCAATTCCTACCTTGTTCTGATTTACAAGTGTAGCAGTTTTTCTAATAGGACACCTGACTGGGTAGGTATTTTAAGGAGATAATTTTTTTGATTTTCCGAAGAGTTTTCGCATTAAAAAGGAAAGCCGGTAAAAATTAGGAAAGCAGGAAAAGTAAGTACAATGTTAGAAAAATACTATTGAAGATAAAACATTGTGCCTATGTAATTATTTTACCATGGTGTAACATATTTACTGTTGATAAAACAACACTATCGACTGAATTCCGCTCAGAATCGATTTTTCGTTAGCAATGGTTTATCGTTGCTTACATGAATACATTAAATTTCCCCTCTACAACCTTCTCAGCTTCTCACTTACAACAGTGGCATACTCACGTACGAAGAATGTCAGTCAAGTCTCAAAATCAAAAAAAGATTTTGAGTATACCGAAAAATATATTGGTTTTACTAAGCTTTTTTTTTTTTTTTTTAATACTGTGTATAAAAATTCGACCAGAAAACTTGCTCAGATATTTACGTGCGGCAACATTTTGGAGGTCATTTTTTGGTTTCCATGATATCTGAAAAACTCCAGGATTAAACGTAAGAAAAACGGGAAATTCACGAAAATATCGCTATTATTATTTTTCAATTTTGTTACTTATAAACTAAGTTTATTATTATTTAAACTAATAGAGATTATAAAATTTAAACACAAAACTTATGTTTGTCATTTCTATGGTAAAAAATTTCAAAAAATTTAAGCCTTTTTTGAGCTAGTAATAGATATTTTAATTTTGCGAGGTTTGTCCGTAATCTTTATTAGATTAGTACTCTTTGATAAAATTGTTAGAGTTAACTTCTGTTAACTCTAACAATTGTATGTTTGAAAATTGAACAGGAAGTACATTAAGGGTCTTACTTTGTGGTCAAAAAATAAAATTTGAATTCAATGTAGCATTTTTTTTTTTTTTTTTTTTTATACTTTTGACATATGTATATTGCCGATTTAAAAACTATGGTGAAGTCAGAATTCAGAGAACTGACTAAGTTTCGAAATTACAACTTTTTAAAATGCTGATATTATGTGGATATTTTATGTTATGTTAAATAACTAAATATTATCTTCTTTAAAGTATGTTAGTCATAGCTGAAGTTATACATATCTATTTTCGTCCTAAAGTTCGCGAGTTCAAACCCGTGTTTCCATAAAAACTTTTTGCATTTTTTTTCCCTTTTACCTAACCTAAACAAGGAAAAAACAAATGTATTTTGGGTGTACCTAGAATACTATGACATTGTTCACTCGTACTATTTTAATCGCAAAATACCTCTCGATTTGTTGTACAAACTTTTTTACCAAAAATCTTGCTCCGATGTATCATGTGCAGCTTATTTTCTAAAAGGAAATATAATCTTAATGGCAACATGGGGAAATCATTTTTTAATTTTCCCAGGAGTTTTCCAAATAAAGGGAAAACCGTAAAAAACGGAGAAAAATGGTACAAAATTAGTTAGTAAAAAATTATGATTTTTTTTTTGTTTAAAATTAGAGTCATTTTGCTCCAATTTACAACGCTACTTTGTCTAAAAGAAATTCTGACTGGGAAGATAATTTAAAGAGGTCATTTTTCATGAAAAAAATGGGAAAAACGGGAAAATCGGTACAATATTCAACAAATATTATTAATGAAAAAATAAGATGCCTATTTAATTATTTTTTTCATATTATGACATATTATATATTGTTGACAAAGCATCACTGTCAACTGAACTGCGTTCTGAATCGTTTTTTCGTTAGAAATAGTTTATCGTTGCCTACAGACTTGCATTAAATTAACTATAACAGTGGCTGCACCCGACCCCATTATCCTAGGACGTTTTATTTTTTTTTAATTTCGTAGTTTTTCTATTGCGAATTACGGGTTGTTATCTATGCATAATATATTACGTTCGTAAAGTTGGCGACACCGCAATGTTCGCAGTTTTCTATGAGACAGATTTGTTGGAAAAGTAAACTTTAGTACGGACTTATAGCGACAAAAAATCAAATAATATAAAAAAAAAAACCCGAGGAAAAACGATTACAAAATTATTTTAATTGCAGAAGCGAATACGTGTACGTATTTTAATGAACGGTGTTGCAGTAAAAAAAAAAAAAAAACTTAACACGCGACGGACTGTAAATTGATCGGCTCGCTCGTTCGATAGTATGCGAATATTAAGGCGCAATAAAAAACTATTTCGGCGGTTACATTAGTTTTTGCATTTTTATTTTTTGATTATGTAAACAATATATCGACTTCCGAGACGATATTTTAGAATTTTAGCAAGGGATCTTTTGATTTGACTATGATTCATGTTTTTTTATTCCTGTCTATAAACGAATTTTCTTCCGGAAATCTTGCTCTGCTCAAAAAAAAATATTAGGCCTTTTGTTTACGTTTTTAATTTATTTGATAAGTAAAAAAAAAATCATTTTTCGGTTTTCCGAGCACAGTTTTAGGTAAAAACCAAAAACCCCGTAAGAAATATATACGGATGTTTACGACATTAATGATTTCGTTGTTTTCGATTCTATTTTTTTTTTTTTTTTTGTAAATTGGTAGAAAACGCATCAGTCTCTTCAAGACGTGTTGAAAATTTCAAAATATATAGGCGACTTTTTCATTTCTACATAAGTGTTTTAAAATCAAATTTCGACATTAATCGTAAATATTACGGCATTTCGAAACACGTATAACCAAACTTTGCTCAGAATCGTTTTATATAAATTAATAACTTTATATATCCTACGTTTCTAACTTTCCGCCTACAACAGTGGCATACTCGCCCACTGCATGTATCCAAATCTAATTTTTATGATATTAAAATTTCAGCATTCTGCGATAATAATACATCGAATTTCGTGTTGGAGTAAGAATGTCCATGAAATACTTATTTTTTTTTCTTTCGAATATTTACCCATGCGAAAACTTTTCGGAATCATGTAAACATTGTACATTCTGAAACGTTACGCCATCCTTATTTTTGTCTTTGTCGTGGGCGAAACGACTACCTACCCGTTTTTAAATTTCCAAAAAGCAACCTATATTTAAATATTCAATAAAGATACGAAGATTTTGTTTTAACACCGAAACGGTGTTTGAAATTCTCAATTTCCGTCAGCGCGTCGACGAGATACACTACACTCGTGTGTTCGTGCAGTATTAGTATTAGTTGGCGGGAACGGGATGGGGGCGGTATCAGTGGTTTTGGTTTTTTAAAAAAAAAATTAATATTTCGCGGGCGATTCAATTGTAACGTGGAATTTGATAAACAGGGCGTATCCGCAGGCGACTTGACAGTTTCCAACGCCGTTGTTATACGCGTTACGCAGAGCATTTGTTGTACCTGCACAAGTACCGCGCGTAAGGCGATCGGATCCGTACGTTTTAAACGAAAAACGCCTCGGTTCTAATTCGTTTCCGACACGGGCGCATCACGATTGTTGTCGTTATTGTTGTTACAATTAGGCGTGCGCAACAACAACGTCGGTCGAAAAGGAAAACGGTATAAACAACGATAATCGCGTTATTATTAATCGTAATAATATTAATAAAATATTTCGCCGTCTTATGGGATCCGCCACGCCCCGACCGACACCATATACGCCCCGCCCCGGCCGTAGTAAACTCGAGCGTTCTGTATTTAATGAGAGCTTTTTTTTTTTTTTCCTTTTTTTTTTTTCATAATGTTACATATATACATACACTATTGTTATACGGTTGACAATCACAAATTGCCGTTTTCAGTGTCGCGTTCGCTTTTTTAAACGCGGAGACGACGACGACGCCGAGAGGCCTGACAGTGGCACGAGAAGCGAAACCGTGATTAACGACTCACCAGCTATACACACAGCGGCTGTGTACGCGTACATAATAAAGCATTGACCATATCACATAATACAATAATACAATATTTAATATTGTAATCACTGTTATTGTCGTCTTACGAATAATATAATAATATCCGTGACCCAAATCAAAGTCTCTCGAAAAAATAATACCGGTTTAATAATTATCGCGGCCGACCGCGTATATATATATATATGTATACACCGACGGTTTTGTCCGAAACCTCAGGGGAGGGGAGGAGAGAAGGAGCGGTAATTCAAAACGCAACCCCCCCCATCCCGTGAGCGTATACCTCAAATTACAGCGTAGGCCGTCGTTGGCTCCATTCAGGCGCGTAAGGTTTCGGTGTTTTCGGGGGTTTCGGGGGTTCGAAATTGCTAACGCATCTAAACAATTCGAATTTAAATGATCGCCGTGAACATTTTTTTCACGATCATTTCAAAATCGACTTGCAACGAAATGAAAAATAATGATTCCTTTTATTAATTCACGTGTATTTATGTTGTTCTAGTATATGGGTATATAAAATATGTTTAATCATTAAAAATAATCATATTTGAGAACAAAATCGAGATTTTTTTTGATTTTTTTTTCCATCACTACGCGCAAAGCGATTGTCTCTACTGAAATAAAGTTATTAGTGGATACGAATTAACGCTAAATCACAAAGTCGACATTCGGACATTTTCGTTCAAAGACTAATTTTTAAGCCTTAAACGTTAAAATATGATAGCGAACAAGCAAAGTAATTAAAATAATTGTTTTTTATGGATAATGTTAAAGCAATTATAAGAAGCTTAACATTTTACCTTCTTTTGGTTGAAAAACAACGCTCTGCGGATACAACGTTTATCAAAAAAAGAATTATACAAAATGAGAATATTGTATTTGATAGACATAATTGATGCTTTTAAATTGATAACCAAATAATCAATTTCGCTATGTTCGATATTCTAGACATAAGTATCAAAGTTGTTACTAAACATAAATAATTATCTGTACATAATACCAATTCTATGTAAAAAAAAAACAGACCAAGAAGGGGAAAGAGCGAACGTCCCTTCCTAAAAACCACCACTGGCTGTATACACGTGAATAATATAGTCAGGGCTTGGAAATATTATCATTTGCATAGTAAATATATCGTTTTTGGCGGCACCTATAGAAAATTCATCCGAGTAAGAAACGAATTCGCTATAATCATAGTCCATTGATGTCATTGGGTATTTAGGACTTACAGAGCTATTTTGCCAATTTGTCTACATTGATACGGAAATATTTTCGTTGTGCGATCATTGATTATATCAAGTATAGTTTCGTAAGACGCCTGCGCCGTTCAATCAGTTGACGGCATTTTAATTAAGTTACTACTAGAAAAAACTAGATCTGGTTGTGAGCCAAATTCATTTTGAATACCGTTCATTCGAGATACGCATTTAACGACAAGAAACGTTCGAAGATGATATTCGCCGCATTATGGCACATTACTACCCATGTGCGTTAGGCCCGATTCATTATTCTCGAAGCGGTTCCGTGATAAATTGAAATCGCCGACAGTTAAGAAGTTAATCGCAGCTGAGCAAATATAGATATTGATAATTACTGCAAGAGCCGTATACTGATTAATTGGTCTAGATGGCGGAATATACCGCGTACCTGTTATAAACTTATTTCCTTTGCCGTATTTAACCATTACGCCGAGCTGTTCGACATTATCTATAGGCCGCATTTATTAATTCGGGATCAATTAGTTTGTGTACGCGAATCATCACCTCGCCGTGTACAGCGCGGTTCAACGTCTTATCACTCCAGTCGGCACGAATTACATTAAGTTTTTCGAAGCCCAGCTCACTATCAGAAGCATTTGTATCTAACCGGGTTTCCGTTGGTACAATATAATGTGACAGTGTGGAGAGGAATATTACGCATTAAAACGCGCATTTTCGTTCGTGACCATCTAACGTTTTAATAGTAACCGTTAATTACACTAGAACTAGAAATGTACAATATTTTTTTTTTTTACAATTTTAACAAATATTAATTATTATAAACTCTCTCTTACACTTGGGCTGAATTTGTTTTTTTTTTTCGACTCGATGATGGTATACCATAAGTATATTTGATAATCCAGTTTGTTTCTCCCGTTTCTATTTTCCGTAATAATTCTCGGCGCATACTTTTCATATGCTCTCGTTGGATATATATAATAAATTAGGTCAGAATCGTTTATAATTATCAAAATTGCGTAATTTCAAATTAGATTTCAGAAGAGATGATACGTCCGAAATATCGTTCAACTCGTACTGGGCGGTTATTCGAAGATGAATTACCGATTTCATTTATAGTAACAAACGACAATTTCAGATCCACAGTCGAAATTATGCTATTTACAATCATAATATCATTGACTTGAGAGTCTTCAGGCATATTGAAAAATAGTAAATTACGTGATCGAGATAATCTATCGGTAGTTTCATTTACCAAATCTATTTTTTGCCAGTTCCCGGATTCTAGGGTTTGAACACGCAACCAATGAATATTTTTTAACGAATCGCTTTAATTGTTTAGACGGCTAAATGAAATTGTCAGGTCTTCGGGAGACTTTTTTTTTAGGCTTTTGAAATTATCATCGCTGTTCGATGACTTACTGTTCATAATTTTCAAGCTTTTATCATGCTTTTCCCCCAAAGACAACGGTAAATTCATTACGTCCTCGATTGAACAATCCTGCACGTGAGAACGCGTAATTAGCGTGCCAACTATTTTTACATTATTATAATTTATAAATAAGTTTAATTGAACACCGTAAGTTGATCGATATCGATACGAATAGTATGATTTTATGTTGCCGCGAAACCGATTTAAACGTTAACGGAGGTAAGTACGTACGCTACGAATGACCGTACAGTACGTGTTGTACATTATGTCAATTGATAATATGTATTGTGTTATAATATTGTAGGATTTTTTTTTCATTTTAGACGTATAACGTACTCATTATATTTCATTATCCGTATTGTATCGGAAAATAATAACCGAATAGAAAATTAATTATTTAAGGTCATACAGGTGTACACGGGCGCCCACAGGGGGGAGGGGGGGGGGGGGGGGGGGGTAAGACGGAGCGCCTGCCCCGACCGGACTTCGAAATTTCAAATATTATTTTATTTTAAGTACTTTTTGGCGTTTGGTTCTATTATATTTCCCTCCGTGATAAATTTCATAAGAACGTCCGTACATACCTACAGGTATGTAATATATTGACAGAAACGCTCGGGATTTGGACAACCCGGTGGCTCCTAGTATTACAGTAGGAACGGCCGGGTGTGGTAAAGCCGTCCCGCCCACGATTTTACAAAGCATTCGGAACACGCGCTACACCGAACGATTAAAAATACTTTTAGGCGCACTTTTACCAAATACCAAACGTTCTTTAAATGGGAGTTTTTTGTTTTTTGTTAAACACACAATATAATAAACATAATATTGTTGTAAACAAACGCAAGACTATACTAATACTTTCGTCACACCGTGTTATTTTATCCGGGCGATAGGTATCATTCAAGTTTTTTGAAAGTCTTCACGCAGTATGATATTTATGTACATGTTCAAATATTTTTATTTACACCAAATTATTTTGGCCAATATTATATTTATATCCTTTTTTTTTTAATTTCCTTTATACGTAACGGGTTTTTTTTTTGCACTTACCCAAATTTCAATACTACATCATGCCACTGCAGGTATTGGTCCACAACGACATGATAGCCACGTGTGTGCTGTCTCCGTCTTATGAACGCATACGGCGTAGACAATTTGCGTTCAGCGGGGACGATTCTGTTTTAATATTAGAGTAAATAATATTGACCTATCGTTAAATTTAAAAATGATTAGGTATATTGCTTGTGCTGCAACCGTGATGACCTTTTCTCGTTATTTTAATTCTTTAGCGATGTAATAATACAGAATTGTATGTGAATTATAACAATTTAAACACCTTATACACGGCTGCTGCACGAATAATTTTCTTGTATTAAAGTTTTATAATAGGTCAGTTCACTATAATATCAAGTTTGTGGAATTGCGTGTTATTTTCAATGTCAAGACCGGTAAATTCCGGCAAGGTAAACCTTTTGACTGTAAATTAGTTGCTACACCACATAACGCGACATGGACGCGCAGGATCTTCCCCGACTTGAAAAAATAGATTACGAAACTCCCCAAGAACCTAACGTTTCACGTCATACAGACCGTTTCAAGATGATCTGCGACCTGCAGCGTTACTTTACGTTATTCCCAGGTGGAGGGTGTATTGTTGGTACCGGATAAAAAAAAAAAAAATAAAGGCTCTATCGGGCCACGAGTGCTTCAGGCACTGCCTATGGCGCATAAGACGTGCCCCGGATGCGGAGTGTCTTTACTTCCGACACCCGGAGGATACGGCTGAGCACACTCACTTTGACTGCCTACACTGGAAATCCTTCAGATCAGCAGTCGGGACGTTTATCGGCAGCAGGACTGTCACTCCTGACGATGATCGGGATCTTCTCTGTGGCCCAGCGGACATTCCATGCCGGGACCGAGATCGCGTCAAATATGACCATCTCACAGCCGCTCTTCTCATGACACTCAATATTTTTACTCCGCGGTGGAGGATATCCCGTGCCACGGAGAGCAGGACGAGAGAACCGGGTAGGCGAGTGTTAACCAGCGGCCTGTCGTATGGCATACACCGCATGACTGTCCTGACCATGTGGCACTCATTCTATCTGCCGCGAAGTGACACCAT